CCCACCCGACCCAAAATTGTGGTTTGGATTCCCTAGTTTAATTTTGCTTTTTTTGGTGTCCTCATGTCCATTGGTGTCCTTCATAATTTGCCTCGGTGCTCTCGATCATTTGCGGTGGTGCAATTTCCCATTCCTTGGTGCTCTTTGGTAAAAAAATGAGGAGGGCGGCAATAGAGGGCGCCTGTTGGAGCTACCGCGGAACGTTTTGGAAAAAAAAAAAGATTGACGCGCATGATTAAAATCGACGCGCGCTGACCAGAGACTTATTATTTTTTTTGGCCTTACTGGTGCTTTTTTTTTTTAATTTCACTCGTGTCGCCCTGAAAAGCGACTAAATATTGTCTGTCAGTGTGCATAATCGTCTGTTAGTGAACAGCGACGTACCCCATCCGAAGATGATTTTGATTTAAACACCGCTACTTTACACAGGGATGCAATTTGTTGAAGTTGCTCGATCTCCCCGTGCTATTTTCGAGTTTCATCCAAACTTGTTTTTATTAAACTACTCTGTGTCTGGCGGTACAAATGTGTATTAACTTTGAATGAGGCATTGAACAAAGAAAATACGGAATACGCCATGTTTGTCTATAGCAAAGGTACAAAAAGTACACAAATAATTTGCGGCCCGACGGGCGCAAAAGACCCCACAACAGAAAAAAAAGTTAGATCTATTTTTTGTCAAAATGAAACAACTGAACATCATTAGCAGATACTGTGGAGCAAGGGGAGAGTGATTTTGTCAATAACATAATGGCATCACAATAACACAAATCTAAATTGGAAATTTAATTTATGGGGGAATGCAAAGTAAAAGTATTGCACGCATTCATCACACCGTCGCACGTGATGTACGTGCGATCTTTACCAGTTGGATAAAACGCGACAACCCCTTTCTTGATGTGGATCAGTCCAAACAGTTATATGCAAATTTGCGGTTTGGACTATTACATTATTTCGCCCATTCCCGTCCTTCTTTTTCCCTTTCCCTTTTCCAATGCCAATCTGGGACTTACAACTCGTCATAGTTCTGCAGAAAATCCGCAAATGATTATTTTTTTAGCCATAAATCATAAGCTTTAGTTCAGTTTATACATACAATGGACATTTCATGGGGGGTTTCCTCGTTCATTTCATCATCAGACGTTGACAAGTGCGATGACATGGCCAGAATATCACCTGATGTGACTAAGTATGGAAAGCCAAACAAAACAAAATACACAGTGGCCTTTTGCGTGCAGGCCGTGTCCGAAAAGGGCTTTTAGACTTTCGGCTATGTCTACTTTCAGGTTCTTTTCACGCATTTTAATGGGTGAAAACCTCGAAAAAAGCTGAAGAGACAGATTCGTGCGCAGCCTCGGACTAAAGTCCCGTGAGTGCAGCTGAACATATTTTTTTTCATTCGCGCGCCATGTTCGTGTAGCAAACGCATGCACGCCGCACGTGAAGCTGAAGGCTAGATCATCTAGGCACGGTCCGGTCACCGGTCGTCTCTTGAAAAAAATACTGAAGGCTGTCGCGACGTCGATGGACGACAGGTACACAAAAACAAAGGTAACGTGAAATTTTAACTCATTTTTATTACATGCACGTCGATACCGGATAAGTATACATGTAAGATTTGTTTGTCTAACTACGGGAGATTATACAAGATTGTCTAGGCCCTTGGTACTTAACAATACAATTATAAGACTAAGAGTAAGATGGATCACTCGGCATATTGACAACAAGACATCAAAGTGTCGTCAGGCGGTCCGGCGCGGCAAGCCTCATCAAGCGAGCTACGCGCGGTCCGGGGTTACGTATTGTTAGAAAACCGCCCATGCTGTGACCTCGTGTGTTATTTTTGTCTTTACGTAATCCGCAAAATTCAAACCGGACGCTTGTGAGTTATTAAAGAAAAAACTGCATAGGGCCTACTTATCTTACTTATTCTCGTGCTGAACTGTCTCTGAAGAAAGTGAGCTAAGCATTGTTTGTAGGCCTATCTTCTTACACTTAGTTTCACTTCCAGCACTTTTGAGACATTTTGTCAAATGGTCATTGTGCAGTGAAAGAATAAGCACTGCAGACTGTTTCTCTATTGAGTATTGTATGGTACTTTTTAGATCTGGAAAGAATTCGACATCAAGTTTTCCCTGCATTTTTTCCCTGCCATCAAAAAGCGATAACCTACGCGATTTCCTAAAAAGTCAAATTTAGCAGGGAAAATGTTGAAACCTAGCTGAGAAAACAAAGTCTGGAAAAAATGTTGCAACCTGACTCCACTTTTTTCTTCATTTATCATCACAGTGAATGTCATTCATTGCAAAAAAAATGATGATAAGGCATGAATCTGGGACTGAGAAATATTTCCCAATTTTGCTAGGAAATAAAAAATGTTCTTGACTCTCCATAGACTTTGTACACAATCGCGGAAGTGGCATCAGGTTACAACATTTTTTCCAAAAAAAAGTCTCCCGGGTAAGAAAATAGAGCCACATCGTGACCAACTGTTAAAAAAAGGCGATTTGTATAGAGTCATAGCTCAATGGTCAGACTAGTCCTAGTATAGATACTGTCAGTGCTTGTAAGTTGTAGAAAAACTAAGGAAAATGTTCCTTGCTTGTTGCAGACCTGTAGTTTAGCATCAGACACAGACAAGATGGGAAAAGGAGGCAACCACACAGAATCCGCTGTAGCAGAGACACAGGCCTCCAATCTCGGGACCATACCATGGGACGAAGTCAGCAAGCACAATGGCCGTGCTAAAGAGGACCCAAGCAAGTGGCTTGTGATCAATGGCCAGGTGTACGATGTTACGGCCTGGACGAAAAAACACCCGGGAGGTTCCAGGCTTTTGTCACACTACGCTGGGCAAGATGCTTCGGTAAGTAGCGAAGTCAAATAAAATAGTTTCGTGTCCAAAGGAGCCATCGCCCATTCTACTAGATTTTAAACTTGCATACATCTACAATTTTACTGGAAACAAAACAAAACAAAAAGTATATTACAGATGTATGATTTTTTTTAAAGGAGGGAAAAAAGAAGCGGATAAGAAACTTTTTTTTTTTACTTGTCCTTTTAGAACTTTTTGTGTTAAAAATTGGTAAATATCCTTATGATCTGAGATGTGCCTGAAGGTTAATAATAGGAATAGTCGTCTTAGTGTTGTGTAACTTTCTCCTAGGTGGGGGGGGGGGGGGGGGGGTGGAAGAATAGAGATGCCACTTAATTAGTTTCACACAGTCTGTTGAGAGGCACGAACATTTTCTGAGGATTTATATTAATTTGAATTATTTCTCATTCACAAATTCACTTTTTGTATTTCACCATAAATCGTTGCAAATATGGGTAATGATCGATCATCATTGAGGTTGTGAAAACAGTTTTGTCAGGAATCTGCATTCTTTTCAGTTGGCATAGCAGGTGGAATAGCTGCCGTGACCCATTGATGTTGCTGGTACAATGTACCAATGTCATGCTCTGCCGCACTTGACTTACGCTAATGTATAATGCAGCCATGCAGCGCCCCTTCATTAAAAAAGCCTCACAAGTCACATAAACAAAACCATATGTCGGGATATTCAAGTCAAACGCTTCACGTTGCAATTTCAGTCGTTCTGATGAAATGGTGATATTTTGTTTATTCAGTACTTCACAGTCATCAACAATGGGGGAGAAAGTTTCCTGTGACTATGGACAGTGAAAGTGCATCATAATAAGTTTTTCAGTAAGGTCAATAATTGGGGGGGGGGGGGACTACAGATACTTTAGCTCTGTAGGATTACCTCTACTGTCACAATGGTAAAATTGAAGAAATGCAGACTACAAGGCAAAGCAATAGTGAAACCCTTCGTTTAATCTAGAGCACTTCAAATGGGGGGGGGGGGGGGGGGGTAGTTGAACACAAAACTTGGCCAGAACTGTTTACCCAGAATAAATAAGGAGAGGAGATAGGGTTGATTTCATCTGACATAATGGGTACTGTTCATTGCAGGCATTAGGTTAGGTGCAGGAATTGCATGTTTGCCCCCCAAAAAAATCATAAAACTGAGGCTCCAGTTACTTGGGGGGGGGGGGAAGGGTAGCTAGAGTGTTGTTTGGCCCTTTTTAATAAAAGAAATCGAGATTCAACACAAACATGTGGACACTTAAAATGCTAACTAGATCCCTGGTTGAGAATGTACTACACACAACATTTTTCACAGATCGTTGGATGAACTGTAATGTACATTAATGAATTACAATCATGGCTAGTGCTGGTTCAAGTTAAGTATGTAAATGTGTGTAAAAAAAACACTTACAATATAGCAGAGGCCTGGCCTGCAAAATATAGAGGAACTGCTTCAGCAAAAAGGCTGGAGAATGACTTCCACAACTTGTTCCAAGGAGCATATAGCCTGTTAAAGCTATAGTCCATCATTTGTAATTTGTGCATTTTGTTCGTTTGAAGCAACAAAAGAGTTCAAAATCTAATGAAGGATACTGAGCAACTAACCTGATGAAGTTTCAGCTAAGCTTCAGCTGTACATTCCGAGAAAAAACAGCATTCTAAGATCTCAATTTCAAATCAAAAGTTACTGAATCATGTTTTGAATTGTTTTGAATTGCAGCTATACGCGACGTAGCGCACTAATCTGACGAATTATAACAACCGCTGCGGCGCGTGTGCATCGTTCCAAACCTTGTGCGCGCTGCGCTGAATAACAAAACGAACTACTAATTTAAATTTTCCTACGGTGCTTCTTAAGAATCACCGTTGGAAATGCATTCTTTTGTTGATTACTTCAAAATGACAGCTTCCCAGAAAGAATAATTTCACAGGGAGTTTAGTCCCCTTACTATCTTTCAACCAAGTATGTTTTCAACAATAATTACGCCAGTACTTTTCGGATGGCTGCAAATGATGGACTATAGCTTTAAATAACAGACAACTAAATATTCCTTTAAACTGAGGCAAATGTCACTGGGGAAGCTTACAAAAGTATGCATGCACTTATGTGTTCACCTTTAATATTGGAATCAAAAATGTCATGTTGGCAAAAAGGGCAAAAGTTTGTGGCCTCATATTTGTCAATCTATATCCTATTGACCTTTCACCAAGCATTGGCGCAGCAGCCAAGAACAATGCATGATGAAATCGCAATGGCCCTATATATTTGTTTGGCACAATCTGGAATTGTGAAGTGAACAAACTTTTACGGTCTGAAATGGGCCAGCAGGTTTTGAAAAACACCAGGCTGAGTTAGACTTAGTCTGAATTACGTGGGCATTACCACCAATAACATGTACACATCTTGAAGAAGAGGATTTAGCCACCTCCATACTTTCCATAGGCATACATGTAATTGGTGTATGTAGCCAATTCATTGTTTTCCATCAAAAATACGACAAAGCAAGTGAGAAATCAAGATTAAAATCAATTAAAAAATCTTTTTTGCCTCCACCCTTTTAGACTTATCCCCAAAATAATTCCAGTATCATTTTGATTTTGTTGATATGATCATTGAACAAAAGACAGGTTGTCTAACTTTTCAAGTCACAATCTTTCAATTTATTTTCTTCATCACGGTAAAGACAAACCACTTTCAGATTTATCATTAAAAAAAATGTTTTTATGAGACTATTTAAAGGCATTTTATGAGCTGAATAAGCTTGTTCATGTGTTCTGAAAGTTGGAATCCGTTTGAAAGAGGTTTAAGTTTTGTGAGCCTCTATCCATGTTCTATCACAAGTTTACAAGTTGACTTTGTAATAATGATTTGTTTGCAAGTGTTTAAATTGATCTGCGGATCTAATTCCTGTATCTGTTTTGGATAAACGATTAACTTTTGCCTTGAGAATTAATGTTCGCCTGAGAAATTATCTCATCAATAAATTAATAAACTGCAAAATAACGCAGTGAGATTAATTTTTTTTTAATTTTTGCATGAGAAATTATCCAATAAATAAATAAATAAATAAACTGCAAAAGAAAAAAAAACGCAGCGAGACTTACGAAAAGTGCGTTCAGATAAAAATCAGCTGGGGTACTTTGTAGCGTGAGGGTTATTGGGCAAGATATTATCCAACAACTGTCAGACGGTGCCAGTGACTTTAGCAATGACACTAGATAATGTATCAAGAGTTACATCTCGCATATCACACTGTATTTGGTTTCATAGTCCACTTTTCAATTGTGGCGGTTACCCTGAACTTAAACTTGTGGTTATCGAGTTAATTTTTCTTAAAAAGAAATAAACAAAAGAATATTATATTTAGAGCTCTCCATTGAAGTTGATCAATATGTCACGTATGAAATATGGTCGTATGAACTCCAGTTTTGCACGTATTGCACGTACATGTATTGTGTAATCTGTTTGAGGTCTCATAATGATACGTACTTGTTGGAAAGTGTGAATTAACAGCAATGAATTGCCATACAAGTAAAATCTTTTTTTAATTGTGTACATATAATGTACTTGTATGTTGTAGTTGTGAATATCAGCAGTAGAATCGCGTCAATGCAGCTTGTGAAATATTGTATATGATATGAAGGGTCGCCTGATATTATAAAGGGTCGCGGAATGCACAAAATCTGAGACAAACTAAACTTAACGTACAACATTCCCCTAGCGTTGTCCAAGGGGTGTGGCTAACTCGCAAACGACGATAGGTCAATCCCACTGCAACAGGGACCCAGTTGCATAATTCTTTGTACTTAAAACTTTCAAGCATTATCGATCCACAGTAAAGTAATAACGGTGTGCAATTGGCTGTACTTTTGTCAATCCTTCAAAATCCTCCTTAAACTCTTGGTTCATTTTTAAACTTCTGATACGAATGATAGCTAACGCTACAGACCAGGAGTGAGATTTTGCAGGATTGCTCCTGATTTCAGGATTTTTGGGTGAGGATTTTTTCTGATTTCAGGAGTTTAAAAGAATGCCTTTTGAAATCCGAACTCTGAGTAGTTACCGTAAAGGTGTTTATGGAACTTTATGCCCATAAAAGTTTATATAGAACAAAAGAAATGGGTACTGTAAGGGGTGCCTTTAGGCAAATACAAACATCTTAGACCCTTCATTGCTCTGGGGCCCTTGGCGAACCTCAAACCCTCGGCCGATTATTTCGTGGATTTTTCATTTTCCCCCAAATCTCAACTCTAAACAGACTTGCCACCACCACGCCAAAAACAATTCCCTTGTCTCATCTGCTGTGTTTTGTTTCCCAACTAGGAACCCTTCACTGCCTTCCATCCCAACATGAGCAAGGTTCAGAAGTACCTCAAGGGCCTAAAAGTCATCGGCAAGGCAGAGCAGAGGGAGGAAAGGAGGGAAATCGAGGAAGATCTCAAGAATTTGAGGAGCACTGCCCAGAAAATGGTAAAAAGCACAATATTTCGAGGTGCTTAACTTACATTCATTTGCTTAGCTTTTTTTTTATTTTCAGCATCTGTATAAAATGAGGCAAGACCAGAAGCCATTGATTATTGCCTTGTGTGTATATACTTCATTATGTTCTTTTATTAAGCGTGACTCGTGCCCGATGGGCTCCGTGCGCCAACAAAAGAGGGCGTTTTTTAACCTATTTTGAGAGCTCTGTGGATGGGACACACAGCGTGAATGTGCAAAAGCTATAGCCACCGCGTCTTTGTGTTAGCGTCAGGCGTCGTCGGCGTGCGAAAACGTTTGAACTAAATTCAACTTGCGATGGTCTCCGAGACTAATCCCCACCTCCAATAACTTTGAATACATTCCAAATACGCAGTGGATGGCTCGGGAACCAGTCTAGGTCACCCCCAACTCTCCTTTTCTGGCTGTTGATAGGGTGCTTGTGCACAAAGAAATCTAACATTTAAGATCTGTGTCTTTTATTTGTCAGGGTCTGTTTGAAGCCAACTACTTCTTCTATTTCCTCATGCTTGTACAAGTTGTCTTCTGTGACCTCTTTGCCTACATCAACATGTTGTACTTTGGGGCTGGATGGGGGACGTTTGTTGCGGCTGCCCTCCTTACAGCAACTGCACAGGTAGGCTGAACTTTCATTTCTAGCCCATAATTCATTAATTCACTCTGCATGGAATTGTGTCAAGCCTTATGGTCCAATGTTAGTTATGACGTTAAAGGCATGATGTACGACTAATTTGGGGTGGGGTGTGGTTTGCCCAATGGGACATGGTGTTAGTGTTCTTGGGCAAGACACTTTACTACAATAGCTTCTCTCCACCCAGAGGTACAACATTTAATGTGTACATTATGAGAGAGTAGTGGCCACGCTGTGCTGATCTCGAGCTGCTGCAAAAAACTGGTCTCATGGTCTGATGAACATGAGATGATTGGAAATCACTGCCATATTATTTAACCCTTTAGCACTTGTATTAAATTGTATTCATAAATACAGGGGTGTGAAATCTCAGCTTTAAAGCTGATTTCAGCTTTTTTGTTTTGGATTTCAGCTTTTTTCCCTCTCTTGCTGTGTACAAAAGTATAGGAGATTTCCAAAGTTCGGTTTTTTTTACACCTTTTTCAGCTGTTTTCAGCTATTTTTATCAGTGGTCACTCACACCCCTGTAAATACCTGAGACAGTTTACGCATTCCTATTGGTCGGGAGCCCGTCACGTGGGTTGCTTCAAACCACCGATAAAGCGCCGCTGCCGCACCGCACGCGCCAATTTCCAAATAAGGAGATTTTTATAGCACCCACGCCTGCAAGAAACATGCCATAGATATGACCAGAGGGTTGTTTCACAAAACCTGAAGTAAAATTGTTGAAGAGAATCGTTGGAAATTGTTTGATTTTTTTGACCAACAGGTGTTTATGAATGGGAATAAATATGTGCTTGGCTGGTATTAAACAAGGGCGCTTTAAACCCGGCTAGGGGCCTGGTCGTGGATTTCTGTGAATCATTAATCAGATATTATGGTTAATTGGCTCTGTCACGGACATTACATTTCCTTACATAACGCTGGAATAGCGCCATAAACAAATATCATAATCAATGGCTGTCGAAGTACAAAACCAACAGTGCAAAAAAAAAACCCACACAAACGGCTTCTGAGGTTGAGCTCTGCAAAATCTAAAATTTGTGTTTAATTTTTTTTTTTTTATAAATCAGGGGTGTGAAATCTCAGCTTTAAAGCTGATTTCAGCTTTTTTGGTTTTGGATTTCAGCTTTTTTTCCCTCACTTGCTGTGTACAAAAGTATAGGAGATTTCCAAAGTTCAGCTTTTTTACACCTTTTTTCAGCTGTTTTCAGCTATTTTTATCAGTGGTCACTCACACCCCTGATAAATAAACATACTGCATATTTCACATTCAGTTGCCCGTATAATGGCTATTTTCCCTACATAGTTTAACCCTTCAGTAACCCAGCCTTGATGAAAGTGGGTGTGTTTTGCAGCTGCAGAGCAGGCCGACTAGACTAGACATACATTCAGGTTTTTTACCCATGGGCTTTTATCATATAGCTGACTGTGTCTCATCGCCAGAAGGCATGGTGATAGGTCTAGCTGCATTTATTATGCAAAATACCATCCAGGAGAAATTGTACGAATACCCACTCGACTGCTGGACTGCTGGACCGTGTCAAATGATTAAATTAGCGGTCTAGTGCTTTCTGTGACAGAATTAGGCCGGTGGTCTATTGGTTTTTCGCCCTAAATGAGTAGTATTTACAATGTAAACATCTCCATAAAATCAATACACACACTCATTGATTTCTGACTCCTAAGTGCGCACTGTTCATTCTGACAACGTAGCTTATTCACATGTTGCATTATGGTTGTTTTTAAAAGGCCATTCATTGTCTTGAAATTGTACATGCAATACCATTGACTTTTACTTTTCCCCTTAGCCAACATACTTTATATTTCTGTAAAGTGCGAAACACAGCTATCATTAAGTTTTTGTTTGAATCATATTTAACGTTGATTTTATCCAGTAGATCTCCAGAAGTAATGATCAGGTGATTGTGCTCAAACAACTACACAAAAAAGTTTTCTCGAGATATGGTTTACCAGAGTACAAACTATGAAAGTGATTCATTAATTATAAATGAATAAATTTGGTGCAATGTTTTCATAAAATTATTCGAAATTCAATATCTGATTTACATGGTGTCACAGTAATCCATCTTCGATACAGGGTCGATGTTTGTTACAAGTTTCAAATTTATCCCATGTGCATACCATTTTTAGAAGAAAAGCCATGAGCAATCGATGAACACACACACAGAAAAGTAGCACATGAATATAGCAACGATGTATGAAATTTATTAATGTCAAAAAAATGATGATTTTAGTAATGTATGTTTGCGTTCATTCTGTTCCACAGGTTCAAGCCGGTTGGTTTCAACATGACTTGGGCCATCTGTCAGTCTCCAAGAGTCGTACAGTGAACCGTGCTCTCCATGCGTTGCTGATGGGAGTTAGCAAGGTATGATCATGCTTCTAAAACCTGAGAGCTCTTTAGAATCTATACGAATGATTCTTTAGGTAGACCATGAAATAAAGAATATGAATGGAGTCATTAAATAATAGATGGCTAAAACATAGAAATTGTTGAATCAACCCGGCATTTTATGTGAGCAAAACAACCTTTCACACTTTGCAATTGGTTTTCATTCATTGGTATGAACAGATATCTTGAATGACAGAATGTTAGGCCTATATGCAGATTGTTGCCTTCGGTGACCTTCAGTAACATCATTCAAATTTGGAACAAAAACACATTATACAAGAAGCCGCAGATTAAGGGAAACATTCTTTTGTTTCAATTTTAAAGATATGTGGATCTGGTTACATTCACTTATTATCAGAATAACCACCCACCTTCCCTCCCCCCCCCCCTAATTTTTTCGGACCAAGTAAATGTGTTCCAATCAATCTATGAAGCTTTTCTAGAGTTGTATCTCATTTTCTGCGATTGAACTTTGACTTATTTGTTTGGACAAACCAAAATAGGATTATGAAGCACTTAATCATGATTTGGCCTGATTTCAAAGTTTGTCTTATCTGCTGTGTAGTGTACTATGCACAACAACAAGTCACACATAAATCCTAGTTGACAGATTATGTTAGATTCTCATACAAAACAGTTAGAATGCATTTCAATTTCAAAGAGAAAAAAACTAAAATTAGTTTTGTGAGGCAAACTATGAAATTTTGTATGGCAAAAAAAATGTTGAAATTCCCTCACATTTTCCCATATGAATCAAGGTAATTGCTCGCTGAATCATCAAGGTACACTATAAAGTTCCTTTCTGTGCAGAAAAAAGGAAGGTCTTTTTGGAGGGGGGAGGAATAAAGAACAAAGAGATTCGGCCTTGGCTGGAGGCTACAGACAGAAAATTTTGGACAGAAAAGTTTGCACATAGATTGTTGTATGGAAGGGTGATCTGAATGGAACACTAGAGCTCTGAGTGATATGTGCCTTTACAAGGACAAACCCATACCAATGGTCTTCATCCATCTGGATGTGTTATATAAGAGTACAAGGTGACTGGACTGATTATAAAACAGTTCTGTTCAAGGTGACTGAACTGATTATAAAACAGTTCAGTTAGGCCAAAAAAAAAAAGTCTCCGGTTTCTGTTTCTGGTATGCGCGCCATAGCCATGCGCGTCGGCAAAATGAAAAAGTTTTTTTTTCAATGAAAGATGATGTCTCAAAACCGCCAAACTCACTGGTTTGACTGGAATCCTGCTGCTGCACAATTTTAACGTGTTTTTAGATGGGGTTATGGTCGAGAATAAGCTTTATGTGGCCTCTCTGGACTCCCATATATTTGCACTAAGTTTAGTCAGGTACCATTTGCAGTCATCAGCCGACATTTGAAGCAAAAAAATCAGGTAAAAAAAAAAAAAAAAGCCGCGTCGCCGCACCACTTTTTGGGCAAGCTCCATACCAGAAACTGGAGACTTTTTTTTTTTGGCCTTATGTATTGATTTTTTTCCCACCTGCTGGGACAGAAGAGACCCTTGTATTTAACCCTTTGTGTCCTGGGCACTAGTGCATTTTGAAGGAAAAAGGATGAAAGCACTGTGGGAAGTTCATCTTTAGCTACATCATGAAGTGAAAATTACTTCTCATTTGGAAAATTTATATCTTTGACAAATTTTGTTTTGCTTAATCCTTTCCAATTTTCCGTATTTAAAACAAACAAAATACCAACCGAAAGAAAACACTCATCCAAGCAGCTGTGAATCCTCCAAGCAGCTGTGAATCCTCCAATTGTAATTTCCACACACCCTAGGGTGTAACAGTTAACAGATATCTGTCAAGATTGTCAGACATGATAAACAGTATCAATTGCTGAAACATTTCAAGAAATTTTAAGGATTGCATTGAAGTGATCAAAAGTTCATCCGCTAGTTAAAGAAAAATTATAGTCACATAAGAAGAAGAATAATAACTGGATTTATAGAGCGCCAAATTGCCCAAAGATACAATGCGCTATAACCAAGAAATGAAAAAGGGAAAGAAGACAAAGAAAGAGGACAGCCAGTTATGATTTGGGGAAAAGATGGGTCTTGAAAGCCTTTTTGATTGAAAGACAAGACGCTGCTTGAATTTCTGATTGGGGTGGGTAGGCTATTCCATATTCATGTGTCCAGTTGTTAGAGTAGAATGATACTGCCAATAACATGTCTTCAAAAATGATTGTATATTTTAGCATGTTAATCTTGTCAAGAATCAATTCATATGAAGCCATGACATGATTACTTTTTGGGAGTGGGCTGTCTGGCAAATGACAAGGTTATATCAACAGCAGACAATTGTTCAGTCCAATGTTCAGTCCATGTAACAATTAGAACAGAATGAAGAAGAGTCAACAGATACCGGTCCCCCAGAGATCACCCCACAAATCCCCCCCATGTATAAACAGACCTTACATGATGTAATGGTCACAGTTATCCAGCCAGCTAATCCTTCCGTGCAAGTTTCTGGTAAATTGAGATTAAAATTTATACACGTGTGCAAAGTTTTACCACGACGCCCAGCTTTGTAATGCCCTGGATTAGATTTTTCCAGTTGTTTTTTTTTTTAGATTTGTGGCTATTAGAAAAGCCTAAGTGAGAAGTTTTCATCTATTTTTTTTTTTGGGGGGGTTGAAAGTTTTAATTGAAACAATTGCAATGGCAAGTTGTTAGGAGTGCCTTTTTTATGCAAATACACACCTATGCCACAAGTAGACCCTGTGTTGATTTGAGGCTTTGTAAAATATTTTGTTCATGAGTTTTTTATTTGTCCCAATCTACCGCCCATGTTGCCAATTTTCATCTGTGTTCCTCTCAAGCCCTGGCTTTAAGTCAACCCTCCCCCTCCCACTTTTAGAATAGCCTGTTCCCTTCCTTGTAGAAACATTTTGGATTATTTGTACCCCACTCCTGAAGTAGAACTTCTCCTGACCAGTTCATGACCGTGTCCGCTCATGTCAAAAGTCCAACATGTTAGTAGAAAACTAGGCATGTAACAGTAACATGCTCAGTTATGTGTTAATAATGTGTCTGGAGAGATCAGTACAATGGACAACCCAGAGGCTAGACTCTGACAAAAGGGACCAACAGGACAATCCCAGCTGGACTTCAAGGATCCAAACTGGTTGCCTAGGGGAGGGACAAAGAGAATATTATGTCCTTCACAAAAGTCAATTGAAATTATGTCCTTCACAAAAGTCTTTTGAAATTTATTCATAAGATGGAATAGAATTGAAAAAGTCTGTTGAATTATTCAATAGACTTTTTGTGAAGGGTATAATAAAAGCCTTGTACACTGCTTTTCCAGACACAAAAATGATAAGACTAATAAGACCTCTGTCCAGTTTATTTCAACTCCAGTGAGTTACTTTTCAAAAAATAGAGTCAACTTTTTTTGTTTAAATTAAAAGAAAAAGACATGTGAATTAACATTTGTTAGCACATTTTGAGGGGGGAGGAATCCAAAGAAAATTATAATGTATTGAAATGAAAATAGAAATATGATAATTTGAATATTTGTACCAATTCATTAAATGGTATCATCAGTTGGACAAAATGTACCCAACCAAAAAAATGCAACTAGAAAAAATGTGCAGAACGTTTTCTTTGTTTAAAATGTTCAAAATTATATTCAGCTAGATGTGTCCAGTGCCAATGTCTGTCCTGTCCTGGATGGTAGATAAATCCAAATCTTTCATATGATTAATGGTCTTTTTTCCCCCTAAAATGCACAGGGTGCCTCTGGCAATTGGTGGAACCACATGCACTACCAGCATCACGCTAAGCCAAACGTAGTAAGTAGCTTTATATTAGTAACTTCTTATTTCTGTTAATTAAATGTAACTTGACCACATGGAAAATCTGTAATCCACTGTTGAAAAAAAGAAAAAGCCTTGAACCTGTGTTTTTCTCGATCCTGTTCAGTACCGCCATGAGATATCCATTATAAGCCAATGAAATATTGTGTGTTTACAGTCACCCGACCTACCAGGATTTTTTTACAGCCAAATCGCCGACCTCAAACCTTTTAGGGTGCAGTGAACTAATTCAAGTGAGAATTTCTATGCCAGCCGATTAGCATAAAAAGTGACCCCACAATTTCTTTTAAAAAAGGAGACTGTTTGGCTTTAAAAAAGGTGGAGTTGTGTAAATATAGCCAAAGATCAACTCCCTGGTCTTTGGGCTTTCATCTGAGAGCAGATTTGATAATATCTTGCAGTCTTGGGAAGTACCACTTTTCGGGAGGTGATTATGTTCTGTGGTGAATAATTAAAAATGTAATCGGCTAACCCACCCAAAATTGAAAAGAATTAGGCAGATGAAGGATTAGAAAATAATTTAATTTTTGTTTCAGAAACCCCAGTGATGTCGGCTTGCATGTTATTTGGCCCTGAACTTTGTTGATTTTACACTGTTTTCAATGGGGCTTGAATTGGTTCAGTGCACCTTGTATGCCACGTTTGTCCAAAAATTTTGAATAAAATAATTTTTTTGTCAATAAAAAAGTCTTTTCGTGTGTTATAGGTCAATTAAACAACTGAACAGGTTAATTGAACAGAATCTGTTCAAGGTAGTTTTTTGGGGATGCATGCATTCGTAGGCTTCGCTACACAGTGCGGCAAAGACTGCACCGACGATCAACTTACACAAAATGAAATACAAATTTCAAACGAATGCGGTAAGATGTACGCTAAAACGTGGGTGGAGGGCGACATCATACATTTTTGTTCCCAATAAAAATATTTAGGGTCTGCATGATTTGGATGGTAGAATTGCGTCAACACAGCTTGTGAAATATTGTCCAATTACATGATATACAAATGGACGCGGAATGCCCAAAATCTGAGACAAACAAAACTTAACGTACAAAACTCCATAGGGTTGTCTAAGGGGCGTAGCTAACTTGCAAACTGTGATACGTCAATTGTACTTGGCGTTATTTGGATTGTTAGCTTATATCCAATACTAATTAGATAGGCGTACGATATTAAAATATCTTCAAAGTGGGGTATGCCAAACAATGCCTCAATTCATCCACCCGGCCCAAAACCCTGCATCCAGAAAACATTTAAAAAAAAAAGTTTTTTAAAATATTTAACAATTGCGTGACTCACTCATGATTGCATCCATGTCCCCAGATGTACAAGGATCCCGATGTGAGACTTGAAGCCCTCTTTGTCGTCGGGGAGAACATGCCCAAGAAAATGGCTGAGAAAAATGCCGCCAAAGGAAAGTCCAGCATGCCCTACAACTATCAGCATAGGTACTTCTTTATAAGTAAGTTGCCCTTCTTCATGTTAATTTCCAATTTGTGATAATTTGCCCAAATTTTTTTCCCCCACGAAAATGAAGTGGTGAGTAAAATTTCTCGCTTGTTTCAGATGGGGATCAAGTGGCGCAGATTTACAGCTTCAAAGCCGGTTCATATTTCATGTTAATGCAAATGTGAAGGACATCTCTCAAATTCTATTTTAGTAAACGTAAAAACTAAAATTCGATTTGTTACCTGGTCGTGGTAGAAACTATTTCCAACTGGGTTGTTTTCAAGGAAATTTTTTTGACATCGATTGGTGCATAGAGATCAGCTATCTGTCCATAGGCACTAGAATACTACGGTTAAATGTTCACTCTACATTAATGCGTTCATGGGAAGTTTAAACAGTCCTGCCATAATCTCGAAATTTGTTGTTTGAAAAAGCATCAGGTCTCTTCTCAAAGCTGTCCATATTTGTCAGAATATTTATGGTGCATGACGCGTTACAGAGAAAATAACGCCAGGTCAGTGCTAAAAGGTTGCTAAAAGGTCATCAGAGCAGTCAATCAATTTCTGGCAAGCACTTTTGGCTCAGATTTCAAATAAAATCAACATCCAGACTGATATATTTTTGTAAAATAATTTTTTCCTTGCAATTTATTTAGATTTTGCCATGTTTTGCTGCTGAGTTTGATGTTCTGCCCGAATTTTCAGATAGCGCTGAGGCAGTGTAATAGTATTAAAGCATTTGGTAATCTGCTCTGTTATATTTCTCTCTGCAGTTGGGCCGCCTCTTCTGTTCCCCGTCTACTTCCAGTTCATGACCTTTTACTACTGTGTCACCCGCAAGGAATGGATGGTACTGAGTTATTTTGTGAATTTTGTTGACACGATCACGTAACTTGTACTTGAAACTTTCAATATTTCCAGGATAGAATGTGTGCAAGTTGACCTTAAAAAACACTAGCAAGATTTTGCAGGAATATGTTACATTCGGGAACATCTTTTAGGTGCTACAATGTGTGCGACATGTTTCCCATCTGGGTTTATTTGGTTAAGGTCAATAAATTTGTTTTGTGAAACAAACCAAAGCATTACAATTTACAACAGTTTGAAAATGTTGCTCAAATAAAATTGGAGAAAAAATTACCTAAATTTTCCGGTCAATCAATTCTGCAAATTGCTGTTGGATTAAAGACAAACACTTGAGTCTGTAACTAGACTAGTCAGTGTTCGGAGCCAGGAGGTTCACATATAAAGTGAACATGAACTCACGACACTTGCCTGCTATTTTCTTTCCCCTAAAGTTTAACAAACTCTGTTTGCTCTTGTTCTGTACATGCAGGATCTGTTTCTAAGTGCAACCTACTACGTCCGCTTTGCTCTGTTCTACATACCACTACTCGGTTTCTGGAAGACACTCGTGCTGTTTGAGTGCATGAGGTAAAGGGGGTGGGGCTAATGAAGAAATGAAGGGGGGTGCTTGAGAGACTCGTATAAAGAAGATGCAGATGACGTCACTGAAGCATTTGAACAATGTGTCAGATGGCAATACGCGTACAATTTCTGTGTGTTTGCTTTTAAAAAAAAATCACTTGACATTCGCATGACTGCAGGTTTTCTGTAGCTATGCAATAGAGGACATTTCTAAAGCAACTGCTCTGATTTTCGTTACGCTTTCTTGTTGGACTGATATATGATAATGTTATTACAATCAAATGAACCAACTCTCAATAGACCAAGTAATCTACAGGGTGAGTCAAAAAAAGCGAAACCCAAACCTCAAAAAATATATTTCATATTTAAAAAAATATGTAGCACCAAAATTAATAATCACTGAAAAGCCAATTTCATAAGCTACTTTTAGATGAAAAAAATACTGAAATTGCTCAATCCGTTCAAAGAAAATCACCATTTAAAAGCAATTACCCTAAAACTTGTCGTCCAAAAAAAAAAAAAAATTGTTGTGTGTTTTGACTGTTTGGAACAATGACAAAGAATACTTGTTTCAAAATGAAAATGACAAAGAATACTTGTTTCAACAACTGTCACCAACTGTAGTACACAATATCTTTATTAACAATCGTGGTTAGACAAACAATATGATATAGAAAATCTACTTTTTTCGAAAGACAGGACTTTGTTGAATACTTTTAACGTTTAAGCTGAGATTTTATCGCTGGTGATGTTTGAAGACAATTGTGACGACGATTCTTGAAATCGCAGTTTTTGGACGAGACAGGTTTTAATGGTGATATTGTTTGAAGGGATTGACCAATTTCAGTATTTTTTTCACCTAAAAGTAGCTTATGAAATTGGCTTTCCAGTCATTATTATGTTTGGTGTTACATATTTTTTAAAATATGAAATATATTTTTGGGGTTTGGGTTCCGATTTTTTTGACTCACCCTGTATGACATCATGCCTGTTGGTTGCCCACAGGTAAAGCAGCCGCCCAAGCATGCTTCTCATTTCCTTTCCCCGCAGAGTAAAATGTCAACCCCGGCAAGTTCATCCCGACTCGGCGATCTTGCAAAAATCAGTTTCTGGTCTTGCAAAAGCTGTAAACTTTTTGGTGTTGAAATAGCTGTAACATTGAGGTTTCTGCCTGAAATGACATTACGAAAAACGAAAAAGGCACCAAATACCCTTGAAAAGACACAAAGGTGCATTAATAAGGATTGCATAAAAAATGTCATTGCATAGCCCTTTAACGGATGTTAATCTTTCATTCCTATCGTTTGTTTGTTGTTGCAGGGTGTTGGAGAGCATGTGGTTCACCTGGGTGGCCCAGTCCAACCACATACCCATGAATATCGAGGAGGATCAGGGAAAGCCGTGGTTAGCGTTACAGGTAAAGCTAACTTCACTTCAACTAACAACGGAATTCTGTGCAATTCTGTTTCTCTGCTTACAGTGCTCACATAAAAACTTGTTGCTTACCCTCTAAGCATAGAACCCCTAGTTACAGACATGCGCCATGGCACAAAACAAAGTTTCCTGCTAACCCGTGGAATATGCTAACCTTTAGTTAGCAGAGCCAGGAAGCAGGCCCAGGGTTTATGCAGCTATCCTGCGCAAGGAAATTGCAATATTGTGGCTTGGATGATAAGGATGATGCACTCTTCAAGTGTGTATTTTATTCAAAACAAATAGAGTAGTGTACCACACTGTGGAGCTCTCATGAATGGCCTGACGGCACTATTAAAGAGGTTGTGGAATGCTCGAAGACATTTCTGTCATTTTTCGGGTATATGTAGCCTAAGGTGTGATGAAATAAAAACGACTATTGTGTCTGTCATGACATGAGTACAAAAGGTACTTTTGAGAGCTGTTTTTCAGGTCCTGTTGCAGCGTAGTATAAACGAGTCCTGTTTAATACGTCACGATTTGCTATGTTTTGTTTTTGTTTTACACGAATTGCACATTCGGGTCGAAACAGGACCTGAAAAACAGCTCTCAAAAGTACCTTTTGTAGCCACTTCATGACAGACACAATAGTCGTTTTTATGTCATCACACCTTAGGCTACATATACCCGAAAAATGACGGAAATGTCTTCGAGCATTCCACAACCTCTTTAATTGTTCCCACACACACTCCGTATAGAAAACTGTAATCGTAGTTTGGAGATAATTGAATGAATCACATCATGCTGGAATAGGCCGGTTCGGTATCTCCATGAAGTAGTCCAGGTCACCGAGGATGAAATGGAAGGGTCTTTTGTAACCGCGATGTTATACGCGAACGCTCATTCTGCTCGTAAATAACACGCGAGCATCGTGCAACCGTCTCCTTGCGCGTTCATGCGCCTTCGTTGAGTGTTTGGTTATCTCAAAAGACCTGTGACCCTTAAAGGGAAAATACAACATTTGCAAACATCGAAAAATAAAACTACCAAATCATTTTGAAATACCTTGCTGGACTGTTAGTGAGTGACAGTGTAAAGCATCCTGTAAAATCATGGCACCTGGTATACTGTCATTTTCAAGAAAAGTGGTATTTTTGTATCAATTTCCAACGCTGATCGGCCGATCAGCATTGGAAACAACTGGCTTTTTTTCAAATACTGGCCCCAGTTGACCATCGCACTTGTTTGCAATCGATTACACACCTATGAACGGGTACAAGCCAGCTAGATTGGTTCCCTGACCTTACAATTCCCCGATGTATGTAAACTGCTCTGTTTCTTCTTATATGGAGTCAGGGAACCAGACTACAGGAAAATGATTGTTTTTCTTAGTTTTTATAGCATTTTCGAACCCAAAACCTCAAAAAAGTCAGTATAACTATATTTGCTATATATTTCCAACCCCCCAATTCCATCCATTTCTGAAAATTACAGCAAAAGCAAATGATGTGTATTCCCTTTTACATTGTGTGCATGCACAGTTGAAATACCCAACTGGCGTATGGCAATTGCTTTACAGCATGGAGTGTAAGGGGATTGGGGAGCAGGAATGTTCCTATCTAAGTGTCATTCTTTGGAAATCGCACTTTTCAATTTTCTGGTAATTATAATCATTTGATTGCCCGTGCATTTTTTCTCGCAGCTGAGTGCTACTTGCAACATCCAGCAGTCCTGGTTCAACGACTGGTTCACTGGGCATCTGAATTTCCAGATTGAGCACCAGTAAGTATAGGAATAAGAGAGTCTTCTTCATTGAAACTGTAACTGTTTCAGAAAATAAGATGACAATAAGCATAAAATCTTCCTTCTATATTCACATTTTCTTTCTGTTTTTGTTCGCCATGAACACAGCCTATTTATATAAATCATTGGGCTCAAAGTGAGATATACACAAAACAGATTGAAATGCACTTACAGAGGTTTGTAATACCCAGATTTGAAAATGTGCAATTGATGTGAAGTTAACGAACTTGAGCAGAAACTTTCTATTGTTTTTATTTCTCGCCCTTCCAGCCTATTTCCTACCATGCCACGTCACAACCTTTACCGCATCGCCCCGATGGCCAAATCCCTCTGTAAGAAACACGGCATTGATTATCAGCTGAAGACTCTGGGCTCAGCCTTCGTAGACATTGTAACGTGAGTCACAACTTTGTCATTTTTATAACTTTACAGTTCTGAAGCTAATCTAAGTAAACTTACAACAAAACTATTTTTCCTGTGCTCACAGAGTGAGAGTTAAGTCCCCGAACTCGAATTTCAAGATTAGCCCCCACGCTTTTTTCTTCGACAAATTAAAAGCATTTAAACTTCAGCTCTCAAAGTAAGTTTTATCAAGTACCAAAGAAGTTGCAACAAAATATAATGGTTGTTTCCTGTTTATAAAAACTCATGACCTTATTACTAGGTCTGTCCATCTTGGAATAATTTAGTATTCGATTTTTTGAAACTGCGTTTGACCGAATATTCAGATATTCAAAACTGCCAGTTGCAACTTCGTGCCGAGCTGGTCAAAAGTTGAACGCAGAGAGCGCCAGTTAAAATATGCATGCGGCGATCAATATGGGTCACTGGAGTGTTTTGCACTAAGTATTTCATAACTGTCAAGGACTTTAACCTGCTAAAAGGATGAGAACAATGAACTGTCGTCGGAAAAAGTTACCGTCGACAAGAAAGTGGCACCTGACAATAAAGCACCGCAACTTAACAATAACATGCAGTCATGTGTGTACTTGCATATTTTTATTCTATATTTTTTAAAATATTCAAACCAGCAAAAAACCTATTCGAATATCTGATTGATGATCAAAAATTCAAATATATACTCGGTATATTTTCCGGGACAGCCCTACTTATTAAGTTGAGAACCAAGCAACTGAGCCAAAAAAAACACAAATAGTGCTTTGGTAATGCGAGAGAGCATGGATATTTTAGTCAAATTTCTTAATTTCTGCTGCAGTTCTTGCTGTATGAGGGGTGAAAAACTTCAACAACAATCGACAGTAGTGAAATGAAAAGATGAAAACGATCATTCAAATCTTTCGTTGCTTTGTTATAGAAGCTTTAGGACTTCGACAAATAAAATTGTCTTGCTGCTGTGAATTTTACAAGGTGAAGTACAGTAGCCCGTCTGGTAAATATTTCCTCGCAGCAAGTATTAACTAAATCCAAAATTTTGCTTTTTTAATTTTAATTTAGCAAACTAGTCTTTTTTTCCATTCTTTCTTCCTTTCCTCAAGGTCTCTGGAAAAGTCTGGCAAGATCTGGTTTGATGCCTACTACAGCCTGCGACATGAACTCTAAGGTCACAGGTCACGAAGGTCAAAAGTCATATGATTGATTGCATGTTGTATATGTTAACAAGCATCTGTTTCGTTTAAAATGCAGCTGGCATGATCAGTCCATACAAACACACGTAGCCCAGGCTTTCAAGTCTTCCTACTTGTCCTAATTTTCCTAGTATTTTTACCTTGCTCCTACTTTTCCTACTTCTTTTGTTGAAATTCCTATTTTGTCCTACTTTTTCGTCCCACAACTCCAAAAAAATGAAATCTCATTGAAAAATTTTCATAACAGTGTTACACACTTTCATATAATTCACACAAAGCTGGAGTACTGCAACTGTACTTCCAAGAGCTTAGTTGAGGATGGAGCACAAGTGTTGTGAGTAACGAACATGTTAAATGAGGCTTATGATGCTGTATCAATGAAAAGTACTCCTGAAAGCCTGCAAAATTCCTACTTTTATACTGATTTTGTCCCCAAAAAAACTATTTTTGTCTTTTTTTTTTTTTTTTTGGTTTTGTTGAAAATTTGGATCCTACTATTTTCTTCCTTTTTTTTTTACCTGGGTCTGCTTGAAAGCTTGGTAGCCGTTAGTATTACTTGTAGATTTCAAAGAATGTAGCATGATATGGTATGATAGGAATTTTAGAACAGTATTAAGATCCCGTTTAGAATATCCTTCATTATAAGAGTTTCACTCCTATGTGCTGAATATGATGCAATATAAGATGCATTTGGTTAAGGATAAATCAGATTGTATTTATGCAATTAAGACAACAGCTTTAAGTTACGACCAGAAAAATTAAAACAGATTGACAGCAACGTTTTTATGTATTTTTATGGATTGAGTCATACGGTTTGCTGTTTGAATGTAGTGACAAAATATTACTTTAAATTTTTCATTTCTACAGTAAACAAGACAAGGAATAAAAATACACAGATATATTGATTCAAATATAGTCATTTTCTTTTATAATTTCTTTGAAGATTTGTTTCTTAACAAACCTTTAAATTTCTCAAAGTACAACTTCCCTTTACTTTATATTGAAAAAGTAACCCATGATATATATGTTGTAATTCCAGTTCATTGTGTAGTAATGTTGGTTATAATTATAGTGGTATTGTTGCCTAATGTCACAATTACGCCAAAAAGTCATTTTGAAAATGACCATAAAAAGTGTCGTTTTTTCCAAAACGGATTGGGACCAAAATGTGCATTCAAAAACACTAATGCAGACTTTTTAATAGCACTCGCCGGAGTACCGAAGTGTGAGGTCATTTAGAACCAGAAAGTGTAGTGCAAACGAATGGAGTACGCGCGCGTGTTGGTTCACAGGCTGAATCACGCGCTAATGTCTCACACACATTTTGTGCGCATGACGTATTCACTTCGGTAATCACAGTAGGACATTATTAGGCACCAAATCCGCGGGGTTAACCATCATTCCTAAAACCTTTCTTCTTTACTTCATCATTGTCAATTATTAATATATTCATATATTAATATATCGGTCCATTTTGCAGTGAATATTTTAAAATTCTTTTTAGTTTGTGTAACTCTAATGTGTAACTAAACTAATGTTGATTTCCAATTTTTATAACCCTGTGGGCAAGCAAAAAGGGGATAGAACATAATACTAACAATAACAAAATTACATGGACAAATTCAAGTCAAGATTGTCCCCAAGATTTGTTATTTGAAAATTTGGTGCATATTGTGTGTTTTTTTACAATCAAATATTGATTAGAATTAAGCATATAATGCTACCTTAAATTTGTTTAAAGATGTGTGTGCAAAAACCTCCAAATTGTAAGTGTATTCTTGAGGGCTAAAATGTTTTATTTTTCAAAGGACATTTAATGATTTCAATATCTTGAAAATAAAGTTAGTAATTAGTTTAGCGTTGATAATCAAAGTTACTAAAAGTACCGGGTAATATGTCTGTTCCTTTGCTCATAATGAAACATTGGAAATCAGTTTTTGATAAGAAAAATAATTTAAACTAATTTTGCTGAATATGTCTTGTACTAACTGGTGTAGCCGTAGCATTAAAAATTGTCCCATGCAAGCCCTGCTTGATTGTCCCACTTCTGTCCAGTGTAAAACAATTTGTTTAAAGGTGCCGGCTTGTCAGTGTTTATCTTGGATCTGAAGGGAGCCCTCGTTTGGAGTTAATTTGTTTTGTTTTTTGCATGGCTCCATGGTTAAAACCTGCAATACCACTGAATACCACCCCAAATAATATGTGCTGATTCAGAATATAATTCTTACAAATATCATGAAGCATTTAAAATGTTTAGAGTTAGACATACATTGAGTCTAGCTTATCAAAATTGTTGCTATTACCACCTTAAATACTTTTTTATACCAGACTAAATTGCTTTACCTTGTTATTGTGTGTCAAAAAAAATAATATAAAAACATAGTAGCGTTTTGGTTAACTTTTTGAACAGAATAAAAAGGTGTGCCGTGTGGACCATTCAGTATTATCATTTGGGGTTTACGAAATCTCATTTTTCTCTCCAGATTCGCCTTCAGGATTGTAGGCCTTTGACTTTGGGGGCACTTAATCAGTTAAAAGTTTAGAGAGTTTCCATCTGGTTTGTAAAAGTGGTTGTTGGAATTTTCAGGAACCAGAGATGAAGTCGCAGTTGGAGACAAACCTTGATTTGGTAAACCTCAATGTACGAATCGTTGGACATTCTTAGAGGTTATGTATGGAAATTAGTGATGTAGTGATAGTATGGTGATATGACCATTGCTATGCGAATACGACAAACTGACGAGAAGTGCCAAATGACTCGTTGCTTGGTGTTTAATTGGCAAACTTTGTTATATCCCTAAATAAACCATTATCTTTGTTATGCCTCAAAAAGATGAGATTCATGTACCTCAGTATTTTAGATCATGTCGCCTGAATTGGAAGAATTAATCCATTTTTAAATTTTTCTGTTCTTATATAGTTTTTCTTTCATGTATCTTTGCATTGAAATTTCTGCTTCAAGCCTTAGAACAACTTTTTTTTAAGTATGTAATTCTTGTGAAGAACATTGAAATTTCAGGAATTGATATATTTTGTATGCAAGAAAATGAGGTAAAATTCTGATCCCTGCAAACCTACTCTTCATTTCTGTAGAAAAGAATCTCCCTAGAATATTTTAGATCTAGAAAAAAATAAAAATCCTTAACTTCCCTATGTTCAGGCTTCCCTAATCTTCTGTAAAAAAAAAAATGTAATGGGCAACAAGAGATGGAAAAGAATTAGTTGATGTCTGAATGTGTTACGAACCATAGACTCTTTACATGGCGGCCATCTTGGAGGTGCAGTGCTCGTGTTCCACAGGGGTGTTCATGACGACCTGCTTCTTGCATGCATTCAAGTTTGGCTGTTGTATGCAAACGGTCTCTTGGGAATCGTACATTAATGAAGACTTGAGAATGGTATATTTAATTGAATAATTAGGGAAAGTGGGTCTTTCGTAGTATGTGAGTATCGGTATAATCCTATTTTGAATTATTAGAACATGTGTATAGACCTTATGCGTTAAGGCGGAGTTAGGGGGCTGTGGTATTGTATAGCTTGGATAGGCAGAAGTACACCTTTTGTGCATTCATTGTTACTAAATTGAAATAACAAAGAGATACCTGAGATATCTGCCATGCATAATGTCAAATCACTCGAATTGTTTGAACTTAGTTTACCTTTGTGATGTATTAGCTTTTTGTACCTGTAACAAGAAGCCACATCCTTTTGTAATGATCCCATTTTCCATTTGTAGCATTTATAATTTTTGCTAGTATCATGACATTTGGCAGAAGAAGGGTTTGTTGCTTTGTGTCACTACCATCGCTTGAACAAAGAGATTGAGAAATTATTGAGACTGCCAACATGGGGTTGGATAGCTCAGTTGGTGGTGTGCCGGAACAGTAATCCGGAGGTTGCAGGTTCAAACCCTGTTCCACTCATGTTGGAACAATATGGATTGTTAGTGAACCTATTCATTTTCCTATTGCGGTCTGATGAACTCAGTAAAACAGTAGATATTTTCGTTTTTAGTTCCTCCAATATTTTTTGGCAGCTAAAGACAATTTGGCTACTACTTGTAAAATTTTATCTATGTCATGTTCTGCGTTCTAACAGAGCAATCATTTTGTGATTGGAAAAGGTATACTTTTTTTAGGAAATAAATGCACTGTTGATGCTGTGAATTGCAGATGATGAGTAAAGCCATTAAAGCTAACTGTATTAACAAGAGAAAATTGCGAGCTTTTTGTGTTTTGTTTTAATTGAACTGATTGCTTTTCCACTAACAACACTCAAATTGTAAAGGTGAATATTAATTTTGTTTTCTTTAGACTTTTAGTAAGAAAAACCTACCCAAAAACATGATTTTAATTGTTTTTCGAACCATTATCTGCGTAACTGAAATTTCAGGACATTTTTTGAGAGAAGAAAGCAACAAGGGGTAATTTGTGTTTTTGTATTCATTTTCAATTTTTGTCAGTTACAAAAAATTCAATGCAATTTCAAAATTTTCCCCTCTTTTTTCGATGTTTTTTTAAATGTCGAAGTTTATCCAAAATGATATTTAAAGTAGAACAATTTCAACAGAGAATTCTCAAAACCATTCAATGGTTAATAAGGCCTCATTGATGGATTAAAGAGGCATTGTTACAACTTCCAATTTCTTTGCTTTCAATGTTGCCCCCAAAACATCTACCAAATCAAAAAACAAATTTCTGGTGAATTTCAGAATATTTGTCATCCAAGTTTGATCAATTTGACTACAAGTAATTTACTTTTAATAAGATATTCATCTTTGATTTTAAAACTCTAGTTTAACAGAATCCGAACGCACAAAACTGAAAAAGACAAAATTAATCTTTTTTAACCAAAGAATTAATTTATTACTCTCCATTATTCACAGTTGTACAGTTTTACATAAATAATAATTTTATGGGGAAATACATTTTAAAAAATTACTTTCAATACAATGTCTCAGTGCGCACATTTTCACTTGTTTTTAATTTTACCACTGCCACTTAAAAAGATGGTTAACAAATAGGGATCTCATATTTTGAGCTACAATTACATAAATACAAAACTTAACCATACTTTCTGTTCACTTACAAGAACAAGGCGGATAGCTTACATTATTTGTGTACATTACTCTACAGGGTGAATGAAAGGAAATTGCAAACGGATTTGTCATTAGGCTGATTAGTCTCATTAAAAAAATAAAGACTCAGCATTTTTTTTTGCTGTAATTTTCCAGAAACGGATGAATTTTGGTAGTATTTAACAACAAATGTTGATACACTGACTTATTCACAGTTATGTGTTTATAAATGCTGGGAAAACCAAGAAAAACAAAAATGTTCAAGTAGTCTGGTTCCCTGACTCCACTAAAGATAAAATGGATCAATTTAAAGATGCCGGAAAATTGTAAGGTAATGGAACCAGTCTATAGCCTGCACCCGTTTATGAACATGTAACCAATAGCAAACAAAATTTGAATTGAAAAAAATTGGTAAATTTGGAGCAGTAGTTGAAAAATAGTTAGGTTTTTCCAACGGTGGTCGGCCAACCACCATTGGAAATTTATACAAAATACCACTTTCCCAAGATTCCCTGACCCTACTTCAGATGAAACGGAGCAGTTGATAGACGCTGGGGAATTGTCAGGTCTGGGAACCAGACCAGAAGGCTAGCACCTGTTCACGGATGTGTAACCATTGCAAACAGAATGTGGACGAACTAAATTTGGTAAATTGGGGGCAGTATCAACATTTTTTTTCCAATGGAAATTGATACAAAATCCAAAATCCTGCTAACCGTTAATGGAAAATCCCTGCTTCCTATAGCAGAACATAATGACAGAGATACAGGGGGTAAGAAAACAACTGGAACCCCCTCTCCACATACAAGCCATTCAAAAATGATCACAATGAAACAGACACACAGTCATAGTTACAATCATTATTTTGTTTAAGTCTGCATGAACAAAAACACTTGACACGTTTCATAAAAAAAAAAGAGTCAGGGTACCTCAGCTCAGGTCATAGAGCTATATTAAAAGTTGAACACATCAACTCGGGGAAATTTCACAGCGGATGTTTTCTGACGTCAAATTTGCTTTGCATTCGCGTGAAGTATGAAATTGCCTTTACAGTGAAGTTTTTTTAAGGTAAATCTGGACCGTGTTGTGGCTGCTTTCAACTGATGCCACAACATTTATGGTCCAACAAAGCCTGTCGTAAAATGTAAATTAATGGCAGACACCATACGAGGGCGCTATTTGGAGTACAGTTGTATTTCCCCATTGCATCCTATTGTGTCCGCTTCATCTCTTATATCAGATATTATTTGTATACTTGTTTTGTGCACATTACAATCACAGTGTCATGTGGGGATCTTTCTTTAGCAAAACTAACAGCTGACAAAACCAATCACACACACAAATATAAATTCCAGTAAAACCAGAAATGCACATACTTTATCAAAGGGTGGACACCACCGTGGTTTACACGTAATGATTAATAAAACACAATGACAGTTTGGGTGGTACTTTCAGTTGAAAATGTGACAATTATTGATGAGATCACAAAAATATATTATGCCATGATTTGCATTTACGATCAGTGAAACAAATTGCACTTGCAAAACACCGAGCTAAAAACCAAAGTAAAATTGTCATTTCTTTTAAATTTCTTTTTAAAACATGATTATACAGCGTCATAAAATAATAATCCATCAAGCCAAGTACATACTCATTATGGACAAGCGGAAACCAATCTTGGGAATTTTGGCACTCAGAACCCGAGAAATGCTGAGCATACTTCACGCATGCTACACTCAAGCTGATGCATGCCTGTGAGATATGCTCGGAATTTCTCTGGTCCGTGCCTAAATTCCCAAGATACGATTCGACTGATTCATCTTGACAGTGCCTCCTATCGTCATGGTGACTTGACAGCACTTGAGGGTTCACTTGGGAAAAAATTCTGAATGTATTCTTGGACTAAGACTAGTGAAAAATGAAAAGTGAAACCGTTCTGCCTGCTTGCCCTGAGCTTAATTAACCACTCAAAAGAACTGTGCAGGGATTTGAAGTGTTATCAATACTCTGCAGAAGATTACCTCGAAGAAATTGGAAGTGTAGGTGCTTACTCTGGTGGCAAAATGTTGTTTTGCAAAACTTGAGAGGTTGTTAAGTGTCGAGGGTAAAGAAATACTCAACGATTTAGTTTCCTCAGAAAAAAAAAAATGTTGTTTGACTGCTACATTATTTTTGAGACGCGCTGTAGGTTACCAGTCAAAATGCTATGCAATTTGTATTGCTTGTGACTGGTACTCAGCAGCTCCATGGCCTTTGACCTTGGACCTCACTCAGCAACTTTGATGAGGACTTATAAAGTCTCCATATTTTGATTTCTGTTATTGAGGATTATTGGGCTACATGGACACTGTACACTGAAGACATTAATTGACTGCAAATATAAATAACCTTTTTAAAAAAAAATGTAAAATCATTAAAAAATCAAAAAATAAATCTGAACTTGCTGTACATGTATATCAGAGCACAAAAACACAGGATCCAACGTCCTACAAAACTCCACAGATTACACAGGGTTGAAGCCGTGTGAAGTTGTACACTTAAACATAGAGCACATACAAAATTGATTACACTTTTTTTCTTAATTCATAATGCTTCCATTGTTTTCTGTGACTTTAAAATTACTTGCACTTCACAAACACAAATTTCACGTTTACCTTAATCCAGAAAAGAAATTGGTAATGACTTAATAGTTCTCATTGATTTATTGATATTTTTCATTGATTGCTGACATCCAGCAGAACATAAAGAATTGATTTGGGATTATGGATATATTTTACACAATACATGTACTTTACAGTCTTAATATGTGAGCGCACGAGGGGATGATATTTGGACATAAGCAGTCGGGGAAAAGACAAAGCAGATGTAATCATAAGGGTTACAAAAAGCTGGCTGCAATTGACAAGTTGCCACAATAGACAGCTGGACTCTGCACACAGGTGGACAAAACAGACAGCTGAAGAGATGACCACAGTACACAGGCACAAGGGGAAACTACAGTCGAACCTCGGACATTTACCAAATTTTTACCATGTACCGTTTTGGACTGTCAGTGCATTCTTAACGCTTGTATGACAGCTCAACATTGATTTTGCTAGGTCTTTTTGTCTGAGCATTTTTTGAGGGGCATATAATTTCACTCCCTGGACAGGAGACTACAGTGGGTAAGTTGCCAGAGAGGGCTCTCTCTCTCTCACCCACACGACCCATCCTAAATCCAGACTTCGGAAAGTGATCTTTGCTATTGTAGTAGGCTAAGATTGTACATGTAAAACTCCGCGCACAGTAGGTAGACAAGCCTGCAAAGCTGTGATGGATTACAAAACCTGTGAGAAAAATAGCCAACATCCGGTGCTGGGTTGGCACGATTAGGACAACCGTACACTGTACTTGTAGAGACAATTCTGCCATTTGATAAAGAATTTGTAGTTATTTTATGCGAAAAATAAGCACTACTGTCTAGTTAACAACGCAGGATGCGCTTGCTAACCAAACATGCCTACTGCAATGGTAACCAATCAAGGGGAAACCGGATGGTCACATGGTACTTTGGCATCATACGATCAGGACATATAATTGCTCTGAAAAATGTCAGGTGGCTGAAATGGACGATGTGGCTGAGAAGATCTATGGAATCTATAAGGGGAGTCAGGTTGGTGTAGCGGTACTTTCCTCGCCTTCCACAGCTATGACCCGGGTTCGAATCCCGCCTGGATCAATATGTGGATTGGGTTTTCAGTCCCTGCCTGACTCCGTGAGTTTTCCCCAGAATATTCTTCTGGGCTTTTCCTCCCACCTCTATAAAACTGTCACTTCTTCTCATTGTCTTCTCTCTACAGGTTTCTTAAGGCTTATGAGCGACAGCGCCAAGGGCGCTTTTGAGGAATCCTTGGTTTCAGTACCAGAAAGTAATAATAATAATGACTCCATTCACAGGTTGTCCCACCGAACAGCTGACTAACATGAAAATTGGTAACTACAAAGGACTTGTGACCAGACCTTAAACGGGGCACTAATAAGAGATGATCCCCAATATGCCTGTGCTATTGAAGCAGAAGTTCCTGCCCAGCTGGAAGCAGCTAAAGTACAACCACCTAGAACATTGAACTGGCATCCTTAGCAGTTTGATGACATCGGCCTGGGACTCAGTCATCCATGAGGGAACAGTGCTCCACTTGACACGATTTGACGTCCTTGACGTATACAAGGGAAGTGAGAATGTGTAAACACATGAGGGTTTACTGGCAAGAAAATAGTTGGGTTCAGAAGCGGAGCGGCGCCAAATCTCCCAATCCATCGCAAGCATCTTAACTTGCATACATTTGTCCCCGGTTCGATTCAACATCGACCTGGCAAGATAAATATTACATCGACGTGTTTATACTTCCCTCGTTGCCTTCAACACAGCAAAAGGGCTCTGCAACACTTTTTAACTGGTTAAACAAAAACAACACTTGATGTTTTTGTTCAGATACTTGCACTTTGATATGTCCCTGGTTCGAACCCAGACGGGTGAGATTCTAGGAGGCAGGTGTCATGAGATGATAGCCGCCGTGAATTTGGGGCCTAAGTGAATGCCGTCCACGCTGGAGGAACGCTTCAGCTCCTGGTAGGTTTGGTCTCGCGTCTTCTCCTCGCAAAGCCTTGTGATGGCCTGGAGTGAGGGATGAGAATAATGAACAGGAAATGTTAGACAATGCACATTCCTAGCTAAACGTTGTGACATTTTCAGAGGACCAGATTAATTTGCACAGGGCGTGATTATAACGTGGTTGAGCCGAAGGCATGCAAGGCGCCTTAGGCAGCCGCCATACGTCCCATGCCTGACAACGGAGCACAGCCAGAGATCGGATTTTTTTTGCGGAGGGAGGAAAGCCGCAGAGCCCAGAGAAGAACCCTCATGGCACAGAAGAGAATCAACGAACAACTCTACTCACATATGGTCCGAGCCGGGAATGGGACCCGGGCCACATTGGTGAGAGGCGAGCGCTTTATGCACTAGCCACCCACGCCACCCTAGAGTGATACAACTGGTCTGAAACTGTGACTGAAGGAGACTAAAATCTTGAAGCGGAACCCATTATCCCACATCTTGAAATTAAGCCAAGATTTTGTAAACCTTGATCATAACTCAACAATCTTACACAACTGCCACAAAGCAGGATATATGTCACTGGAAAACCAGTGTAAAACATCAAGTTTTTACTTTAAATGCTGCTAGGGAGAAAGAGGCCGATTACGGCGGGTAGATCGCAGGGTATTGTGGGTTTTTCTCCTGTTTTCTCCTAACATTGTATTGTATGAACTCTCAGTGAACGAATCTAGGGAAATATGCAACTAATAGTTGTAGTTCTATGGGAAAGATGAGTGCATATTCTGTTGTAGTTTTCATAATGGGGACATGGGGGGGGGGAATCCACTAGTATTAACAACATGTATTGTTTCTTTCTAAGATTTTAAGAGAAAAGGAAAACCATGAATCAAAATGTTCAAAGCGGGTAATTGACAAACTTTGCATAACTGACATTTCAAATTATGAAAAGGTTGATTATACATACATGTATTTGAGGCAGAAACCTCAATGTTACAGCTATTTTAGCACCAAAATGTGCCAGAATTTTGGATATTTCGCCGTCGTTCTTTTCTTGGTGATTGGTTGTTGTGTCAGTACATAGCAGTAAAGCAAAGACAAGTCAAATACATGTAGTCTTCATGCATGTACGAGTAGTAGAAAGTTGCACAAAATATGTTCCTAAAGAAAAATTCACTTGATGGACCCTTTAAGAGTAAAACAAAACAGCAAATGTTCCCAAGAATCAGCGATGGTTTTCTCACAGTTGCTGTTATTACAATCAGTTTGATCACTGTCCCATTTTCCTCCACTTGATATTTGCCTCCCCCCCCCCCCAAAAAAAGAATACGAAAATATTGGACAAATGAATGTTTGTAGTACCTCCAATGTTTGGGCTCTTTCTCTGCTGAGCGGTGAGGAAGGGAAGGAGATTTCATAGGCATCAGCCAGGGCACGGAGGTCAAAATAGTACTTAGCGTAGACGCTGGAGGGAACGTTGATGTTGAACTGCAACATCTCCAAGAACTGTCTCTCAAGCTCATTCCTATCAAAGAGAAATTAAACAGAGGCTCTTGAGCAGACACTGACACATTGTGAGGATGCAGATATAGGCATTAATAGGCAGTGCTGTAGTCCAGTGCATCACAAGTCTGGTCAAAAGTAAATCACTAGTCCTATCGCAAGTCCTGTCGTAAGTAACAGGGGATGAACAATAACAAAGGAATGCAGCTACTTTGAATAGCTTGTGACTTGACTTGAGACTGGAGAACTTGTGATGGGGTTGTGATGGACTTGTGATGGGCTTGTGATGGACTGGTGATGGACTGGTGAGGACTTGTGATGGGGTTGTGATGGACTTGTGATGGGCTTGTGATGGACTGGTGATGGACTGGTGAGGACTTGTGATGGGGTTGTGATGGACTTGTGAGGGACTTGTGATGGACTTGTGATGGACTAGTGAGGACTTGTGATGGGCTTGTGGTGGGCATGCGATGGGCTTGTGATGGACTTGTGATGGGCTTGTGATGGGCTTGTGGTGGGCATGTGATGAGCTTGTGATGGATAAGTGATGGACTTATGATGGGCTTGTCATGGACTTGTGATGGGCTTGTGATGGGCTTGTGGTGGGCATGTGATGGGCTTGTGATGGACTTGTGATGAGCTTGTGATGGATAAGTGATGGACTTATGATGGGCTTGTGGCGGGCATGTGATGGGCTTGTGATGGACTTGTGACGGGGTTGTGATAGGCTTGTGATGGATATGTGATGGACTTGTGATGGGCTTGTGACGGACTTGTGATGGACTCTACTACAACACCGTCAATAGCTAAGAGGAGCAGTGTTACGGTAGTAACAGAGGTTGCCGATATTCAAATCCCGTTTCAGATCAGGTTTTCAGTCAGATTTTTGCAAATTCCTTGAATTTTCAGCAAAAAGCATTTTGTCCAAATTCACAGAATCCTAACCAGAGAAGAACAGGTTCTCAGACCATATGGTCAACCATCTCAGGTTAAATCTTTTTTCTCTCAGTAACTCGGAGAACTCAGAAAAGAACTGAACTGCAAGACTGGTAGGAATAAATTGCTGATAGCCACTCACATATCATCAACAGTGAGGTCTTTCATGATCTGGCAGTAGTCTACGTTCCAGACGGCCTGGTCGTCCCACACCTTGGACGCTAGGAGTATGGCACCTAGGACCATTCGCTTCCAGTTGGCTGGGGTGATGTCAATCTCAGCGTAGGTTAATAATCTCTCTAGATAGACCTGCATGTCAAGAGTAAATACAATAAACCATGATGTATAAAGGAAAGAAATTGTCGTGGTTTTTATTTGATAAAAAACTTTTTTTCTTTGGAAATACAATAATATTGCCCTCAATAGTTGAGATTGTCTGTGTCTAGGGTTGCGCGTTGGAACAGGGTTCCCGAGTACCCGACCGATGATGTTAGAAACCGGTTCCAGATTATGAGATCGGGTACTCGAAACCAACTTTACAAATTACTTCTGCTCAGAAGATGAAAAAGAAAGGTTTGAATGTCAAGGTTGAATGTCATTTGTAAGGAATTTTCAAAATATAGACCAGGCCACGTTGGAAAACAACACATATTTCACGTTTATGATGCTTGCGAATGTTGCAGTTTGCTTAATGTACTCACTCGAATCTTGCTGCATCGACACACCGACTCGGTAGTATTGTTGTACTAACCTTTATGAACAATCTGAACAGCAACTTCCGAAATTTGAATTTTGGGGTTGGGTTTCTTTTACGGGTACCCATGTTTTTTTTTCAATCGGGTACCCAGTTCCCGTACTACCCGTAAATGCACACCCCTATCTGTGTCTGCAATGGAGTCTAGGGACAATGTCATACACCTTTTAAAGATATATAGTCCATCATTTGTAATTTGTGCATTTTGTTCGTTTGAAGCAACAAAAGTGTTCAAAATCTAATGAAGGATACTGAACAACTAACCTGATGAAGTTTCAGCTCAGCTTCAGCTGTATATTCCGAGAAAAACAACATTCTAGGATCTCAATTTCAAATCCAAAGTTGCTGAATCATGTTTTGAATTGTTTTGAATTGCAGCTATACGCGACATCGTGCACTGATCCGACGAATTATAGCAACCACGCGCGCGTGTGCGTCGTTTCAATGCTTGCGTTAGCTGCGCTGAATAACAAAACGAACTACTAATTTAAAATTTTCTACGGTGCGTCTTAAGACGCACCGTTGGAAAGGCCTTCTTTCGTTGATTACTTCAAAATGATAGCTTGCCAGAAAGATTAATTTAACAGGGAGTTTAGTCTACTTACTATCTTTCAACCAGTATGTTTTTCAACAATAATACGCCAGTTACTTTTTCGGATGGCTGCAAATGATGGACTATAGCTTTAAATATGTGAGGAACCATTAGTTGTAGTAGCTTGTAAGCAAGGGGTTGTGAGTTTGATTTCTGCCGAGCAAGTTCGGTGACTTTTTTTACCCACAATACAGTATGCATAAAATTGCATTGCAAAAGGGCAAAAGTCAATATTAAAATGTGCAAATGTTTAAATAAAAAAGCTCTTACTAATGTGACAATAGCACACTCTGCAGTCAGCTGTGCCGCGTTGAACAGCATGCGGATAAATCTGTAGATGTGCTTGTGTTCTGGGTTGGTTTTGAAGTAGTCGTCTGGCACAGGATCTTTCTATAGATTACAGAGAATCAAAGATATTACGCGTTGTGGTCACCTGGTAAGGCCTTTCATAACATGGGCTAAATAAATCATACATCCTGTCATGCAACCATAGCCTGAGGATGATGGGACTTTTTTGTATTCTAATGCTCCTTAAGATTGCCACATGACCACAAAGATGGTGGTTCCCATGAAACTGTCAGTAAAAATAAGTAAAAGCACACTACTACAATTGATACTGTTGTGAGTCACTGGATTTAACGATTTGTCAATTATTGACATGTACATAACGTCGGGAAAGATGTAGGTTAGGTTTGGGATTAAGTAATCCATTATTAATTACCAAACGAGTGCGGGTGGATAATGGAATAATGTAATGCATTCGGTTTTTTTCCCACATGCCATGAGGCTAAAGGCCGAGTGGTATGTCGGACGCAGACGCACTATATTTTCCATGTTCCACAAGCACGAGTGGGACAACGAATTCATCTTCAAGCAAACTTGACGCACAGTATAGATGGAACAGGCACGCAGTTAACCTATTACACGTGCCTGCTGCGGGAATGGCGAATGCATCTTGGAAAAGTGCGATAAGCGAAGTACGGTTTGGACCCTTGTACATATATGGGATAATGTAGCACCATTTGTTGCCACGGATCGACCAATTAGGATCAAGGATTCAAGTTTGCTTGAAGATAAAAATCCATACATCCGTTTTCACTTGTTGCTTTGCATTCTCCCACAATGTATAAAGCAGAGATGAAACTGGCCTTAGCAAAAAAAATCTGAAATTGGACCTTAGGTCCGAGCTGCTACAGCATCGCACAGTGCAGCACAGCGCATCAATGTCATAGGTCAGTATTTAACCTTTTCTCCAGCCAGAAAAGGATCTGATCAGCATTGGTCTAGGTGTTTCACACTTGTGTAAATTTTTACGTGCCATTTTTACCAACTTTTCTTGGAAATTATAATGAAGATAAAATTTTGTGGGATCATTAAAAAATCTGAAATTTCATTGGAAAATTTTAAAAAATCTGATTTCAGATTAAAATCTGAAAAGTTTTATATTTGATAAAGCAAGACTCATGTAAGAATTTTCAGATGACCACGCTTTCCAACATATAATACATGGCAGAAAAATGAAATGAAAATGCCAATGTGAACTGAAACCTAGATATAAAGGCAATGTCCACAAAAACAGTACAACGCCACTTCAATGAACACAATAGGGTCCACCAAATATGTTCCTTAAAGTGGTTGTTCGTTATAGTAATTGTGCATTATAATATAATTTACTATTTTGGGAGTCAAAGGGGATGTTCGTTATAGCCAAATGTGTGTTATAGCGGTGTTCATTATAGCAGTGTTTCACTGTATATAAAAAAAGCCCCCCCCCCCTCCAGAAACACAGCTTTTTATTTGGAACTATTTTTTACCGTAAGCTGATGTAGCTTCTCATCAAATATATCCATCTGTCTGTCTGATTCCCTGTTCTTGATGTGGTAGTAGATTGCAAGCGCGACACTGAGAGGGGAGAAACAAAATGAAACATCTCGTCCATTATCAACTCATTATATTATTACTGCAGGGAAAGGGCCAGAAAGGGAGGGGCCAGAAGCAAGGGATCAGAGGGGAGGGGTCAGAGGGGAGGGGCCAGAGGCGAGGGGTCAGAGGGGGAGGGGAGAGGGACAATGAAATTTTACCAACTGGTACATTTGTATATCAAATCCAATGAGATATTTTTGTCCACATGAAGAAAACTTGAGAGTTTATGGCCCACAAAATGCTCTAATACGGGAGAATTGGAGTTTATGCATAGTTTTGGTTTATGCGTAGTATACAATGTATTAATTTGTTGTAATCCTGTGAGAACATACTTGCAAACATAAATAATACAACTATTAGAGTCCAAACAGTAAAGGACTCACAAACATGTGGCAAATTGGTGTAGCAGCTCTGCATACATTAAATTATACAAAAAAGATGCAGGATGATTCCTATACTGACTTATGCAATCAACTGTATACAACAGAATTCACACAAATGTGTGTACCGGTACATGTATGCATTCATTATAACATGAACGATACAACGTGTTGTACTAAATTAAAAATTGATCGATCCATTAAAGTAACGGCCAATGACCACGAACATTTTTAATTGACTTATCACATACATGATGTGCACGTACATAGTGCTGGCAATCCAAATTGATTTTGTACATGTACACCCGGTACATGAATGTACAGGTACTCATGTACATGTACAAGTGTACATAGTTTCTCGTTCTTTTTTTTTTTACATTTCAATTAAGGAGGGGTGTGTTTATTTATTTATTCCCCCCCCCCCTCTAAGATAGCAGATTTTGCAAGATGGCTTCCACTTTCTCGACTCTTTTGCTGAAATTGTGTCGAAAAGAGTGGCTAACCCTTTCTACATACCGGTAGATAAAATTTTGTTAAAAATAAATAAAAAGACAATATATTGACAATATATGTGCAAACATTATTGCAGATGTAAAAAAAACAAGGCTAGAAAAAGGAAGTGGGCGGGGAAAATAAACTGGTAGTTTTTTTACTTGGCCTCATCATGATTTGCACCATGGAGATGTACATTTCAATATCAATGTTATTATTCCCTTTTGCTTTTTCCCTTTTGCATTACCAACTGCAAGATTCAAACTGGCAAGCTGACCATAGTGAGCTCCGTGGTCCAGTGGTTAAAGACGTCTGCACTAAAAAGCAGGAGGTCTCTGGATCCAATCCACCAAGCAATATCTTCTCGCAAGCACTCAGACATCACTCTCTATAGAGAGCTTTTTAAGAATTTAAGTCAGCGACGTGCAAAACTACTAGTAATATATTTACCCATGGCATGTGTATACAACCATTAATAACCCACATATGTCTACATGTCATTTGGACTGTTCATTCCTCCACTCTGCAATCACCAGGTGAAGCCGGAACATTCAACATACTCGGCTCAATCTAATTACACTGTGAAAACCTGACATTACGACCCATACGCTGGATGGGGGTTCTCTAATCTGTTTCCTGCAGAATTCATTCAGGCAACTGTGCATTTCACTGACAGCTGAAACCAGTATAACTGGAGGAGTTATTGGAATCAGAACGGATCATAGATATCTAATTCATAGTTGAGTTTCAATATTGCAGTCGATAATAAGGTTATTGGGCAAATGCCAAACGTGCCAAATATATCGACATTTGAATATTAAACTAACAAAAGTTGTTCTTTTTTTCCCAGATTGAATAAAATTCCAAAATCTTTGGAGGCCAGAGTTGTACATGTATACGTTGAAAGGTCACTCAGGAGTATATATGTACATGTACATGTACATGTATGTATGTGTCCAAAAGTGTCCAATGACGGCACTTCTACTAGCACTGCAGGTCTATCATGAAAAATTGTAAGAGAATAATGAATTTCTCATTTCTTTTGCAATGAAATTACTCTGATGCAGTGGTTGTACATAAAAAGTGAGATGCTATTTGTTTGGATTTTAGAATTCTATCTGTTTAGAATTTGCATTTTTATGCAAAAAGTTAATCGTAAATGCTTTGTTGACCGAAATCCTCCTTCTGACAATATCAATTATGCTTGAATAATAATTAATTGGCATTCAAATGATCAGCCCTGAAACCAAAGACGATGGAAAGCGAAGGGGTGTCCCCAGTGTCCTTTTTAGAATACTACGGTTGTGTTTACACCAGTGATCCCCTGACTGCCCAAGTCTGCAGCATTGCTAATGTTGCTAGCATCGTAACTTTTGCCATGATCCCAAGCCACAGGCTCTTATGGCCCAAGACTACGGTAGCATCCCAAAAACAGACACGAATAAATTTGGCAGGATGGCTCAGTGAGGAGTTGTTGCATGAAATATCCAGGCTAACCTGCGGAGCGGTTTAAATCCACAATGGGACCAATGTATCAGGTACATGTATCAGTTGAAGGATTCTCAACAACTTCCTCAGAATCTTCCCCCAATGGAGTTATCCGGTTGTAAACAATGTTGACGCCGTCTTTGCAGGAAGATTTTCTGGAAGTTGTTCAGAATCCTGTAACTAATATCCGAATCAATTATCCGACTGCAGATAAACTTGGCTGAAATGTATCCCGGATATAAAATTAAACTCCTTGGCAAAGCACCAGAACAGTTTTCTGAGGGTCATAGGTCCAAATCCCGCTTCAGTCAATTTTCTTTTTAATATATAAGAGAACATTAAATTATACACACTGAAATGTTAAATATTACAGCCTGGTATAGTGTATGTATTTGTTCAAACCCAATCCAATCTAGTACAGTGGGGAGCATGGGGATGACCAAAAATCCTAAAATTACGCAGCCATAAATTCAAAAGGAGGGGGAGGGAACACAAATAGAGGGCACACTTCAAGACACAAATGCACATCTTATGCAAAGTTATGTGCTTACATTTACAGCTTTTCTAATGTATGTTCTACATTTCTCATAACTATTTTGGAAGAAAAAGGAATTCAATTTCAGGATACATTGAGGCATAACAATTACATGTCTCTTCCTCAACACACATTAATATACTAACTTCCTTTTTCTACATGCGGCCCATCAGTTTCTACAAAGGAAACATAAGTTTGTCCAAAATGTAGCGTCATCCCGAAAAATAAACCCTCAACATTTCCTGTAGTAAATGGGGATTTCCATTCAAGATTTATAATCCATTGTCTTTCCGGTACATACACATACACTGTACGTCCCTTTTCACTGTGAAATTGTTGGTCTTCCTAAAAAAAATACATTGACTTCCTGTTACTTTACATTTCTGTCCAAGTATAAAATCTGACAATGATTGCGCAAGTCAAAGTTCCACAAACTGACGACTATACGACACACATACACATGTTCATTGTATGTAGACATGATGTAACACCCCACCTGTATACATGTGAAAACACACACAAGGAAGCACTACAGAATCAAATAGGGCTTGCAAATCTGCTGTCCAGTGTTTTCTCTTGAGTACAGAAATGTTTATTAACCCTAACTCGCTAGGTATTTTTGCTGGGATGCAACCTCAATCGTGCAAAATCCTCCAACTGCCTCCATGTAACAATTGCATACAGCCTCAATCCTCCAAAATCATCCGTTATTTCTTGAATGTGGTCCTTGGAGGGGTGACCACTGCCTCAATCCTGCAAAATCCTCCAGCGATCACTGTCGATATGTTGAGGCTGAGCCAGTGACATCCTGGAGCAGTGCGGAGGATTTCAAGTATAATCTAGGCCTAGATTTATGCACGGCTGAGCATAAACAACACAAGGTCCTGCCCAAGACCTTGAAACAGTGCATCTTCCAAAATCAGCCACATATTTTTGCCATATATAGCCTCAATCTTGCAAAATTTTGCAAAGAGGATTTTGGAGGATTTTGGAAGGTTAGGGTTAATTGGTCGGGTTCACCCATAAATATAAATAAGTAGACATGTGACTTTCATAAGAACTTCTTGCAGAGCTGAACTCCCTAACAAACAAAAATCCGGCATGTTACTCACTATTTAATGGTGGCTTTGAGGTTCGGTTGCGTGACGGTGCTATCATCGATGTATATCGTTGAGCAGGAGCTAGACTTGGTCAGTAGCCTGCTACGTCTGTGATGAGCTGCCTGCTCATTTAGAAACTGCAGTTGGTTCTGCTTCCGTCTTTCCCGAACTACTTCTGTTTTATCAAATTTGGAGGGGAAAAAAATACCTTGACAATGAATGTTTCTATTTAGTCAACTATAAATTCCTTTTCAGAAATCGTTTGAAATTTGATGTTTTTGTTTCATTTAAAATTAGTCACATTTAAGTGTTTAATTACAAGTGACATAGAAATGGAGATATTTTTATTCGTATGACGTCTACTGACACATTTCTCTCAAGGAAGTCATTTTGCCACTTGTGTCAAAATACAACTACTTTTTTGTTCTACCTCAATTCATGAGCAGTTTAATCATGCTAATATATCTGTGTGGCCCAATAGCAATGAATATTTCAAAAAGGAAAAAGTGATTAAAGTCATTACTAAGGCCACTGAAAAAAATGCATCAATAAATAGCCAATCCTACAAGAATAAAAATACCCCCCCCCTCCATAAAAAAATCATGAATTTTGAGATGGACAAAAAATTGCAAAATAATAGAGATATTCATATACCGGTAGACAAATGGGAATCGCAAACTGCATTAGAAAAAGAAAGTCAGACTTTGAAATGCCTCATAAATGGCTCACTTACAACTCTGCATTCAAAAACTTGTAATTTGGAGCCCGATCGGGAATTTCCTCATGTTTTTTCCAAAAACGTTTTTGCAAGGCTTCCGCCCATCCCGATATCAGTAATTCATGCCATGTACTTCAAAGCTAAATTAAAAACTTGTATATATCTTTCTTTTTTGTACAAAGTATTTGTAAGCTTGAATGTCCTTTAGTCTGTTTCACCAATGTACTTTTTCATTGTAAGTTTTACTTCACTTAACTTTATTTAATAATATGTCATGTATGCAGGGCCCCAAGGGAACGCTGGTTTTTAAACTGTTTGGGCATACAGCGTACCCTGAATAAAAAAAAATGTAATAAATAAATAACTACATAAATATAAATTTAAAGGGAATGTACAACATTTGCTGTTGCTGTAATTTTCAGAAATAAATGGATTTGGAGGATTAGTATGTCATAGAAAGTATTGTTAAATTGACTTGTTTCATGTTTTGGGCTTGTAGACGCTGGAAAAACCAAGAAAACCTATCATGTTCTTGTAGTCTGGTTCCCTGACCCCACTTAAAATGAAACAGAGCAATTAATTCACTTGGGGAATTGTAGGCTCAGAGAATCAGTCTAGCAGGCTTGTACCCCTTCACAGGTGTGTAATCAATTGCAAAGAAAAGTCAGAATAACTAAATATGAAAACTTAGGAACAGTTTTTGAAAAAAAGCCAGTTTTCTCCAACGCTGGTCAGCCGACCAGCGTTGGAAAAATACAGTTTTTCTTGAAAATGTCAGCACACCAGGAGCCACGATTTTAAAGGATGATTTGGACTGTCAGTCCCTAACAATTCAGTAAGGTACTTCGTGATAATTTGATCATTTCATTTTTTGATGTTTGCAAATGTTGTATCTTCCCTTTAAAGTACCATCAGTATTCCAATTAAACTCACCTAATGTTTGGGACTTGGTCATGAATAGAGTAATTGGTCTTGGGTGTAGGGAAGGGTCCTCTGTGTCCTCTGAAAGACACCAAAAAAGCCAAATAATTAGTACAAGTTACAAAATGTAAAATACCTCAGAATTCTGAGAAGTGTCTTCATTGTATCCATATAATGCAAACAGTTATAATCCAAACAAGGGGAAACGAGATTGAAAAAAAAATGTAAAAATTGACTCACAAAATGATTATTAAAGTTACAAAAGAAATAATTAATCAATAGTAAAATACAACACACCAACTTGACTCACAAAATGGACACAGTTTAATAGACAATATCTAGAAAATAGAGATAACTTTTTATGAACAATATAACACTATAGTTCATCGTTCAAGATGGTACTTGTACATTTGTACATGTACATGTCAAATAGATGGTTAGTGTGAGTGTACATGTATGTTCAATTGTGTCATAGTGTCATGAGCACGGATAAGAGATTTGAATCACATAAGACTGCAACCCAATGGGACATACATGTGCAGTAATGAAATGGCCAGACACAAGGATTAGGTACAGATCAATAGGATAGAGTGATGTATGTACTTGTATACATGTACATGTACATGTAGCTGCATGCGATACATGATTAGGTACAATCAGATCCAGACACAACATGCACGCGATTCATGTGTGTTGAATTATCCTTGACCCTCCTCAATCCTCCAAAATCAACCAGGCAGTTTTTGGAGGATTTCGGAGGATTGAGGCCTTGTGCCATTTTTGTGCCAGTCATTTTTGGAGGATGCATTGTGTCAACGTCTCAAGCTGTACCGTGTTGTTTATGCTTAGCCATGCATAAAGTATGCCTAGATTATACTGTAGATATCATCCGCACATGCTTCTGAATATCATCGGCAATTCCTCATTGGATATATTTACAGGGAATGTTGGATACATTTCTAAGGATTAATGCACATGTTCACTAAACAGAAAGATAGGATTGCACGGTCGCATACATAAACTTGTACGTGTAAATGCGTAAATATTTTAAATTCCTCAGTTTGGCCAGTGAACTTTACCAGTCCTCAATACCCTGTGGTCACTGTAAGTTGACAACCCCTACCCCCCCCCCCTCCATGTCGCCCTCTCTGGCTCCGTAAATTTCACAGAGGCCAACCACCTCCTTAATGATTGGGTCATTGCACTTTACATGTAAATCCTTCACAAACCAAAAAAATATCACAATATTAAAAACGTGAATCTGTGAGCAATTTTGTCAAACGATATTTGCACACAACTGCTGCACATTAATATTTATGTAGCAATTAGGGAAATTCTAACTGCCACGCACGATTTTGTGATTCTTTTCAAGGCAACTGATGGGAAGCCTCGTTACTTGCATTCTAAAGAGGAACATATTTTCGATTCTTGTTTTCTGGTTTCATTTGCTGAAGCAAATTTGTAATGATTGTTGTTAACGACTCTCGTTAAAAACAAAAATACACATGATGAAGACACAAGGTTGGAATTCGTGATTATCTCTATAAAGGAACAGACTTTGGGGCAGGTGTTTAAATGCTGACAACAACTTCACGATTCTTAACGACCCATGCTAACGAGGCTCTCAGCACACAGCCGCAACTAAGAGACACAATGCAATTAGTATTTTTTTTGGAAATCTGAGTTTTAGCTGCAGAATACACTGATTTTAAATCTCCTCATTCTAGGGCTATGCATTTTTGGAATAATTTAGTGTTCAATTAAAATTCCAACTTGGAGTTGATTGAATATTCAAATATTCAATATTAAAAATGCACTGATCTGAGTTAAACATATGTCATCCTAAATTGGCCGCCGATCCAGATTTGCTTGTGCCTACGCTTGTCAAATAATTGACAGAGAGCTAATAAAAATAATTTAAAGAACAATCAGCGGAATGGCCAATATTTGACCATGAATACTCTCATGAAAGCCCTCAAATCTTGCACAAAAGTGCATTTCAACAAAAGTGTGGCATTTAACAAAAAACTAAAACCACACAAATTGTACGACGTTTTTCATTATCTCCTCAAGACGCTCACATTTTTCAAATAGTTGATTCGAAAAAAAAAAATTTGAATATTTGGACAATGACCGAATATTCGGTTGGCGACCAAATGAGATGCTCACATTTTTCAAATAGTTGATTAGAAAAATAATTTGAATATTGGGACGATGACCGAATATTCGGTTGGCGACCAAATATTTGATTGACGACCGAATATTTGAATATTCGGTATATTCGGCAGCCTCATTCTACTGCATCAATGCGTGAATATGAAAACAGGATGAGGGGTACACCCCATCTAGGTGATCTCAATTGACATAATGGCACAAATGTCAGCAATGCAAGGGACAAAACAAGCTCCACGTAAAATTGGCCAATGACTGCAATGCTAAATTGCTAATTCAAACCGACACTGTCAACTTTGCGATGTTTTTAATTCCTTCGTGTGTCCGAGGGTAATTTGATTTCTGGATCACAACAGGACGTTAATAACCGGGTCAGGGTTGCCTAACATCCTTAGAATTCCAGCCACTGTGCAGTTAGCATAGCAGGCTGTGGAATAATACATGACAGATCTTCGTTCATGAGGAACTACATGCACTGCACGTTTGAATGCACTAAAACATTTTCATGGCATATGCCTACACTGTACATTGCATACATACATTTGTACATGTCGGTCTGCACATTTATGTTTGTACATGTACACGTACATCCCTTCATAGGCAATTGAGCATATTTACCCAATTTGCTCATTCTCACAGTGAGATCTACATTTAAAGATAAAATTCTTCTGATTCATGCCAACCCTACAAAAATTGGAGGACATAATTCCTGTTATTTAAAATCACATTTTTAATATTAATAATAATAATAATTTTGCACAGTACCCAAGTGAAGTATTCACTGAGGAATATTTTTTCTGAACACGAATCAGAAAATCTACCAACACGCAGGCGCACAGAAATAACGGAAATTACATAAAAAATTAAAAAATTAAATGTTATAAAACGAAATTCAGTTTTTGCATCTGGGCCTAATAACAGTTGCTTTGGGTTAATATCTTTCATAAAACCAAGGAAACAACAAATGTGGATGTTCAAAATCGAAATACATGAAGCACACAGGATCACGGAACAAAATGAACTGCAGAAATTGAAAATGAAAGTTTCACTGTCAGTTGAAGACACATGGAAGTGCTATTACCGTGGTCATTTCTAGGAGAACATTACCACCATGTGGCAGGCTTTGTACATTTTCAATTGATCCATTAAACCCTAACCTTCCTCAATCCTCCAACGTCCTCCAGGCAGTTTTAAAGGATTTGGGAGGATTGAGGCTGAATGCAACATACATTTGTGGACGATTGTGGAGGAATGAGGGTACATGGACATTCAGTATCGTTTGATTTTGGAGGATTGAGGATGAATAGTGTTTGAAGAACAGGAGGATTTTGGAAGATTGAGGCTGAATGCAACATACACATTTGGAGGATTGTGGATGATTAAGGGCACATGGATTCAGTATCGGTTGATTTTGGAGGATTGAGGCTGAAAGGTGCTTGAAGAACAGGAGGATTTTGGAGGATTGAGGCTGAATGCAACATACACATTTGGAGGATAGGGGAGGATTGAGGGCACATGGACATTCAGTACCGGTTGATTTTGGAGGATTGAGGCTGCACAGTGTTTTAAGAAGAGGAGGATTTTGGAGAATTGAGGCTGCTATGAATGCATTTTGAGAGGCAGGACTGTTGGAGGATTTTGAAGGATTGAGGCAGTGAGTATCCTTCATTTGAACATTAGTGCAAATTTTTTGAGAATTGTGGAGGATTGAGGATGGTTCCTAGCAAAGAGGGCCTTGGGGGTTAGGGTAAAGGGCCTAGGGGGTTAGGGTAAAGGGCCTAGGGGGTTAGGGTTAAGCCCCGCCCACTGCGCACCTCTCTAATGCCATAATGCATATTCAGCCGCACACATCATACGCGCGTGCACGCATGTCAGACTTTTGCGCACACTGGTCAGACATAAATCTAGGCCGTGATTGGTCAAAGCGTCTTGGGGGGGGGGGGGGCTTAGTGGATTGGTCTACTCGTCGATACTCATGACGTAATAATGACATAAGATGATGATGTAAGGTTTCCTGGGTATGAGCTAATTAAATAAGCAATTTTAGTATACAAAATTAAATCACTGATTTTTTGAAAGGGGGAGATGTTACACCATTTTTATCAGTCAATACCTCTTTTTTGTGACAATACAACAATTTCCACACCTAGCTTTGTCTACAGACATATCTGTTGACCAATGTAGCAAGACATTTATCAGGTGCCACCATGGTAGCATGCATGTCACACATATTCTTCAATTTTGAGGTGTGTGATTTAGAAAGTTGAAAACACACAATTGGAACGGAACATTCGATGTATCCACACGACCTGCAAGTATAAGGTACTACCGCTGAAACAGCTTGTAACTGCAGTCATGAGATTAGTCTACAGGCCTTTCACTCAATCCAAAATCTCTGTGTTGGACCCCAGCACAACACGGAGATTTTAAGAGCCCCTTTCACGCTAATTCACGCAGTGCAATATTATTGCAGAGTAACTGTGCCCGGTACGACCAACGTCAACCCACCGCGCGAATGTGCATGTGGTTTGCGGTCTATCACGCACAGTCTATAACAATTGTAGGCCCACCAGTAAAAAAGTTTTGAGTCTTCACCGTACCATAGGGTATGATTCTTTACTGAGAGATGACATTTTCACGCCAGGCGGGAATGTTCAGGCACAAAAAGCGTACACAGTTGCCCAAGCCAGTTAAAAGTTATTTTTTCGGATCAGTTCAGTTCGGGTCAGTTTTTGCTTAATTTTTGTCAGGTTGGGTCGGGTCGGATTTGGGGAGTTTATATCAGTTTCGGTTCGGATTCGGTACATATCTATAATGTCTCGGTCGGTTTGGCCTGGTCAACATTAATCACAAGTAGTCAGGTCACAAGTAACAACATACAGAGGATATAAACAATGACATTGTTCCCTTGCTCTTTGGAATGACATAGGAATGTCCTTGTCACAGTTGCAGAATAGCTTGCAGCTTGACTTGAGACTGGATGACTGATGATAACTGGTGGTGACTTGTGACTGACTAAATCTGCCAGTGAGAGTCCCACAGTGTCTTCTACTGCTCCCACACAGTACCCACAGTCACAGCTCTAAACTTCACTACGGATGACAAGAGACAATCTGAAATAATGAAAGGTTTGCAAAAAATACCATGTGCGAATAATTTCTCAACTATGAGAATGGTTCTGAAAGAACCAGAGGTATAAACTCGACGTTCCAGTCAGTATGCTCTGACCGTCTTCAGGACCGTCTCTCTCCTGAAGACGGTCAGAGCATACTGACCGGAACGTCGAGTTTATACCTCTGGTTCTTCTCCTGAAGACGGTCAGAGCATACTGACTGGAACGTCGAGTTTATACCTCTGGTTCTTTTCAGAACCATTCTCTTAGTTGAGAAATTATTCGCACATGGTGTTTCCGCAAAACTTTCCTTATTTTGTATCTCCACCATGCAAAGCCTCAAATCTTATTTAAGAGACAATCTGGCTATCTTGTTGACTCACCTTCACCTAACTGCTCCCTGTCGCTTATGTGCTGCAGATTTGGAAAGGATTCGTTGTCCTCCAGCTTGAGGCTATCCTTTTTGTTGACGGCCTTGTAGCTGGTGTCGTTGTGCTGTGCAGCAGGCCGCTGGACGTTGTTGGTCCGCCTGGTCTTTTTCTCCGCCCCCTCATGGGACTTGCACTCCATGCAGTTCCCCATCGTGCTCCGGCTTACGTTCCTCACTGGTCACTAAGCGACTGTGTGGATCACGTGGCAACGTCGGGACTCGGTTAAAAATAACACTCCCCAATTTTTTGGTTAGGATCTGCAGAGAGTTAAAACATACATTTGTGGGAAGGGTAATTACACGTAAAATGTTTACAGCCGAAACACTATGTAGATGAACTATTCCGGGCTAAATTTCTCAAAGATTTCTAAAATCTTCAATGTTGGAGCTTGCGAATAGAAATGAAAGTAATGAAATAAAGTTAATTACAAATAATGTTTACCTAGCTTGAGTAACTCCAGCTCTAATGCCTATCGCCTATTACAAAATCCTCCACAACAATGCGCCGGAGTATCTGATCAACCTTATCCACCCGTACTCAACAGCACGCACTGGACTCCGCTCCAGTGAGCTCATGATGCTTCACGAGCCCAGGACCTCCACTCTTTGGGGTGACAGATCCTTTACTGCAGCGTCAGCCCGAGTGTGGAACCAAGTCCCTCTGGCTATCAAATCATCTCCATCCATCACAACATTTAAGACAAACATAAAATCTCACCAGTACAAACAAGCTTACTCTCACAACACGCAATCTTAACTTGACTTTCTCCTCAAGCACCATGAGCGCCTTTTTTAAGGCGGATACCAGCGCTTTACAAATGTTCTTTATTATTATTATGTGTAAATCAAATGCAGGGAACACGATCAAAAATGGCTTTCTCAGGAATAAGATTCGCACAACACCAACCCTACTATAATTTAAGCTGCGTACAAAAATCGTAAAAATTCTACCCTAAGAAACAGGTCTGATCAAAATTACAAAAAATGTCAAGGGTGCTTGTTATTCAAAAATGACCTTTTCAACCTAAAGCAGACTTCTCTCATTTTAGACTAAAAATAAAATGAGAGAAGTCTGCTTTAGGTTGAAAAAGGTCATTTTTGAATAACAAGCACCCTTGACTCTAATTTGACGGAAACTAAAGAGGGGCCCGTAACTACGCGATCGCCAATACTTGTGTAGTTAGTTGTCGTTGTGAATGGGATGACGACCAATGATGTCGTTGGCTATATATTGTGGTGACAACTGACGAGTGACGTGTACGGTTTTACAGTCATGACACTGTTCGGGTTCTGGTTTAGTCAAAAGTATAGGCCTACTAGTACTAAGTACTATTCACAATATTACATAGAGGAAATAGTTCACTAACCTTAAGATCTGATCACAGTCTTCCTCTTTTGTATTACTATTTCTAGCATTTGATATCCTCTGTCTTTGGACATTTCGACACAAAAACAAAGAATTACCCACAACTAAAAATCACAACATTTCTTCCTTGCACGATTTTACTGCAGATTGCATGTGAGAGACTGGTTGCTGTTTTTTAACCGCAGGCCATAGACGTGGGTGAGAGTCACGAACCAGACAGACGCACTTTAGCGAGGGGTCATGTCAGTGTGCACTTGAGTCGACATGATTGGCTGAAATCATTCGACCGTGACGTGGTCAAGGGTCATAAATACAGGGGGACAGTCCCCTTTTGCGGAAATATAATATTCTCCAACAATTGAATCAACTCATGAACTTGCTCATGTTTGTAAAACCCTTGTTTGATTATCACATCAGAAATGTTACTGACTAGGCCTAGGTGCTACTGCTAGGGCGTTGTGTTTCCATGGAGGTAGGAAATGTTTTTTTTCATCATGTATTTGGTAGCGGATTTCTCGTCAGTAAACATGCTAAATCATGAATCAATGAATCATTGTGTTCCTTGCCATCTGTTCCTTGCTCTATATGGTTGCTAACCGCAAAGCATCGCCATTGTTTGGCAAAGCTAATCCGATTTGATACGTACTAATAGACGCTATAAGAAAAAACGGAGCAGTGAAATTCATGCACCCCAAAAACATGGCATTTTGAACGTTGTGTTTCTCAGAAAATATGCTCGGTATGATTGAAACTGAAGAAGAAATTCTAAACGTCATATGTCAGTGAAAAAATTAATTGCCATCATCGATGCCGACACCTCAATAATGGTTACTGTCAAAGCTGACCTTCAAGTCTGGAAGAAATCGTTCGAAAACTTCCCCAAATGTATGTATTTAGCTAGTCCCACTAACTGGGTCGCTATCGCTAGAACTCCTTTTTTGACATTTGGGATGTTGGTCTGTCCAACATCCCAAATGTCAAAAAAGGAGTTCTAGCGACCCAGTTAGTGGGACTAGTATTTAGCCTAATTTCTAGGAATTTATCCCAGTTGTTATTTCACGAGTAGTTGAACACTTACATCGTCTAAGTATATATTCTGAATATCAGCTAAGTAATCTGTTGTTGCAGACGCTAGTGTTACAACGTGAATCATTTCCATGGAAAATTTCGAAGAGCTAGGATCAAAAAAATTATTTGCCGACCAAACACATGTCATGTGCATTGTTCAGCAAAGTGCCGTAGGCGTTACGGCTGACCGATTTCGGCCCAGCACACAATGATGGCGGGCATATTAGCATATTCATTAGCGTCACTTGGCGTGGCATGGCATGGGTCTTGGTATCGACCAATGGAAGCCAGCAAAAAGGGTGATATTTGTTAATTAACAACTCATGAAGGAGGCTTTTATGCAATTGTTTACTGCACACCATAATGGGTAGGAACCTCATTAATATTCGTGAGGCTTGAAAAGATTGATAGATATTGTGCACGCCAATGTTACATTTTATTTTCAAAATTGCACGTACGAGGCCTATTTTTCCAATTTAGGCTAAACATGCTAAAAGCCTAAAGAGGCCTGATGCAATATTATTTCACCATGTGTTTTCTATACATCAGCCTCATGGATTGGAATACCAAAACAAACTGATTTCTGGTCTATTACTTAGAAGTTCTACATTTTCGGGTACATGTTCCAAGTGTGGCCTTTATTTATGGAGGTGGTCCAGTAACTTGGCCACATTTATGGGGCTATCAAGGTCCCAATCTGACTGCTTATGTACTCATTCAGATTCATCAGTTTAGGCTTCATGTTCCCTATACATATTCTTGGGAACTTTGGAAACTAACTCAAGTACGACTGCGACCCTAGTAAATGGTTCATGTGGAAATGTTGAAACTGAAGACAGATCTGAAACTTTCAGGTTTATTCCCCAGCTTTTCTTCATACTGTACCTCCTGCCATTAACTTCTTCCTTTCATTTGTTCATTCTGCAGCCACCCAGAATGATGCTCCCTAGTCTGCCCTCCAGATTAGTAGTCCTGGCCACCATCTTTCTCATGGTTCTCCTGCAAACGTTAATCTTCATGATGTCGGACACTAAGGAGCAGACCGAATCTCAGGAGATGGCAACAAAGGCAGCGACACTAGATCCAGGCTCGGCAAACTACCCATTCCTGAAAGATCCTCAAACTGTCAAGTACATTTCCACTCAAATAAAGGTAATATTTCCCATTGTGTTTGGTTGAATTTTGTGTTGGAGAGATGTAAGTTCAGTATAGACCTTATGCCTGCCAGCCATCTGAGATAGAGGGCAGTGCCTTTGTTTTGCTGGGATATGCATGAGTGAACCTTTTGTGCATTCATTGTCACTGAAATAAAATAACAGAAAACGCCCTCTTAAGATGGCTACTATGCAAAATGTTTATTGGGATTTGCTCTTTACTGCTGTAATTTGAAAGGTAGAGTAGATCATTTGCAGCAATCCAATAAGTAACCGACCAAATTATTTATGGCACTAAAGTCCCTGTGAAATCATTCCTTCTGGCATGCTGTCATTTTGACGGGCAAAACCCAACATAAAATTCCAATTTCTCTTTTCAGGACCATTAATGAATTTGCACGTCGATATTTCCTTTTTGTCAGGTGATGATCTTTCTACATGTGGCATCAGACAAAGAGATGTCAGCCTTAGCCCAAGCCATCACCAGCACCTACAAGGACTCGGCGACTTGCTGCTTGAAGACTTCCAGAGGTTCTGAAGTAAAACCCTTCGGGGGAATCGTATACCACAGATGCCAGGACCAGGTAAACTTGGAAGTTTAAAGAACAAAACAGTGAGAAGACATGCCAATAGATGTTTTCGCACATTTTTGTGAAAAGGGGTGTTATGAAATTTTTGGTAAGAAACCTACCTAAGGTAAAGGTTAAGGTCCCATAGCCATTACTGGCTGTAGCGGCAGTGGGATGTTAGAGGTCCACTGTGTCTTGGGCGCGGCATATGAGTGGCGGGGCCCAGTCCTCTCCTCTCGCCGTCTTACCTTCCCTGAACGAATCAGGTACCCATTTTACTGTTGGGTCGTCAGAGAGAGTTTTCCAGTTTTTGGTCATAATGGGATTCGAACCGCCAACCTTCCACTCCGTAGCTCCACGCTCTAACCGTTCGGCTATGAGTATAATAAAAACTATGATCCGTCTCGTATGCTGTTATTGAAAAAGAAACTTTTAGAAGAACATGATGACATTATTGAAGTTTTATAGTCCTCTTCTGACCAACATACCTGACATAAAGGGAATGTGAGTGAAAGTTTGTTCTTTCATAAATGCAAATTCTTGGCTTTAGAGTACCGAAGTGTGCTGCGTATTCTGATTCACAATGTTGCATAGCTTAAGCGTGTGAAGACATCAGCATGCGAATCAGCATGTAAACCAGAACAAAGACAGCTGATGTCAGACTTCGGTACTTTAAGACCAGCTGTGAAGTGAAAACCTATTTTTTTTTATGCCTGGTAGTGCCAGGTTTAGCTCAGAGTGTAACATTTTATCAAATTTTTATCAAAGCATGCTTATGAAAAAGTACGATCAATAAGTTTCATTAGAGGCTTTCATATTTGCCTCGTAGGAGTCTGAAACTTTTTGAGTTGCATTACACTTAGTATGTGCCAATGTTTTCCAAAATGTTACTTTGGCATGACAGATTGAAGACAGCTGTAAAAAAGGGGTGCAAGTCATCGTCGTGAATGGCACAGAAAATATCCCGTCTGATTTACAAGACTGCTTCACTTTGGCGCATCGTTACAACTACACAACTCTTGTCGTACAACCGAACGCCACGTCCGGTCACCCAGGGGCTGCACATGGCTCGCATTCGGAGCTCATGCAAGAGACTTTGAGAACCGCCAACGCAAAGCCAAAGCTTCCAACGATCTTGTACCCTTTCTTCTACGGATGGTTTCTTGGGTTCAACATCTCCGTGGACACCCTAGGATTCGGGAAGACCATTTTCAAGGAGTGTCTTCAGCAGCCCAAGTTTGTGGAGATATTTACAAAGTATGCCATTCCTGGCTCACCGCGAAATGCATCTGGTAGGTTTTCCTATCGTTAAACTAGACGGGCATTTCAAATATGATTTGGGGTTGGGGGCTGCTCTCTTTATTGTGCATCCTGCATGGCAATATAGGGTTGTGCAAAAAGAAGGAAGCCTACATTTGACAGGAATTGCAACCTAATTATACATTTGAGCAGTATTTTTTTTATAATGTAGTGAAGTATAGCTCTCAACCATACGTGCTGAAAAAATCTTTTAACAAATCACAAGAATAGTGTTGTTATATTAATTTGAATACAAGTCAACAAAATCACCGTTGTCCACATGTGAGTCTAGTGTAGTGTTTTTTGTCTTCAAATCAAGCTCTGGAGCCGTCCGTGAACAACCAGGTTTGGCACATGAACTATTTAAACTACCATATCTCAGAGACAAAATATGCATTTGCCGTCATTTTTTTGGTCACTTATGTTTAAAGATCAATATTTCAATACCATTAAATTGAATTTTTGAAAAATGCTCAACAAGTAGGTGAAAATTGCTGTCAAAAGAGGGTTTCCTTCTTTTTGCACCACCCCGTTGTGCATTCTCAAGCTGAAACGCGAATTTGGAAAAAGAAAGAAATTGCTATCCAATAAATTAAATATGCATCCTGTTTGATGCACATCTGTGCATGGAAAGGTGGATTTAATTCATGAGTTCCTGTACCATCAGGAATCACCTTGACTGTTGTTCCCTATGATTTTATGTATTCATCAGTGAATAAATACAGTGTAGTACAATGTAATACAATGTAGTACAATGTAATACAATGTAGTACAATGCAATACAATGTAGTACAATATAATACAATGTAGTACAATGTAATGCAATGTATTACAATGTAATACAATGTAGTACAATGTAGTACAATGCAATACAATGTAGTACAATATAATACAATGTAGTACAATGTAATGCAATGTAATACAATGTAATACAATGTAGTACAATGTAATACAAAGTAGTACAATGTAATACAATATAATACGATGTGGTACAACGATATACCATAGAGAAAGGACATGTATTACAATGTAGTACAATGTTCAGGTGCTGATGGGTAAATTCCTTGTTACAGTTGACTATGAAGAGACTGTAAAGTTCCACACTTGGTTGCTGGCACAAAGGGAACAATTTACATTGAATGTGAAGTTCCTGCAAACTTCTTAAAACAGTGCACTTTAATACTGCACTTGATATTCTTACTGATTCTTTGTAACCAGTCAACCTGTTTGTCAAGTGACTGGAAGATGTTGTACTATTAATCAAATTGAGGAAAAAAAATACCAGTTAGTTAAGTGTTACAAAATTAATCAGGTGGTGAAATATTCACAACTTTTTTTTAATCGTTGTCGGAGCTTTTCAGACAAACATGTTTCAGGTTAGTTCATGTACTTTCATTCTATTTCTGGAAGTTTCTCATTTTTTTATGGGCTTACTTCAAGCAAAACAAGCAAAACCAAGTGGTCTATATTGAAGAGAAATAATAAATAGTGTAGATGTAGGGCACTTTCAATTATCTTTCACAATGAAAGACAACTTTCCACTTTTGTTAAACTCTCCACAGGCGGCCTGGACTTTGATCGTTACTTTTCCTTGGAGGGTTTCATCACTGGTACTACGCTGCTCCACTGTACATCATTCTTCAGCAACTACAGCGAGAGAGCCGGTTCCCAGCAGTACGCGACCTCCCCTGCGGTCAGACAGGCCACCGGACGTGCCTTCAACCTGACGGTTATAGGATTCCTAATCACGCCACGAACCTTAGGAGCTCGAATCAGACTCAATGATCAGGAGTTACTTCTATGGGAGACGAACAGTAGCGCAACAAGCGACTTCACCCCAGTTGGAGCAGGTAACAATGTAGACAAAACAATGCAACAGAAACAACTCCAACACCTGGACCAATCACAGATGCCAGGTCAGGAGATATCAACCTTTTACCCTATAAGAGACGAGGTTCCCTGTCCAAAGGGTTGGCGCCCGACTGAATTCTCACCCACGTGCGGGCGGGGGAGTCGGGCCCATCTGACTCTAGGCACTGGGAAGGACGTAGAGGCCGTTCAGACTGGTTCCGATCTGAACGCGATCATCCAGAGAGAACTAGAAGCCGTGGCAAAGAAAGAAGACATCCTGACCCTCAAACTGAAAAGTGGAACAGTCCGTTGCTATGGGGAGGGCAACTGGGCCGTGTATCTTGACAAGGCACTGGAAATCGGCACTTTGTTCACAGGGTGGTACTAGGCTTTGAAGAATGCTTTTGCTGGCTGTTTTGTTAAGAAACAGTCTGTATGTTCAAACGCCTGATATAATTGTCTTGCAGTGTGAACTCAGTCGGCAATGCACAAACATCTCTCCCAGTGGTCTCCCCTAACTCTCCCTTTCTTACCGTTGAGGGGGTACTTGTGACCGGAGTCCATTGACGGCCGACTATGTGGCTCATCACATCTTGACCATTTCCTTTTAAATATGTGGACATTTTTAAGAGGAGTAAATCATTAAAAAAAATATATATCAGGGGAAAGGTTTATTCAGCTTCATTTTTTTTTCTAAGTCTAATTACACAGTGCTCTAGATAAAGTGCCTACTCGTCAAAATTGAATTTTGAACGCAGTTAATTCCTATCAGAAAACCCTTAAATTTGCAAAGGGTTTGTTTTTTTCAATGTAAACTATTTAAAACATGTAATCAGGAGTTTCACATTGCAACCTTGAGGTAACTTTTCTACAAAACCTTTTTCTATTATAAAATCTGGCAGTAGAGATGTTGAAGGTGTGGTGCAACTATTAAGTATGATGGGCATTGGTGGTAAAACGACACAAATCAAGCTGGTACTTGAAGTAATGATATAATTTAAGAGTTGTAAATACCCGAGACAGTTTACCCATTCCTATTGGGTGTGTCACGTGGGTGGTTTTAAACAGTTGATAAAACACCGGCTGGCCGGTTTTAAACACTTTTCCGGTGTCACGTGAAACTTTAACTCCTATGAAATCTCGTTCCTTTTACCCTTTTATTGGTTGAACGTTCACAATCTTCACTTATACGTGCACAGTACACCTAATGAGTTTGTATTTCGAGTCTTAAATTCACACTTCATTGGCACTGCCATGTTCTTTGCCACATCGCGCAGTAAGCACCACGCGCGTGCGAAGCTCCATATAAGGAGAAGTTACGACTACTCACGAGAGGCACATATCATAACATAGCTAGAGGGGTGCCGAAAAAAACATGAAGTTAATTTGTGTGAACAAATTGTTTTGACTTTTGCACTCAAAGGTATTTATGAATGGGAATAAATGTGCGCCTTGCCAATATTACCAGCTCAGGGGCCTTGTAATGGCTCAAGTGTCCAGGCCCCTGAGCCAGTTTTAAACGTACTTGCTTAAAATCGGCCAAGCATATATTCCCTTATTCAAGGTTTGGGAAATTGGTGGAAGTACTAATGGTTGAAATGTAAATGTCATTATTCAGAAGATTTCATCAAATCATGTTTTTTAACTGACTTTTGTAATTAAAGATATTAATTTTGTACTTAACTCCTTTTACAACGTAAACACAAATTGTTTAACATATAAACGATGCAATTTGACTTCATTCAAATATCTCTTTTACAAAATATGTATTAGATAATATAGGAGGCCCCCGTATTTTTAAATGGTTGCATGCTTTATAATTTTAATGTTTCATAATTTGCATGCATGTTTATAAAGATTTGTGTTTGCAAATTAATTATTTTTGAATGCAAAGTTGGTTCAAAATATTGTGTTAATGTGTCAGACAAGCAACAAATGTAATTGTTTTCAAGTACCAAGTATTCTCAACCAAAGGCTCGAGAAAGGTAGTATCGGCACCATACTGACCAATCGCAAAGCCAGAGACTGAAGCTAGAATCAGTAACCCAATTCTCATTGGACAGCTTGACTACTTTAAAGATCACACAGCCTATCAAAAGCAACCGTGATCAAACTGACCAATCGCAAATCCAGAGACTCAAGATAGTATCAGTAACCGGTTTCCTCATTGGACAAGCTTCACTACTTTAAAGATCACACAGCCAATCAAAAGCAAACATGGTGCTCAGTATTTATTGTCTAAATTAATTATGCAACAATCACATGATAAAATCAAGCTATTCAGTAATAGTTACCGGCTTCAAAAGCTTTTGAAATTTTAAATGAAAAAAAGTAGTAAGACTGCTGCAAACTGCTTACTGACTGGGTGGATCTGAAATATATAAATCTAAAAATTAATGTGGCCTGACGTTGCGAACTTAGCAGGTTCTTCTTCAGAGGCTAAAACAGAAATGACAGAGGTACATACCTTTTTTAAAAAAAATTAAATTTTAAAATGATACAATCAAGACAAAGTTATTAATTAATACTGTAAATGGATTCAATGCTGTTGTAATGTATACATTCAATGTATCGGAAAGCTGCAGGCATTCTGCTTTGAAAGACACAAGTTCATGATGTGCACACTGAGACTTGTGATCTACAATAGTCTGATGCCAACTTAACAGTGATCCAAACTGTAAAGATCTGATACATGCTTGCAGGGAACATGACCAAAATGGCTGTAAAATTATTTTTTTTACCAAAATTAATTACACTTTTGTCCTTAAACTCAAAAATTTCCAGTAAAATGTTTAACTATGATAGTGTGTGTAAAACAACTATCCAATTTAGAGAATCATTATGCAGTTTTTTTTAAATTGTACTGCAGCTGACTTTTGGGAATGCACGATACGAAGCAATTATCAGGGAACGCCTTGAGCAAGGCTAGTTCAGATTGCAGGTCAACCTGAGGCTGGCCTAAGAGGCACTGTACGACCTGTGCACAAACATGGTGCTAGACTTGAGAACAAGTCACTAGACAGTCGTGTTTTGTCTGTCAGCACCCCCAATATCTACAAGAACGGCACAGTGTATCATGTTTATCATCATGTGCTGGGTTTGGCATGTCTTGGTGTCAAGGAAGCAAACATTGTCCCTGTATGTGAGCACCATACTGCACACTCACTAAGGAACAAAACTGGGGCGCGCTGCGCAGCTGGCCAATAAAACTGGCCAATAAAGCTGGCCAATTACAGACTTGATTTCAAGTCTAGCGTGGTGCCAACCGAACCTCCAATTAATAAATCATTTCCTTCTATAAACCAATATGGCTCCAAGTGCCATAAAAATATTATAGGAAGTTTCACCAGGAAATATGTCGCATGTATATTGAGATGCCACTTTGTTGATTGTGTACAAAGTCTATGGGAAGTGATCAGTGTTTTTATTTAATCAAGACTATCAATTGTTGGTTTCAACTTTCCAGTTACTTAATTTTTTTAACAAATTCAAACTGACTGATTGTTATCAGCCGTATGGATGCTTAGAAAATGGTTGGCAGATAATACATTCTTGCCGTTTGTTGTCTCAAGATGTGCCTTGCTTTCATTCTTGGAATTTTTTTTTGTAACTCTTACTCCTTTGAAATTACAGAATAAAATGATTTCTTCGATACTAATGAATGCTTGGTTTTGTTTGATGGATTTTGATATTTTTTTCGGAGATTTGTCTAAATGTATCTGGGAATCCAGGATTTTGTGTTGTGCGTGCCAAATGCGCTACAATAATATAATTCAAGCCAATTTTTTTTTTCTGGTTTTTTTTTTTAAGTCTGAAAAAGTACTCTGCATTAGACTTGCAGTGTCATATTTGGATTTTACATGCTTTAACATCCAGAATTGTTTCAAAATTGTAATAACGTTTTTAACATTTTGAAATGTTTTCACTTTTTTCCAGTTTTAAGCGCAAAACAAAAATGAACATTTGTACATTATACAATAAACACCATAATTTTTTTTTCACATTATCTAGCAACCCTCCTCCCACCGAAAAAAAAAAAAGTTGTAGCAATTTAACGCAAAAAACTTCACAAAGACTAAGTTTAGAAGCTTTAAAAACGTCTGAAACCACTTTTTAAAATAATTAACGTCGATTAGTACAACCATGCCACCACTCAGTAATTACCTAATTATTTTTCTCTAAGTCACGATACTCAAGTTAGTTAATCATCAGAAGGCAACACACACGTACTGAGTTCACGACACATTATCTCAAAACCATTGCATATAACTTGCACACACATGGTATTTTATACCATTTGGATAAATTTCTAGTAAGAAATTTGAAATTTGGAAAGACAAAGAAAACGAAAGCTGCCTAGAAGGCTTACAAGTCATTCTATAAATTTAGGACATTTTTCCTGTCTCTGTTCCCTTTGCCTTTCAAGTATTATTAAGAATGATTTCAATGATTTTTAATTTTATGGGTAGATCGTTTGCTATTCATAATCACGACTGTTTAATGACGACTTCATTAAAAAATGCATCAGAATTATATAATCATAGATGTCACATGTACATGTAACAGGAACAGGAAAAAAAATGTACCCAAAGTTTATGAAATGACATTCTCAATGCAATTTATGTACTTAGGACGTAATTTTGGATACCAAACATTACGCTGTATGGCTATGCCTTCATAGTTCTATAACTACAAACATTTTTTTATAGAACATAAACTCTATCACAAGATGATATTTTTTTCCACCGAAACATTTATTCAAAATCAGACTTAAACCATAGAAAATAAAATTTACTTTGAACTTTATTAGGTTTGGTCAATCTCAGTACTTCCCTTCTGTCTAATCACGTTTTATCGGTGGTAGTAGGCATCGTGCCAAATCTTTCCTGACCGCTTCAGAGAGCTGCAAGACACAAAAAGGAACAAGTGCTGTCAGATAACAAAACTTTCTTAAATAACAATACTTACATTTTTATGCAAGCTAGGTAAACAGATCTGTTTTCAAGTCGATCACAAACCTTTCACAAGCCAAATGACAAGTTAGGTCAGAAGCAAGATAGAACAGATGAACAATAACAAAGCCTTGGTTTTGTTATTTATCACTTGAAAAGCTTGACTCGTGATCAATTTGTGATGCTACAATTTTGAAGGTGATTAAGAAATTTCTGTTGGCTGGCTGCCTGGCCCCATTCAATGATACCATTCATGTGTCAGTGGCGGATCCAGGGGGGGGGGAGTGCGGAGGGGACATCCGCAGTGAACAAACTTGTCTCAAATATGGCCATTTTCCCACTTGCGAGACCCCTATCCCCCCTCCCACCTTGGATTAACTTCTCTGGGTCCGCCCATGTGTGTGAATGGCATCATACTCACAACAAAGCTGACCTGGGTAAGTTCGATATCAGAAGAGAAAAAGCTGTTTCAGTACTTCAAACTGATCCTATGAACAATCTTCTGTGCGCCAATTGCTTGGTGTTCAGTGCACAGATAGCGTTGAGGGCTATTATTTCACAACTTTTCCTTATGGCTTAATTATTTTTCTGAATTTCCACCTGGTCTTGAATGGAGGGTTAAATATATTGTAAGTAAAGTTATTAGATGAAAATAAGGAAAGTTGGAAAACTTACCGAACAATGTCGGCAAAGGCAGTTAACAGAGATTTAGTTTGATAGGGGATGTCATGTTTCTTGCAAAGCGCCTTCACGTCAGGCATCACCTTGTAGAAGTTGTGCCTCGGCATTGTCGGAAACAGGCTGAAATGATTTACAACAAGGATGTATTTCAGGAAAAAAAACCTCAAATATGCAAAAACTTATCTTGCTCAAATCTTTTAGTGTGAGCTTTCTGGCCCATTTCACGGAGATGCACAGACATTTGTTAAACAAGGAAATTGGCTTAATGTTAGTCTATGGAATATCCCGACTTAAACACAATTTGCTAGTCCATGACCTATGCATAGAGAGCAGATACTGTCAATTCAATTTGAGTGACGAAGATTCAAGAACAAATTGCCGTCTTATCTAATTTCAAGAGTAGGACGGGTAGATCTTACTGGTGTTCAATCTGGTAGTTGAGGTGGCCCGAGAACCAGCTATTGAAGAACGTGGGTTCCACGTTGCAGGTAGCCTGCAGCTGCATCGGTAACCACTCCTTCTGTTGGTCCTTTTCTATCTCCATGGGGATGTGGTTCATTTGGGTCACCCAGACAAACCAATGGCTCTCCATAAACCTAAGAACAGTCCAAATAATGAACAAAACATGCAGAGTCTGTACTGCATCACAAAAGTCCCAATGAGTTAAAGAAAATTTCCCAAAGTCAGTTCACAAGTCCACTCAAAAGTAACTGGGGATGAACAATAACAAAGCTAGGTCAATTCTTTTGTCGCAGTTCATTGGAACAACTTGTGCCTTAATTAACTTGAGACTGATAGACTTATGATGGACTAGTGTGGACTCACTTTAATAAAACACTAAATCACAAACTAATGTCAACTGAGGTGTTCGGTACAGCTTTATGTTGCAATGTATTTGTGGGCAAGTTTACGCAAGTGAAAAGCGACTTGTAAAACTGTCTCATAGTGTAACACAACATGCACTTTCCCTGCACATTGTCTGGCAGCTATCCGTAAAAGGTCTTTGGCAAAGGTATGTTCCCAAGGTCTCAACCCCCCTTAAAAAAACCCAATAAGAACCCCCCAAAAGCGCTTACCCCATTGGGAGTTTTAATTCAATCTCATTTCTCTCTGTCAATAAGGTTTTAAGTTTGTAGGCTTGATCACATCGCATCAATTATCAGTCTGCCAGCTATCCATAAAAGGTCTGTGGCAAAGGTATGCTCCAAGATAAAAGGTCCCCCCCCCCAAAAAAAAAAAAAAATAAAAAGCCTCCCCATTGGGAGCTTCTATTCAATCAAATTTTTCTCAAAAGAATACACTTCAAGTTTGTAGGCTTGATATCACACAGTGCATTCTCCAGTCATTGCAAGAGTCCATTATCTTATGTGGCAGTGTTACTTGGATTTTGTTGGTACCTGTTGGTACTCAAAACCAGGGCCACTTTTAAACAAGGACCGCATTCCATACAAATATATTGCCTCTATTGTGCTATGAAAATTTCGTGAAAAACAGTGATGCAAGCACAACAAAATGTAAGTTGACTGTTATTACCTGACAAACATGTAGAGCCAGAAAGCACCAGACAAGCCTAGAAGAGGTCCGTAGGTCAAGAACAGCTTGCTGAAGAAGAACACCATCCAGGCTAGATCCTGTTGGGGAAAAAACGAGAAAAGAAACAAATAGTGCAGTGAGCAGGAATTTATATTTCTACAAAATTATCGTCGTAAAATCAGTCCAGTATAGTGCTAATGACAATTAAACAGCATAATATTCAATGTGTCCTCCAGCATGCACCTTAAATGCTGAGGTAGTACCATGCTCACGCCCCTATTTTTACGCGCGGACGCAATCCATCTTGGACCAATAGGCTGTTAAACAAATGCACATGCATCTCAATTTTAAGAGCACTCGTGACACACAATTAAGGGTCCTATCACACTTTTGAGACTGTGTATATGTGATCTATAATACTCGTATAAAGGTTACATCTTGAACTTACGATCCACACTTTCTTCTTGATCACATGGGCAAAATACTCGTAGTGAAAGTATACAGGCAACAATAGCGGCGGCAAAACTGTGAAGAAATTTTCAAACAGGGAAAAAAATTACTGTTTCATGGTCATACAGTAGAAGGCTTATAATTACACATTTGGTTGGCTTAGTGTGATTCCCTTTTATTCCTGTGTTATTTTATTGTACGATGTACACAAATCACTGAAACAGATAAAAAACAAACTCATTGTCATTTGAATAGGATTTAGTTGGAGTATAAATTTACAACAAATGATTAGTGGAGTGTCATGGCCTAGCGGTTACACTGGACTAATGCACTGTTTCAGAGGCAACAGTGGCGTGGGTTCGAGCCCGGGCCCGGACACTTGTGCCCTTGAGCAAGGCACTTAACCATTATTGCTTCGTCCTTCGGATGGGACGTAAAGCCGTAGGTCCCGTGTGTTGTGTAATGCACGTTAAAGACCCCAGTAACACTTATCGCTAAGCGAAGGGGTTTGCCCCGGTGTTTCTGGCAGTGGCCTAATATGCACCGCAGCACCTTGTAACCCTTAAAGGTGATACATAATGGGTCTCATATTTCTCATATTGAGGGCCTCCATGGAAAGCAGTGCCCTGCACTGATCGGAGCTACCCTCACTAAAGATGACGTAAATAAAAAAAAAATAAAAAATTTAAATTTACTTGCAGCAGGTTGCAGTTAGGCTGATCCCTAATCCAGTCTTCAGACTGTCTGGCATTGTCAGTTATATGCTAATTATGAAAGCAGCCAGCTGATAATCTGATAATCCACTGGGTAAACATTGTGAGCCTGATTGCATTGTGTGGGATATTTGCTGTACAATAACACTTCTGTGGCTTTGCCTTTAACACAAAATCATAGAGCAAGGAACGGCTTTTTCATACAATAAAAAAACACATCGAATTCACAATCCTGCAAAACTAAATTGGGCCGGTTCTAGACGCCATGCTACAGCACGTTTAATGCTATCAACGTTTAATGGTATGCATTTTGCTGTAATATGGGAGCGAGGTAATTATAATGTGGTGCTTTTATAGCGCTTTACACCACAGGTCTCAAAGCGCTTCACAATTATTACCCCTGTTCATCAGGCCATGAGACCAATTTTCTGCAGCAGCTTGAGATAAGCACAGTCTAGTCTCCACCTTCACAGGTACCCATTTATACTCCTGGTTGGAGAGGCAATTGTAGTAAAGTGTCTTGCCCAAGAACACAAGCCCCATGTTCCCGGTCAGGGTTCGAACCCACATACCATGGCACATAGTCAAACACTGTAACCATTGGACCACAGTCCAAGTACTCACGGAAGAAAAAGTAGCTCTGCTGGTGGTTGTACGGCATGACACCCTTCTTCCTATTGGCCCACTGGACCGGCATCTTGTCTCCCAACATAAAGAGATACTCCATCCTTATGTCAGGATCCTTGCTGACAATGTTGGGCTTGGCGTGGTGCTGGAAGTGACGGTAGTTCCACCAGTGGGCTGAGGAGCCCTGATCACGAGGACAAGTTGAAAACCATTACAAATCTTCAAACCAGTAGAAATCTAAAGATGTCCAATCCTAAGCAATGTTTTATTAATGGACACCCCTGTGGTCTGTTCTATGGGACAGCTGTACACAAGCGTCTATGATGCAGGCATGCAACTTGGAAGTAAAAAAAACCAGGAAATTCCAATCTTTACAAGACTTTGTGCAGTGTTTTTCAATTTTTAACAGCAAAAGTGTGAAGTGGATAACGTGGCAATCAGCTGATCCGAGGAAAAGTTGTATGCCTAATGATATTCGCGTAGATTCTGCGATCAATTATGCAAAACATCACCGTGTCTTGATCTCCAGATTCTGACCATTCTGCAGACACTGGGTCTTAGGTAACCCGTTGTAGTACAATGTATTACAAAAATATGGCAGCCAAAAATGGCAGACCAATCAACTGCTTAGTCTACATTTCTGATCAAACTGATGTCACAATTGTTAAAGTCGACTCCCATTGGCTGGTGTGAGGGTCACATAAAATGTGCATGCTCACATATGTTGTACGTTGAATATGGAGCTTGGCTCTGTTGAATATAACCAATGATACTCAGACTATGGTCCCCAGACGATGCTAAAAGATTGAAAGCTATTTACCTTCAATCCACCAAGGATAAAGCCGTGAAGAAAGTGATTCCAACTAGACTTTTTGAAGACGGACAGATGACCCAGGTCATGTTGAAACCATCCAGCCTGCCCCTTAGATCCAAGAAAAGGAAATAAACGTTAACAACTTTTTACATTTTGTCCTAATTTGAGACTTTCCTTTAAATGTCAGAACTATATGCGTATACTAATATCTCCGTTACCCGTTTTCAAGTCAACACGGAAATGTGTGCTGTTGTCTTCCAATAATGGCAAAGCTTAACTTTAAGGTAATGTTTCCAAAAATGAATCACTTAAAACACTTCAAAGGGAATTCCACCTTTTCTGCATATGCGTCTTGGATTGGTTAAATTGAAAAATATTTTGGAAACCTTAACAAGATTGAATAGTTTTTTGAAATTTGGATGCAGTGTTAAAATGACAACACTTTGCAAATGATCAACTTTTTTGCATCCAAAAATAAAACAAGTTTTCTCTCTTCGAAAAAGAAAAGCATTGAAACGGGGCAATTTCCAGATGCATGCATTTCAGATGAGTTCATTTGCATATTGTGTAAAGTAAAGACTGTTATGAACCAATATAGCCTATCAGGCTGGCGTTTATCTCCAGTTTCCTCGCTATGAAACGACTGAGAAAATTCCTACTCCCTATGGATGGGATGCCAGTCCATCGCAAGTTACTCCCAAGCTAAAGCCGGTACCCATTTACACCTGGGTGGAGAGAGGCAAGTGAGGGTTAAGTGGCTTGCCCGGGGGCACAGCATATGGCCAGTAGCTGGCTTTGAACCCCTGCCCCTCTGATCGTGAGTCACAAACCCCAACCCCTAGACCACACTCCCCCTGCAGTCAGGGGAACTTTGTTTTACCTGTGCTAGAAGCAAGAGTATTGAAGTTGTCAGGTATGGCACCCAGCCCGTTCCATAGCGCCACAAGACAAGCCAGCCCAGCACTTCAAAGGCCAAGATGTGGGCCAGCACAGCCACATAGAACCACAGGTTGGGTTTCAGGAGACCTCTCTGCTCCACCTGGAGACGGAGGTCTCGCATGTCACTGATGAGGGACTTCTGCGAAAGGGGGGGGTTGATAATAAATCACTATTGTTTGATCACATTAAAAGTTTTATTCAATTTATTTCCAATTCCTTTTCACAGTAATTTTTGCTCATATCAACTTTTTTGGTCAGTTCTCTTCTTTCGTCTCAGGATGCAAGTCAGGGAACAGTCAGAGCATCATGCAGTTTATTGTCAGATGACATGCTTTTTGATTAGGCAAAAAAAAAATAGTGGGGGGGGGGCCAATTTTTTTGTGTGCTGATTGAATGGGGTATTCAATTATATGCGAATTTCAGCCTGAACTATTTCCATTGCACTACGAAAGCTATGCAAAAAAATGGACATAAAAAGTGATTAAAACTTACCTTAATTATTGTCAAAATATTTACGGTCGATACTTCTTTAAAATAATGGAAAATTCAGGTCGTGCACACCATATGCACAATGCTAGTCATGACGGGAAACTGGCCAACGCTGTCCGTAAATCGCGCGGTAAAGTGTGTGTCATGCACTGTGTGTGGCCGGCGAATAACCTCGTTTTTACGGTAGGAAATTTCAGAGAAACACGCCGCATCGTATCACTCCAAATACGAGTAGTACGACCTCAAAACATCAACAAGGAAAATACATACACAGACAAGAGAGATCAAGTTCTGTGAATTAACTTGCAAAAATGTTCTTTTTCCGTTGGTTTTTTCTTGGCATTTTCACGATGTCGAATCCGACCTGCAACTGCAGTGCACCTCGGCCGGCCCATGCATAGACTGGTTACCGCATTTCCATCATGCCTTCTTTAGCCCTTTCAGTGCGCAGCCCGGCGGAAACTAGTCATCGCTGCATTCAGCATTAAATAACGCACGTGTTTCATATCGTCACCACGACATTGAATTGCGAACTAGTTATCGCGAAGCGAACTTGTAAAAACAACGGAGGTTTCTTCTAACAAAATAGCGAATGTAAATAGGCAAACAAATAAATACAAGCATTTTTTAGGCAAAAGGGTTGTTGAGAGGTGTTTTGTGAAGACAGAAAAGACATAAAAATTTTAGTGAAAGATAAAAGTTTTAGTGAAACTGTGATTCCCTTTATGGGTATCAGTTTTTTTTAAACTTAAAAGTTTATATGGTCCTTTAATCCATGACTTCTGCAAACTTTGTTGTCTGTTCAACAACTTGTGACATAACAAAGTCCAAGAGTTCTTGATAAGCACAGCGAAGGAAATTAGAGTTTGGAAACATACATGTATGTCTTCACATTGAGTCATGCAAAGTTCAAAAATCATGGATAGATAAAAATTGAAACATAAATGGCCAAATAGAAAAGAAAATACCCAAATACCCTAAAGACTGCTGTAAAAATAAAACGTTAAGTGTTGATTCTACAACACAGTGAAAAAAAGCACAAGAACGTCGACACATTTGTTAGAAACACCGAGGTTCATAAAAATATTTTAAATTGAAAGCTAAACCCCATAAGGGTAAAATCAAAAGCTGTAAAAACTGATGGGAGGGACTAAAATCATTAATAATTAATTTTTAAAGGAGTTTGGAAAATGTTGGTTCTTTATGTTTAAAAAGTAGTGAAATTTCTTAATTCACCACAAAAATCCATGAAAGAATTGTTCATCACAAAGAGGACAAAAGCAAAAGCTAAGTCTCTACCTTGGGTTGATTGTCTTTGTCTAGCGAGCCGATACACAATGGCTTCATGTACTTCCTGACTATGCTCTTGTCTGGATGAAATGCAACAAACGCATCCTGGGGAGAAATAATCACATAAGATTTCACTGAATAGGGTCACTTGATTTTTAAACAAACAAAAATTAATCTATTCACAGTTACATTTCTTATAGTACTGTAATTTTTTTACAGTATTGCTTATCATCAAATCAGTGCTAAAACTCAAGTTATTTGTTGAGAAAACTGCAAGCACGGCCACAGTGGGAAATAAAATCATAATTTTCAAGCCATTTTAATTTGTAATACTTAGATTTTGAGCATTTTTGCTAAGTTACTGGTTGGGAAAACCCTCCCTCTCTGGCTGGCAAATTTAACGAGGCCAGCCCAGCAGTCAAAATAAATCAAGTGATATTTTAAACAGTTGAGTGCTCCTTACAAACATAAAACAAGATTGACTGGCTGTGACTGTTATGTAACTTGATACAGCAATGCTTTGGCTGCAGGTGATTGATAAGCCAGCTGTGCCTACCAGTCACCTGCTTTTGTCTGTTGATGGAATTTGACTAGTCACAGTGCCTACAAGAAATATGATCTGACTGTTGGTGACTAGCCTGTGTAAAAGGCATGGCAGAAGAAGTGGATTGAATTTTTGACTGTCTGTGACTTATCAAGCAAATTAAAAGAGGTGTTACAATTAAAAGTAAAAGTTTGTGATGCCTGTGGAAAATTTCAGACTATACGTTTTTCAGCAACTTACTGCCAATTGTTGTTTGTCAAGAAGTGTTACAACCCCGACACAATTTGTCTGACAGTGCGGCAGAGCACAGTAAACCATAGCTGGAGTTACCCAGCCCTAAATTTTATCATTGGGTTGTCATTTAGGGCTGGAGGAAGTTTTTAACGCGAACCAGCAGAGTTGGCAGGTCACAAAAAAAAATTCAAAATTTTTTCGAAAATGTGCAATTTTGTCCCTGTTACACACTAATTTCAACTGGAACTCACCCAAACCTTGCTTGGAATAACCATTACACAGGTCCTTGAAGTAAAAAACGAGTCCACGATGAAAATTCAGCCTACAATTGCAGTGAAAAAACGAGGCATAAACCGACAACCGTGCGGTCATGGCGAGGACCGCAATTGGATTTGTGCACAGCGCGTTTACCAGTTCGTTCTTGCCGGCTACGCTGGCTGATGGCGCATGACGTCACGCGACGACTGTTTCATGCACGATAATTGGCAAACTTTGGTTGCCGTCCAGTATCGCAGCTATGATGCGTCGGGTATTCCGCTTCCGCATCAGTGACGTCATGCGCCATCAGCCAGCGCAGCCGGCAAGAATGAACTGGTAAACGCGCTGTGCACAAATCCAATTGCGGTCCTCGCCATGACCGCACGGTTGTCAGTTTATGCCTCGTTTTTTCACTGCAATTGTAGGCTGAATCTTCATCGAGGATCGTTTTTTACTTCAAGGACCTGTGTAATGGTTATTCTAGGCAAGGTTTGGGTGAGTTCCAGTTGAAATTAGTGTGTAACAGGGACAAAATTTTTTGAATTTTTTTTGTGACCTGCCAACTCTGCTGGTTCACGTGAAAAGCTTCCTCCAGCCCTAAATGACAACCCAATGATAAAATTTAGGGCTGGGTAACTCCAGCTAAGTAAACCAGAGGTTGTTTGCAGACCCGTTCAAATCCTGTCATCAAGTTTCTTAGTTTAAAACTGTGAAGCTTACCGTAGCATCTTCGCCAGCATAGTGAGACAGCACCTTGAAGCCCCCTGGGTGTCTGTTCACCCACTGGCTGACATCGTACACCCCGTCCTCAATCACCACCCATTTGTCCGTCCTAGTGCTGTGCTGTCTGACCTCCTCCCAGGTGTAGGTACCTTGCTTGCTGACCGCAGCTGAACTTTCACCTTGTTGACCTTTACCCATAATGCCGCGGGGTTACTGTAGGACAGGAGAAAGTCAATTCAAATTATATTTAAAGATGCATACTCCGTGCTCTTCAAAAAAAAATTCTCGTAATGAATTTTCAATTTGTATGTTTTGCTTTAACGAAAACAATATTATTGGGCATCTGCAACCCTCTGAAAAAAAGAAGTTCATTTTACGCACAAATGAAACTGCTCTCAAAGAGCCGAATTATTGTCCGACAGCCAATAATTCGATTTTTGCAAAGAAATAATTCAATAACAAAATGTCTGTGGATTTAATTTCTCGTTCGATGTCTCATTCAAAAGTGAATAACTTTTATATTTCTAAGAAAATAGCAATTGAAAACAAACAAATCTATTTTTCGAGTTGAAACTCACAAATAGCATGAGGAACGCATCTTTAATCTATAGACCCAAAATATTCCAAATTTCTGGTCTTTACATTCCTCTCTGCAGAAGCTGCACATCAGTTTGTTTGTTTTGTTTGGTTTGGTTTTAGAGTGTTTAATTATAAAAATGGCCTAGTGAAAATATTGTCTCATAATTAAGTTTCTACTTGGATTTTTAATCCCTTCAATTTGTAGGCAAAAGTGCTGGATCAATTTCAATCCAATAAGCCATTTGCGAATTAAACTCAAGTAACATCTGGTACCCTGACTTCCTCGAATGCTTGGCACATTTTAACTGCGAATTCAAACCAAAGAGGCTGTTGCTATATCACGTGATTCGGGGCAAGCCTTACGCTAGCAACCCCCAGCTCCGGAATGGTCAGGTGTCTTTGTGCCATTCTCACACACTGTGCGCAATGTATTGATGTTGAGCCTCTCTTACGTAACTATGCAAGAGCTTGCCCCGAATCATGTGATATAGCAACAGTGTCTTTGATCTGGAGAATTCAAAGTTAAAACGTGCCAACTAGCATTCTTAGCAAGTCAGCTAGTGTACTAATGTTATTCAAATGCAACTCGCAAAGGGTATAGGTTTGCAAATGGCTTAATTATTGCTTAGTTTAGCAAAAGGATTTTTCTAAAGAATGTTGCATCCTGACGCCACTTAATTTTTTATAATATAGGCTAGGGCCTATTATCTCAATGAAGCAAAAATGCTGAAAAGACATGAATCTAGGACCGAGAATCATTTCCAATTTTGTTTAAAAATACTTTAAAAATGTAATCCATAGACTTTGTACACAAACAAAGAAGTGGCGTCTGGATATTTCTTTCAGAAGCAAGTTCCAATCAAAAAGGAGGTCAATGGTTGGGTGCGGTTTTGTAACTCTTTAGTCCCAGTGCTCAGTGCTGTTGTCTGTACACATCCTGACTAAACCATGTTATTCCTCCATGACTAAACTAACCTGTACTTCTATCGCAATGGCAAACGAAATTTCTAATTGATTATAACGGTTTAAGGCAGGCCTAATTGCAAGAGTGAATGACGGTGAAAACCGCAACTTACCCTCCATAAAAGTGGGATATCTGAGGTCTAATTTAATCCAAAACACACACTATGTACCGCCAGGCCCACAGGTCCGGCCGACACAGCCAAACATAGATTTACCGCTCCGATATGTCTGGAATAAAGGAATTATGTAACTTGAAGGACACCTGCCCTGGCCGGCATTCATACAAACAAGTGGCACGCTGCCGTGCCGTGCGCGTGCAAGGCCAAAAATATCACGCCATCGAATCACGTGATTGTCATTGAACACGCCTTCTTTGGACGGACTTTTTTTGAACTCTCCGAGGTACACGTGGACCTCACGTACGCCCGTACCTATAGAGCTAGCTATCCAACTCCGTGAGATGGCTGTGGAAACTAATACAGGGTCAGAGAGACCGACTTCGGCTGAAATAAAAATTCCTTTTTAAGGAATCCCGACTCACGGGTCCTTGATCTGTTTTAGGAAAGATGCGGACCACTGGTGCGGGCACGGGGTAAAATTAGACCTAAAGTATGCGGCTCATGGCGGCCGGGAAACCTATAGTTTTTTTCACCATTTTTTGTGGAAGGATTAACCCTAGCTGAAATGCACATTGTTCATTAATAGTGTAAAATAACCACGCAAAATGGTGATGAGCAACTTTATCCGAGTCTAGCCGCACAGTATATCCCTGTATCCCGCACGCGTACCATTTCTAATGGTGCCTAATGTCTAATGAGGCCAAAGTGCAGGGAATATAGAGCGGCCTGCCTTTTTCCATTTTGTTTGTTCAGAATGATTCTTCAGAATGATTCAATAAGAGCGAGATTCAGACAAATTATTGCTTGGGAAATGGGGAATCAAGTTGGGAAACCCCCGGATACCAAAGTAAGAGCATGCATGGCGGCAGGGTACAAGACAGTTTAAATGTTTTGGGGGTTTTTTTTAGAGCGCGCTAAAAATGAAACTGAATGGTGTAATCTATCATAATGGAATTTTTTCGAAAATTGGCAATTCAATTTTATGATGTTTCCCATTATTTTTAATTTGTATAAAGTTACGATACACGGATATTTTGTAAGGCCCCTATAACATAAATGTAGTGTTTCACTGCCCCTTCCACCAATTTTCAAACAATCCTAAGGCTCAGTCCTGCACATAATTAATCTTGACAAATCCAATTAACTACACAACAAAGAAATCATCTTAGATCAATTTAGATTGACGTTTAATTATTCTTTCACATTTGCATCAAGTAAAAACAACTATTTCGTAGCAAGGGTTTAGAATACAAGTTTAGAAATGAAATACATGCACTTTTTGGCCACTTCCCAGCCAAGACTGGATATTGGCCAAACAAGTTTAAGACTGTTTCTTCTTTTTAGGAGTACCTCTACATTAAAGGCTAAAATGATATAGTAAAAGGTTTCTCACTCTCAGCTGGTTAAATGGCAAGGCACAAACAAAAACCAAATGTACACAAAAGCAACATCCAAACACAACAAAAAAAATCACCAAATAAAAGCAAACTTTTGCTGCATTGCGTGGTTTGTTTATCAAGGCCTGCACATCCAAACTACACTCAACCAAAAGAGAAAGTCCCCCCCCCCCTTCCAATACTGTTTTGTCTTACTCAAAAACTACTGAGCACCTCTCACTCAAATAACAACTTATCAGTACAGAAATTCCTTAGCAACCCAGCCATACTCTTTATTTGGCCCAAAACAGTGATTATGTGTACGAAATTATGCAATTTATGACAAATGATACCGAAAACAGTTGCACTTTTGTACACGTGCAAGTTGTGGTTCACATGTCACCTTGAACGTATACAAACAACTTTGCAACTGTTTTCGGTATCATATCGTCAATTGCATAATTTCGTACATTTTTATCACTGTTTTTGGGCCAAATAAAGAGTGTGGCTGGATTGCTAAGGAATTTCTGATTAGTCATAGCTTGAGCAAGATGTGCGCAGTAGTTTTGAGTGAAGACAAAAACGTAGTGGGGCGGGGACTTTCTTTTTTGGTTGAGTGTATAAGAACAGTACCAAATGCAGTATTTTTTTCTAAGCATATTGACATATATTTTGGTAACATAACTGAAATACTCCCCTTAATTAAAGTAAATATTTCATACATGTTGGCCTACTGGTAGTTTTGTAGTTCAGAGTAAAGAAAACCAAGTTAAAGATATATATTATTTCAGCTGCGATGTAGCAATGCCAATATCAGCTGCTGTGGCAAAAACTAGCAACAAGTTATAAAGACCACAAAATGTTCAATGCTACATTTTGTAATTTAAGGTGAACTTTTCTCCCAACTTTATACAAAGTAATATTGTGTGGATTAATAGCTGCACGAATTCACTGGTAATTTGTATTATACTTCTTGAAGACTCAAGTGTTTTTAGGCTACAAGAAACTTTCTTGTAGTAACAAAGACAAAACCCAAAACTCCCAAACTGCATGAGATGCACAGCCCTCCCAAACTTCTTGTTGGATTTTGAAGAATCTGGAGTTAATGCCTTGATAATAAATAAATTGTTTTATTTCTGGATTTCAGTAACGAGTATTTCAAGTACTTAGACTGACTGTTGTCCATTTCACACTAACATCAACCACAATATTTCAGTTACAATTTTAATACAGTTTTTAAGTAGGATTTAGACAAGAACTGATTATATTCGAAACACATTGGTAATCGCTTGATATGATGTTAAGCCACAGGTGCAGAACAATTGAAGCAAAGCCCAATCATCAAGGTACTCAATCAATCAACCAATAATCAATGTAGTCAATCAGGTCTGATCAATTAATCAATCGATCACATCTGAATGTCAGCCTATGTGTGGTAATAGGCGTCATACCACAGCTCTCCGGAATGCTTGAGGGAACTGCAAAATAAGTGCATACAAAAGTAAATTAGTTCAAACAAAAGACACGAATATATTTATCACAAAACAAATTGACTGTAATAAGTCATGAGCTATAGGTATGTCTTTGTAAACCTTTATTCTGAAAGTCACTGTTAATTGTATGTCCAACCGATTTGATATGATTTTCTCTGACTGTACAATAGCGTTTACGTGTAAATAGTCTGAACAAACAATTCATCATACATCCAAATTCTGATTTTCCTCTTTTATTTGAGATAGTCCAAGAAAATTATTTGAGCCTACAAGACACAAGTCGGCAAAGTCAATATATAAAAATCCATGTTTCTCATTGAGGCTGTTTCTCAAAAACAATGACTACAAACAGATAAAAATTCAATTCAAAGTAAAGATCTACAACGCTTCATAAACTAAACATTTCAGGATCAAAGTTTCAACAGTCAATGGGTTTTTTTGGTTTGAAAGTATAATTGACTTTTGATTGTCTGCTTTTTTCAGCCATTGTGAGATGAAGTCTGTGCCTGTGGTGTCACTTTCAGACAATAAATCGTTTGTGAATTACATGGTGTGTTATGTTCTCGAGTTTGAGATGCCTTCGCAGCATTTTATTCCACGTTTACAAACCCATCCATGGTAGCATTTTCCACACACGTCTTAGCAGAGAAATAATAAATGTTCCCATACAATTTATTCTGCACACTCTAGGGGCTTAGTATATTAGTATCCAATCAACCAATATGTGGACATACGCAATATATATATATACTAGTCCGATGTGGTTCTGAGAACTGGTGTCAACTCAACATTTTCTATGCTCTGTTCATCCGTCGTTCTGTCACTTTGTCTGGAGACTGTTGACTTACCGGATGATGTCAGCGAATGCCTGGCTCAGGCTCTTTGTCTGATGGCGAATGTTGTGTTTCTTGCACAGCGCCTTGACGTCAGGAACAATCTTGTACAAGTTGTGCCTTGGCATTGTGGGGAAAAGGCTGTCAAGCAAATGTTGGAGGAATCTCAGTAATTCAAGAAAAATTCACACAAAATTTATAAGTGTGGTTATTTTTTGAGATTTTAAAAACTTTATGCGTTGAAAGTAGCTCATGTCCTGAATTACATGTTGTAAAACTGGAGCTGTCTTTCCCAAACAGAAAGGGAGAAATATACTATAATTTCATATTAAATCGAATGTAAGTTCTAAATATTGTCTCACTGGTGCTCAATCTGGAAGTTGAGGTGGCCAGTGAACCAGTCGTTGAAGAACGAAGATTCCACATCACAGGTAGCCTGCAGCTGAGCTGGTAACCACTCCTTGTGTTGATCATGGTCTATCTGCATGGGAATGTGGTTCATCTGGCTGGTCCAGACAAACCAGTTGCTCTCAAGGAACCTATAGTGCCAAAATAATTGTCAGCAGATTCATGTTTTGTTATTAAATTACTAGCTCCATGCGCAAACAACAGAGGGCGCTTTCTAAACACTTTCGAGAACTCAGTGGATGAGACACACCGAGTGACTTATTTTATTCTGAATATGCACGAAGCCATAACGTCTTCGCGTGAGCGTCAGACGTCATCAGCAATGCATTCAAATGTCTCTCCCAGTGGTCTCCCCAGCTCTCCCTTTCTTACCGTCTGAGGGGGTACTTGTGCTTGGAGCCCTAGCTCAACTAGACTTCTTTAATTTGTTGTATGTCTTTTTTAAGGGAGGGGGCCTACATCTAGCCTTTGTTACTTTTGTTTAGTTATAATTTTGTTCCAAAAAATGCATGACTCCATTTTTGCAGAGGAATGATTACCAATTTGGGAAGATACTCTAAAAGTCTTGAGCAGTTCTTGCAACACATCTTACGTCACCTTTTTTTTTCAAATGTGCAGGATCCATCTTAGGTGGATTTTTGAAACAAAATATTGAGTCCCAAGACAAGATTCCTTGTCTCGAAATATTTGTCAACAAAAGAACCTTACTGAAAGTTGTTCTAAATTCTAACTAATTTCATTCAATTGAATAAAAAGGCGGTCAGTCTTTCAAAAATAATGGTTAGAAAGGACAGTGGGCTGCATACTTGACAAACATGTAGTTAAAGAAGAGGCCAAAACCTCCAAGCAATGGACCGAAGAGCAACGCGTGTTTGATGAAGAAGACGCACATCCAAGCAAGATCCTTAAAAGGAAAAAGAAAAGGAAGTGGACTGGTTTCAGGCAATATTGACTGCACGTATATCACTGATTTGTACAGACTCCGAGAGCCCCCTCCCCCTTTGCCAAAATAGAAAAATCCACCAGACAAGAAATGGAACAAAACCTCCTACTTGTTTTGAACTTTAAAATTCCTATTTATTTACCAATGCTTGTGCACAAGAAGTAGGAGGGTCATTTTTAAAAAGTCGTTCTGATTACCTTCCACAGCCTTTTCCTGATTACATGCGCGAAATACTCCAGGTGGAAATACAAGGGCATCAGAAGAGGCGGCAGTGCTGTCAAGACAAAGTCAAGAATTTCAGGTTTCTATATTCCGGACAAAACTTACGCTTTCACATCATCTCAAATCAGCCTTTTGTTACAAGACTAGGGCATCCAATGCAGTAGCCTGGAACATGCCTTCTTATTGAGACAAGGCCAAATTGTGCACGATGATTTGAAGTTTGCCATTCGTGCCGAAATCAAAGCATGTGTCAAAAGTCTCAGGGTTTTTTTGTCAAAAGTGACTATATCATGAATGTGTGATGGAATGTTATCAAGGATGTAAATTCAATATTGGGTTTTGACCTTCAACATTATTATTTTAGAAGCACTATATACTCCGTGCTAGGGAATGCAAGAAAAAAAATCACAAGCTCACTTGGTTGGGACTCGAACCCACAACCTCCTGCTTACTATACTAGTGCAGACGTTTTACCACTCGACCACCGAGCTTGATGGGGTCAGCCGGCCAGTTATTGCCAATTCCACATGCATGACTTACTGAAAAAGAAATAGATCTGTTGGTAGTTGAAAGGTAGGAAGTACTTCCTCTTATTAGTGCCCCAGGTGACTGGCTGCTTGTCTCCCAAGACAAAGAGGTAGGGCATCTTGATATCAGGGTCCTTCCTGATGATGTTGGGCTTAGCATGATGCTGGTAGTGACGGTAGTTCCACCAGTGGCTCGAGGCACCCTAGAGAGTTATTGATGGGTGAGATTGGGAGAAAGATCCACATTAAATGATAATTGGCAGAGGGATTAAGGGTCATCGAGAGCCCCAGAGCAATGTAGGGTCTATATAAACCTTTATAGGTGAAAACACCTTTTCAGATATTAAAAGGGATTTCTTTTTAATCCTGAAATCAGGAAAAATGCAGACAAAATCCAGTAATCAGGAAAAATCCTAACAAAAGAAATTGTGAAATCAGGACAAATCCCCGCAAATCCTGACAAAAAATATCCTGACAAAGAACCTAAAATCAGGAGAAATCCTGACCAAAAATCCTGCCCAAAATCCTAAAATCACAATAAAGAGGGTAATACGAGACAAACAGTCACACACAACTAGCACAATCGATTTTGAGCTTTTATGCATGTGCAGTGATAAGTGTCAAAACACCTTCACTGGGAATGCACAATTCACTTACCGAACAAAACTACACTGAGCACATTCATTTTTGTTCAGAGAAACACAGTTAAAGGTCAGAAATGTCTGGTCCCTGGCTGAAATTCTACCCTGTGGGATAAACACATCGCTTGCCTTTTTTCTTTTGCAAGGAACTTTTCTGAACATACCCACACTCAACAGTGGGTGGGAAACCAATAACCCGTTCTTTACATTCAATAAAATTCGAAATTGTAATTGGCGGTTCTTCCGCCCGTTGGATGTAGTAAATAAATTTGGGCATTGACCTCAGTATAAAGAAATGTCAATTGACGTGCCTTACAACCCTATATTCATCAAAAGTTTGCAAAACTTGGGCATAGAGTTTCATTCCCTATGTGGCTTTAGAATCTGATTTATGTCTAATTGTGATTTTGTTAAAAATGACACACTAACTTCACCCACAATTAATCAAAGTATCAGAATAATAATAATAATTAATAATAATAATTTGGGAGGCTAATCATCCTTACTCGCAGCTGGTATGCTGAATTGCGAAGGACGCGGCTACAACGTGGTCGGGCCGCTGGCACGTGAAGATGCCTATGGCTGCCGGCCACATCGACCCATATATGACCACGGAGCACAGCCTGAGATCGAAAGTGTTTGATTTTTCCGGAGGGAGGAAAACCGGAGGGCCCGGAGAAAAATCCTCGTGGCACAGGAGAGAACCAACGCACAACTCTACTCACATGCGATCCGCGGCCAGGATTCGAACAGTGGTCACCTTGGTGAGAGGCGAGCGCTTTACGCACAAGCCACCCATGCCACCCATAGAATGGTTATATAAATCATTTTGTCACATCAAAGTTTCAAACAGAAACTGGTGTTTTGGGGTTAAATTGACGAACAATTAGAAAACTTTTTATAAGTTGCCAAATAGAAAAAGTGGCAAACCAAACACAGGGTATCTGTTAAAATGCACAATTGTTTTTAAACAATTGTGGCTCTTGTAAGGCTTTAAAAAGCCTTACGAGAAAAAAAACATAAGTACCTTGAGAGCACCAGTTGTAAAGTACTGCAAGAGATGATTCCAGCGTGATTTGCGAAAGACCGACAGATGGCCCAAATCGTGAAGAAACCAGGAGGACTGGGCCTTCATAGAGAGAAAAAAGACCACCAAATTTACAACCTATGAAACTGTTGGTTTTGTAAATTTATCCTTTAAGGTCAAAGTGCTTACATTCTTTCTTTTTCGGTATAGAGAGACCCTTGATTTAAATATTTCATCCTTTTTTTAGTACCCTTGAAGTGTCAACCATTAGATTGAGAAAGTGGGTGTAAATTTTCGGAAGCGTAGAAGGGCCATATGGAATTGCCACAACAGGTTGCTGCGTATCTCACCACAGTGAATTAACAATTTGCTGTGGCAAACTACCAACTCGCTGCTATAACTTAAACTTATTTAAAGTTAAACTCAGATGAAGATCTCACAAGTGGATATATCCTTTAATATATAATTTCAACTCGAGCTCACTTGCTGCAGTAATCAAGATAGTAAACTTGCTATTATATGGTGAGATACTAAGAACAGCGAAAAAAAAAGCTTCTGCGTGGCCCTTCCATACCTGTTCTATGGTGAGTAGAACCGTTGCCAGCAGATATGGCACCCAGCCGACGCCGAAGTACCACAGCAACAGCCAAGCTAGAACCTCGGCGGCCAAGATGTGGCCAAAGTAGGCAGCGTAGAACCACATGTTGGCTTTGAAGAGACCCATCCCCTCAGCCTTCACACGGAGGGCCTCCATGTCGGTCACAAGTTCACTCTGAAAGTTTACAAACGAGGAAATTCAACTTTTCCTACTACTCCAAAACCTCCTGGTGGAGTTTGAAGAATCTGGGAAGGGTTAGGGTTTTAAATCTATTATTAAGAGCAAAAGGCTACAGTCTGAAGTTTACTGAAACACAGACACCTACACCTTTAATATTTTAAATTTTAGGTGCAACGTTTTTCTGAACATTGTTGCGAAAATGTAAATTATATTATAAACAGTGCACCTTATCTGCAAAGTATTTTCAATTTTGCAATCTGTCAAAAAAGGCTACAAATGAATCACAAAGGGACACTCACTCACTAAACTGACTAGGTGCATTATAATAATTTATAAAGTTGAACAAAGAAATAGACTGGAGCGGGGTTTGAAACCTGCAACCTCCGGATTGCCGTTCCGGTGCTCTACCATCTGAGCTATTCAGCCCTACGTTTGCAGTTCCCCTTTTTGTCAAATGGCTTTGTCAGCAGCAGATGTTTTCCAACTTTTTTTCCTAGTGTCCTTTGAGCAAAGTCATTGATATAAGGAACCACCAACATAGGGATGGATAGCTCACTAAGTTGGTAGAGCACCGAAATGGCAAGAGGTTGCAGGTTCAAACCCCAGTCCAGTCAATTTCGTTGTTCAACTTCAACTTTTGTTTTAACTACCAACAAAAAGATTAAACATTTTACTGATGCATGAGAAAAATTGGAGAAAAAAATCTGCAACTGTATTTTTGCTAAATGAAAGCATTTTGGAATTTAAAAAAATGTGGGTTTTTTTCTCTTTGTAAGTCATGGGGTCCGAGTTCCAAAATAAACCTCATGAGACTGTAGTTTAAAAGCTAGAAGCAGTGTGGCAAGTCTATCATTCAAGTTCAAAAGTCACCAATAAAACCCACGTCTTTTGTAAAGGAACAGATGATCCAGCATCAAAGCAATTCGTAACTTCCTGTGACATCACTGAAGTCGATAAACTTTTGCCATTGTTTGATCAAAGGACATCATTAATTGTGTCGTACGATCTGAAGTACAGATCTCAAGAGCCACTATCTTTCTAAAACCACAAAAAAAAGTTTTTTGAACTGTGGGGAAGCCAAACTTATTCACATATCAAGGTTCAATTAATCATTTGCATTAGAACTTCATAACTTTGCACTTTTAACGAAAACTTCAACAAAGGGGTTAGAATAGTTCAGTGGTTAGCAGGGACGTTCAGTTTTAATTCATCCCTCCCTATTCCACGCAAAATGGTACCATGCAATATTGGTGAATATTGTGCATATATGTATATACATTATTACTACACTGTAAAATGGTGCTTATAGAGTTTAAACACTTTTTGTACCGACTTTTTCCACATTATGTTTATTCTAAGATGTGTTTAGATTTTTGCATTGAGTGAAAGCCTGCTAGTGCCATCAATAATGAAACAAAAAAAGTTAAATTTAAATTTTAAAGTTCGTTTTTCTGAGGCAGGAGAAAAATAAGAGAGATAAAATTGTGTATTTTGCCTGCCATGTGACTTCAACCCGGAAAAAAACAACAATTTTTTTTTAGTTTTACTAAGTTTGATGGCATAGTAACAGGCTTTCATCGTGTCCCTAAACATGTCACATACATCCATAATTCTAAACATACCTTGGGAGAGTTATCCTCCAGTGTGCCAATGCATAGAGGCTTCATGTACTTCCTAACCAGACTCTTGTCGGGATGGAAAGCAACGAAGGCCTCCTAGAATGAAAATATGGACAAAGTTCAATTCATCAACAGATTTGATTCAAAAGGGCCTCAGTGCACTCTTTTGTGGTGAGGATGTCTTACAATGGCTTCGCAGTGAGATCCCCAATTTTGGATACTATAATTTGAAAATAATGGCAGTATAAATATAGTATTATTTTTATATGGTATAAATATTTATACAGCAGTATAAATAATAATAATAATTTGGTGCTTATATAGCACTTTATACCAAAGGTCTCAAAGCGTTTCACAATCATTATTACCCCTGTTCATCAGACCATGAGACCAGTTTTTGCAGCAGCTCAATATCGGCACATTCTAGTCTCTACCTTCAGTTTACAGGGACCCATTTATACTCCTGGATGGAGAGAGGCAATTGAAGTAAAGTGTCTTGCCCAAGAACAGTGTCTGTCATCTTTCGATAAAAGTTGTTTACTTATTCCTTTTTTGTTTAATTTATCAAATGAAAGGCAAGCTGCAGAAACCTCAAAAGAAATTGAGTCTTTTTGAATCGATAAGTTGAGCAAAGAGTACACTTGTCTTAAATTGAACTGTAGTACTAAGCTACAAAAACAAACAACTTTTTTTTTATTTCAATATTGGGTCAGTGTCACTCTTCATCAACATACTTTTGTGATGCAGTGATACAACTTACATGGGAAGATGTAAAGAGTTTACTGTGGGGGGGGGGGGGGTTGTCCTGTGAAGGGGGTGGCTCTCAAGGGGAAAATGGCCTTATTTAAGAAAAAAATAATTTAAATTTAAGATGCCCCATTCACACCCCTCCATCCATAACTGTGAAAAAAATCACCCTGAGATGTCCTATGCCCCATTCTCCCCCCCCCCCCTTGTTTCTAAGGAACTATGCCTAATGAGAGGCAGGATGACTGAGGAATTGGCATCCTCCAAAGTGAGATAGCACTTGAAGTAACATTTACTTCTTTGGTTTCTTTTCTTATTTTTTATTAAATGTTTTAAGGGATGACTTAATAGAGGGGTGGATGATGTGACCCCGGAAGGCTGAACTTACGGTAGCATCCTCCCCTCCATAGTGAGACAGAACCTTGAAGCCGCCTGGGTGTTTGGTCATCCACCGAGTCACATCGTACACGCCGTTCTCAATCACCAACCATTTGTCGTATCGGCTGTTGTGTTTCTTGATTTCATCCCAGCTGTAGGCTGCATCCCTGCCGACCCGGGTCACCACTTGACCTTGCTGACCTTTACCCATGATGCACTGCGATCTATTTGTCAAGAGTTTGGTTGCATTATTGTTTTAGGGCCTAAGTGAGATATGTACTTCCTCCATATTTAGAGCCACACAAAGATGCACGCTAAATTTTCCTGACTGTTTCCTGAATTTAGAATTTAGGCCGAGAGAATTTACCCGGTTAATAACCAGGAAAAATCAAAAGATCTTAAGTGCATGACCAATGACCTCGAGAAAAATTGTGGTTATTCTCTCCAAATTCCCTAAAAATGACAGGTCGACAACTAAACATCTAGAACTTAACAACGTAATTCAATTTTTCCTGAAGTAGTTCCATAGCAAATATCAAGTGAAAACAAATCTAAATTTCAATTTGAAGAAAGAACTGAGAAAATAGCATATGCATTGCTGTATGACACTAAATGTAGGACGAAGTCCAGTATTCATTTTAAAACATTTTATAAAAAGAAAAAAAAATAAAGCCTGCGGACGATCGTTTAATTAAATTAAACGGAAGCAATATCAAAATTAATAGTGATTCTTACAATATCCAGGTTGATTGAAGGCAGACAGTTGAATACAAACTGGACGCATCTAGCTAGCATCAGAGTTGATCCATTTAGCAGTCGGTTCAAAATTCAGTATAATTTATAAACATGAGAAAAAAAAATTGTAAAAAAGGTCCTTGCTCTATGGTACAACGCAGTATGCTCACCGCGCATACAGCAAGCAGAGAAGAGAAACGCACGCACGCGCAGGCCGGCCACGTGTGGCACTTTGATCACCAAATATCACGCCACATGTCACGTGGCACGAGGTGCTTACATGCATAGCCTTGACCTCAAGCCGATAATCGGGCGGGACGAATTCTTTTGACCCACATTTAAAGCAAAACTGGCAAATAATGATTGTAGCCATTGATCTCCATTAGAAAGAATACGTTGTGAGAGAACAATGACTTACGTCGTCACCTGTAAAGAAAGGTGCTTTATCCACGCAAACAAACAAAGGAGATCGCTGAAAATCACATAAAGTTGAAGGATTTAATATATTTGTGAGGTTGGAACGTGTTCGACTTGTTCTAACCCCCTTAATGATTTATGCTTCTTATCTCCCTCATCATATCTATTACGTCAGGTTTTGTTTGAGTGCTGGGTTTAAGACCCTCTTCCCTACTCCCAGCTCGCCCCGTTCTCGTTTAAATATTTGCGGCAATGTCAGTGGCGACGGACACAAAAACACGAACGTTTACCGACTTGAGGCGCGTCTAGTGCGCGCTTCCGCCTCCTCACGCGAGCAATACAGCTGATCAGCTGGCGTCTTTTTTTTTTTAAATAGCTTAGCAATAGCATGTATTTTCATTGATAAACATAATAGCAGCAAATGGGGCGGGATAACCATTTATCATAAAATAATCACTCTTGCTGAAATGCAAATAAGACCCGGAACTTCTAAAAGGCATGATGACAAAATGTACACAATAAAACCAGTAATTTCGATGAATCCTTTCACAATTTAATCAATTTTTTTATCACTGCAAAGATAACATTATTTATAGCATTATGGAACTACAGAAAATTAAACGTAACAAATCCGCTTTGGTGCTGCATTAAAACATTCATTTGGCGACTAAACAAATGCATATATATAGCGAAGGTTTTCCTATTTTCCCTTCGTCTATAAGCTGTATTCTGTCCATTGCATATGATTTCCATGTTGCGTTTTTCTTAATTTTTAATTCTGTATAAAAGTTGCATACCGTTTAGCTGATACTTAGAACTCTAACAAAGTAAATGGACAAGAATATTATTTCCACTTAAACTTAATTAGCGATCTATTATAATATCAAACCTGAAGTGTTACAGTTTTCAACTTCTCATATAAAATATACACATCATTTATTAAAGGCCATGTATTTCATAGTAATGCACAACAGTACAAGGCACAGCATTATTTTCTGATTACAAAAACGTAAAACCAAATCAGCTGCTATATTATTTATCTGCCATATTTCGATGCAAATCACGGAGTTCCCTTTTTCTTTTCTTTTTTAACAATACTAACTACATTATGTAATGTGCCTAAGCAATGCACTGCAACAAATCAAATGCAACAATCAGTGGTAGTGAACAAATTCACACAATGAACTTGATCAAATAAACTTCCTCTGAGTAAATAATAATACCAACTAACTGACATAAAATTGTTCTGGACAAAAAAAAAATACTTGGAATGTGACTCCCAAAGGAGCCTGATTGGCAACAGTATTGACACTTATTAAGTTTTGAAGAAAAACAAGAAAGGTAGGGACAGAAAAGCTTGGGCCAACTTCAGGGCGCTGCTAAGCACAAAAAACTGGTAAGCAGTGAAGTAAATTATCTGCTTAAAAAAATAGGTCACCAGCCAAAATACCATGCAATGTACATTGATTGTGACTGGTCCTCATCATATCCTTGCATAAACATAAACTTGCTAAGCTTTTTTTTCTTTCTGGTAAGCAACTCCATCTCATCAGGGCCCGATTTCTTGGCTCTGCTAACCACAGAGTTCCGTGCTTACGATCACAATTTTGAGCTAACCGCGCTAGCAGAAAAATTATGTGCTAACCCTGTAAGGACAGAATCCTTAGTTACGGGATGTACGCATGTGCATAAGCCAAAATTCCTCGCTAACGCGTGAAATACGCTTACCGTTAGCACAGAATTTTCTGCTACAGTAAGCAAGGATTTTTCGCTAACTGTAAGCAGAGCCAAGAAATTGGGCCCTGATAGATCCTAAAAAGCCCTGTTCAATTACTTGGCTACGGCTTGAAATTACACACGAGTCTATGGGAGCCACTTCCCATAGACTCGTGTGTAATTTCAAGTCTTAGCCCAGTAATTCGGACACGGCTTAACAGCAACAGGTACTGAAAGAAATCACTGATCTCTATATAAAGACTGGATAGTCTCACCAATATGGTCTCACCAATATGGCGTCAAATTCATTCATTGTGCGGCTCTTTATCTGCTATCCAGTGTTTACATGTATATAGAGATCAGTGAAAGAAATGTGTTCCTTGAAAGCCACGTGTGTATTGGTCCAACGTTACCATGAAACTGTACACTACTAAGGCAAGATAAAGAAATCTCTTTGGTTGACTTCTGAAAGACCCACAATGAATATAATTCTAAATCATTAAGTAAAAGATATTTTTGTTATAAAAAGAACTCTTTGACCCAAAATTACTCATAAAGTATAAAACATTTCTTTGACAATTCTGAGAAATCACTAAATTAGATATGGATTTCATTGATATAAAACTATAAAAACAATTTTCACACAAAAGATATCTATTTCATAACAAACACAAACACAAATTGCAAAAAAGCTGTTCGAAAAGTCTACTCCAAGTGGAATGTATGTAGATTTCAAAGGGTGGATTTCAGTTACATTATTACAATAAGACAATCACTTCACAACAAAAACGTGAAAGACTAAAAATAAAATGCATACTTTTTCATAATTCATCTTTTAAAGATTTGTTGCCTGTTTAAAGTAAATTCCTTAGTTTACTGGACTACCAAACAAATGCAAGATAATTGAACATGAAATTCTTAAGTACTTCGTACATCTTCCAAACCTTACCCCCCAAAAATTCTCCAATGGAACTTGCAGCCCAAATCAACTTTACATTTCCTGCAAATCAAGCCCTAGAATATTTATTACTTCAGTGATTGTTTGAAAGTCCAACAAGTTTCTGTTAACAACTGTGCCAAATACATTAGCATTCGGATAACTAGGTGCATAGCAAAAAAATATATGGGAATGTATGGCATGTATCTTTTAAGAAAGTTCCAATTTCAAATAACAGTAAATACGATCAATAATATTCAGCTTCATTACCTCATTGTTACCTTTGAAGTGTTTTTGGCTGATAAATAAGCCCAACTGGAGAAAAAAAAATCCCCAAACAGCAGCAGAGTGTACAGGCCGATTCAGGTTGCATGCCAGTAAATAGGCCTCAAATTTTAGAGAGATTTGAGGCCCTCATACTTGAGGGTTTGTACCAATGAAAGGTCCAATCTCTGAACCAGGCTTTGAGCTTTTGTTTTAAATATATATATTTTGGATGAACTAGACAAAACGTAGCTCTGTTTTGCAACAGAGTGGATGGACCAACATTGTGATAGGCTAGTTTAAGGGTGATATCTTAAAAAAAAAAAAATGAATAGCACGTGATATATATGAGAGGATAAAATCAAGTTTATCTGAATGTAAGTTTTAAACACCTTGGAGTTTTTTAATACCCCCCCCCCCCTTTTTTTGGGGGGGGGTGTCAGGTATGTATGATTGGTATCTGTAGTAACTTACTTACTCAATCAATAATCAGCGCCCTCTATTGGCAATGATCTCAATGACCTTAAATGACCCCTGACTTAGGCCGTGTCCGAAACGGGCTTCCAGAGCTACGGCTACGTCTATTGTCAGCTCTAGACAACTGATTCGGATGCAGCCTTAGACTGTACGTTAAACTATTCGACTTTACCCCCAATCACACTGTCAAAATCACCTCTCAAAAAATTTGAAGTGAATTCAAGTAATTTACGACCGTGTTAAAGGGCACTTTGCTTGTTTACAAGGCACTGCTTACATAGAAAATAGGTGTTAGCTACCTTTCGGAGGGCATGTTTAGGCATGGTGGTAGGCGTCATACCAAAGTTGGCCAGAAGATTTTAAGGAACTGAAATCAAATAGTTGAGAAAATTCAAATTAAAGTAAGTTACTACATAGAAGTGTCACAAAGTCACCAGTAAAAGCCTACACAAAACATCCAAGGACTAATGATATTGAATTTTTTCGAGCTGCATTCCCATGCTTTTTTTTTTTAAGTTTCATCCAAAAAATTATGTTCCTTTTTAAAATTGCTCCTTTTAAATGGTTATTCACTTTTGAATGAGATATCACCCGTTGTTTAGCTATTGAACTATTACTTTACAAATTTATAATTACTTGCAACCTGACAATAATTCCGTTTTCGTGAAGTAGGCTGGTTCCTATCCCACAATTAGTATTGAAAATGTACGGAGCAGGAACCAGTCTGCTCGCAAGGTGGATCTGTTTGTGCCCAAAATTACAAAAAAAAATAAAATTCCGAGGGTTGCAGATGCCTTACAAAGTAAAAAATAATGGTTTGGGGGGTTTTATCCATAAGACATACAAGTTGAAAATTGATTAAGAGGAAAAAATGAATTTGCTGAAGAGCATGGCGAAAACTTTAATCTTTTTACAATAATTTCTGATCAAGTTTGCTTGATATTTTCATTGAACGTTTGTTCTTTTAAAAAATCTAAAAAGAAAAATGTAATTCACACCTGACTGTAATTGTTACTTCACTGTAAGGCCAAAAAAAAAAAAATACTCGGTCTCTGTTCAGGCCAAAGTTCCAGAATTGATGCGGCGACGCGGCTTTTTTTTTTTTTTTTCCAAGCTTGGATTGTACAGACAAGGTGGGGTACTATTTTTTTGGTGTCCTCCATAATTTGCCTCGGTGCCCTCGATCATTTGCCTTGGTGCAATTTCCCATTCCTTGGTGCTCTTTAGTAAAAAAAAATTGAGGAAGTGCGGCAATAGAGGGCGCTGTTGGAGCTACCGCGGAACATTTTGGGGAAAAAAAGGTTGACGGGCATGATTAAAATCGACGCGCGTGCTGACCAGAGACTGACTTATTTTTTTTTTGGGCCTAACATTGATTTTAACAGTTTGCATCTCAAGGTTCCTATAATATTCATTGTTTTCTTCAATTAAGTGCTGGTTTTAAAAAAAGAAAATTCCGGTAAAAATATTGTTGGATAACAGCTGAATTTCTTTTGAAATCCCAAATTATATATCAACAGCATACTTGAGGGGTGGATCTGTTGGCAATCCATCCACTTTGTATTTAATCTACGTTCATTTTTTTCAACATATTACTATAATCCAAAATATTTCAATATTGCAATCAATTTGGTAAGTCGTGAATCCAACACCTCAACCATTGGCACCCCACTGCCTTCAAATAATTCCGACACTTTTCAGAAAATCCTAGGCCTACCCCTGTAAATCTGATGAGACAACTCTCTGACACTCTAACACTGATTTCCACTGGAAAAGAAAAGGAATAAATGAAAGACTTACTGTACAATATCAGCGAATGCACCAAGCAGTGTCTTAGATTGGTAGTTTAAGCCGTATTTGCTGCACAGAGACTTCACGTCCGGCATTATCTTATAGAAGTTGTGTCTCGGCATGGTAGGAAATAGGCTGTAACAAAAACAACACGCATTTCTTAAATAACTACTCTCTTGGGTGAAAACTTTTGTCAGACAGAAATCTGAAAACCAAGTTTTGTTCACAACATCAACATTTTCAGAAGTCTTGCTCCGAGATTTTGATTTCGTGCCCCTAAAGCAGCCTGTCAACATGAACAAAAAACCAACTCAAATCAAGTGTTTAGAATTTTGGCACTTGGACTTAAAGCCTGCCGCACGACTTCTCGATTTTACCGGCTCATCGGATCATCAAAAAAACCGCTTCGGTTGTTTTCACCGTTGCAGAGACCGCAATGTTAACCTGCACACATGCCCAATTACATTCTATAATCGGTCACAAATGATCGTTCATGACAAAAATGGCAGCCGTCAGTTTTGAATCATGTGACTTCCTCGTGAATCTGATTGGTTAACATAAATATTGCATCCTGTAAAATTGGAGTGTTCCGCACACCTTTCGGGTGACATCGGATCAGGTGAAATCGGATGCGAAAAAATCGAACATGTCTGATTTTATCCCGTCGCCCAGTGTATGGTAAGATTAGTCTGATTTTTCAGCGCACACCTCTGTATGATGGCCCGATCATCTGTGAATCGGTAAATTCGGAAAGGTGTGCGGCTTGTCTTATTAAATGAATTTGAGGGAATATCTCACATGTATGCATTAACTCTCCTAGTTGGAAGTCAATATTCATAGCAATATGTAAAACCCTGCAGGTCAGTTTCCGGTGAAGGTAATATAAGTGTTTCTGTTTCACACAAAACACAGCAGTGTGGAGGGCGGTAAAACGTGACCAAATCTGCCTGCTTGAACTGAGTTTAACCACACAAAAGAACTTTGCAGGGATTTGAAGTGTTATCCATACTCAACAGAAGATAACTTGAAGGCATTTGGAAGTAGTGTGGGTGTTGACATTATAAAACATACACAGTATAACAACTGTTTCTAAATTACATTGTTTTACTTTACTGTATTCTTAAATTGTGTTTCACAATATAACTGCTGTTGTTACTGACTTTGGGCAGCCAGAAAAGGGCGGGGGTCTAAAGGTAACAAAATGGCATTTATCGCGTTTTTGGAAAGAAACTCTTCATTTCTTACTGGTGTTCAATCTGGTAGTTGAGGTGGCCCGTGAACCAGTCATTGAAGAAGGATGGATGGACGTTACACGTTGCCTGTAGCTGCATCGTCAGCCAATCACGCTGGTTGTCTGTATCTACCTCCATGGGGATGTGGTTCATTTGGGTCACCCAGACAAACCAATGGCTCTCCAGAAACCTGGGCAGAATAAAAGTTTTTAAAAAAGCAAGGCAATAATTTGATACTTTGTTTGGCTTCAACTCTTCAATTTTTGGTCTAAACAGTGTGAGCATATTGGTAAGAATTGTTCAGGACTACATAAAAAGTGGACTATAACCTCACAGCAAAAATGCTTAGCAGACGTAATGGACCGATCCAGTAAGCACCGCCCCATGGTGTTCTGACCAATCACAGCCGTGATTTATGTCCAACGTGCATGCACAAAAGTCCGACATGCGTGCCCGCGCGTATGATGCGCGCGGCAGGAAAATGCAGTGTGGAATTAGAGTGGAGCACATGTTAATTTGCCCAGTGCGCAGTGGGCAGGGCTTACGGTCCATTGCTGTACAAAGGGAAAAAATTGACTTGAAACAACAGGGTCCAACTTTATAATTATGCTTACAATCATCAATCTGTGCTTACTGCACGAGTACAGAATATCTGCTCTAAGGACGAAAGCACACAATGTTCACACGGACACAGGTCAACATTCTGTACTTACATTTGAAGTCCAGAATTTTCAGCAACGGTAAGCAAACATTCTTTGCCCATGCTAAGCATAGCCATGAAATTGAGCTCACACATGAACAAACAGTTTAAATCATAATCTCTGTTTTTTTACAAAGCGAAACTCTTTTTGTTTATATAGGTACATTAAAAACCCAAATGGTCCTGGATATTATCTAGCGCAGATGTGATGTAAAACACTCCATATTTATTTTATCAACAAACCTGTTTTTGAAGAACTGATAAAGACTAAATCTTTGGAGTTTATCATCCAGTTCAGTTTAAATTTGGATCACTAAAGGTCCAGTTCGCATCGGAAAGATTTCTAAACATAACTTAAATGGCACTGGCATATTACAACTCATTTTTCACAGACTTAGGTTTTTCAACTTACCTGACAAACATGTACAGGCCAAAGGCACCAAGTCCACCTAGCAGAGGCCCATAGGTGACAAAGAGTCGCACAAAGAAGATGACTGTCCAGGCAAGATCCTAAGGACAAAAAAAAAATGTAGAAACTTTAAACTTCAGTCAGCCAAAAGAGCAATGGAACGACAAATGCTTCACATCTCATTAGGAGACAATGTGAGATGTAGCAAACGGGAGTTAAGGATGTCAACATTAAGATAAAAGAGTCGAAGTGGAGATGGGCTGGGCACTTGGCTCGCAGAAATGACAACAGATGGACAAACAGCAAACAGATTAACAGATATACGCGAATGATAACCAAGGACAGGAAAAAGAAGAGGCAGGCAAAGAAGAAGACGGAAGGATGACCTCACTGCTTTCATGGGTACGACACGGGCGAGACAAGCAGAAGACAGGTCAACTTGGAAGGATCATGAGAGCTACATCTGACATTGGATGGACATAGCCTTGGCGAGGGAAGGCAAGACAAGATATATACAATACATGAATTTGAAAATTATGAGTTGAGACCGTCAAAGTACATTTCAGATCTTTCCATTGGAAATGGAAACTGAGTACAGATAAATGCGTTCATATGCTTCTAGTTTTATATGGTGTCCAGTGAGCCTTCCACTTTCATTTTTTTTATATTTCCTACATCCAAAACAATGTATTGATGTTTTCCATATTCATCCCCCACAGATGTCAAAACAAATCTATGCCCTTGGCTACCACAAGAGCTCAATTAAAAATGAAGTTTTCAGTGAAATTAATATTAGAAGTAGTATTACTCTTTTAAATTTCAACAATATTGTAACGTGCTGGAAAAAACAATGACCCGTTCAAGTACTCAGATGACTGAAGCCTCAAGAATGACTGTGAGTTATCGACACTCAAGACTTCATTTGCTGCTCTTCAATCCCATGCCATCCGATTTATTTGCCCACTAAGTCTCACAAGATCATCGCTAAGTACGTAGTATATTTCTATGTTAAAAGGGATGACTATGAGACAGTTCAGCAAGCTGTGTTGGAAGGCGCACTCCTCTGTCCCTCACCGGGTTAAAACAAGTCACAATCTGAACACCGAGCTGTCAATCTGCTTGTCTTTTAATATTTTGGGGGCGCATAAACAATGTAAGGAGCGAGCGACTCACAACAGCACACCTTATGCACTTACTTGATTGGCTATTAACTACGAGAACAAGAATTGTTACAAATAGCAACAATCTTAGGTAACTTTTAGTGCAGGAGAATTAGACTTGTTTAAGTCATTCTACTTTACTACAGACCCTACTGATAAATAAAACAACTTGCCATTACTTCTTTTCACTAAAGTATGAGTTCATGACCAAGTACATGTAGTTATTTCTGTTCTAAGTCCCATTAATCCTAACGGAACTCAACCCATCAAACCCCAACGGCATGTTTTGTTGGAATCTGTCAGGATGGGTACAGTACCCCTAAACTAACAGTCTTTTTGGTTGGCACACCTCAAGAATCAAAGTCAGAAATATGTTTTTGCAGTTTCCCATATCGTGTTGGAATTTGCCCGGACGGGTATGGTTCCTAGTAAATCATGCTAGGGAGTTAGGGTAATGAAAGTTTGTGAACGGAGTTTTGGTTTTATGAAGATAAAGAAAATAAATATATTAATTGGGAATTATTCATAAGTTGTATTTTACTTGAGACTTAAAGGGAATGTACATCATTGGCTTTTGCTGTAATTTTCAGAAATGAACTAATTGAGGGGTTAGTATAAGGCCAAAAAAAAAAAGTCTCCGGTTTCTGGTATGCGCGCGCGTCGCCGTAGCCATGCGCGTCGGCAAAATGAAAAAGTTTTTTTTTCAATGAAAGATGATGTCTCAAAACCGCCAAACTCACTGGTTTGACTGGAATTCTGCTGCTGCCGCTGATTGGGTTATGGTCGAGAATAAGCTTTATGTGGCCTCTCTGGACTCCCATACATTTGCACTAAGTTTAGTCGGGCACCATTTGCAGTCATCAGCCGACATTTGAAGCAAAAAAATCAGGTAAAAAAAAAAAAAAGCCGCGTCGCCGCACCACTTTTTGGGCAAGCTCCATACCAGAAACCGGAGACTTTTTTTTTTTGACCTAATAGATCAAATTTTGTTACCCTGACATGTTTGAAGTTTTTTGTTTGAAAATGCTGGAAAAACCAAGAAAAACAAAAATGTTCAAGTAGTCTGGCTCCCTGACTCCACTAAAGATGAAATGGGTCAATTTATAGATGCCGGAAAATTGTATGGTAAGGGAACCAGTCTAGCTGGCCTGCACCCGATCATGAACATGTAACCAATAGCAAACGAAATTTGAACTGAAAAAAGGGTAACTTTGGAGCAGTAGTTGAAAATTAGTTAAGTTTTTCCAACGGTGGTCGGCCGACCACCGTTGGAAATTAATACAAAAATACAAGTTTTCTTGAAAATGACTTCACACCAGGTGCCATAATTTTACAGGATGCTTTAAACTGTCATTTACCAACATCCTAGTAAGGTATTTTGTAAAAATTTGGTAGTTTTGTTTTTTGATGTTTGCAAATGTTGTATATTCCCTTTAAGGGTTTGCATGGTGGACATGATCAATGAATGGGAGGTTTGTGGTAACACAATGTGAATGACATCTCCTTGTGAGTTGTATGGTTCTGAGAAGAACCAGTTAGTTTAACTCGACCTTTCGAACAGAATGCTCTGTTAGTCATCTGTTCGTCTCCTGAGATATACCGCAAACCTCCCATTCATTTAAGTGGTATTTTTGTTAAAATGCATGTATTACTCACTGTCCAGATCCCCTTATAGAAAACATGGTACAGGTTTTCCACGTGAAAGTAGACGGGGAGCAACAAGGGCGGACCAACTGCATAAAAAGACAACAAAATGATGATGTCACGCAATTAGTCCAGTGTACTAATTGAAACATTATTTTGGAGAAAAACAACTGTTCCGAACAAACAAGACATTCAACTTTCATCTTGTTGAAAACTTTTAAGAGTTTAATGCCGTGTGAGCCAAATAAAGCAAACTTTACACGATAGACCTGATACCTAATGACGCAACCTCTTTGTTTACATATGGGAGCGAAGTTGGGACGCCAGACCAAGTACGGATTGTTCATTAGGTCTCAGGCCTATTGGGAAATAAGTTTACATCAACATCACATGTACAAAAAAAAAACAGACTAAACTGCATTAACCCTATAGAATCCTCCTCATCCTCCAAAATCCTCCAGGTGGTTTCGGAGGATTTTGGAGGATTTTGGCTGAATGGCAAGAAAGTGTTGGTTGATTTTGGAGGATGCATTTTGTCAAGTTCCTAGGCTGTACCCTGCATTGTTTATGTTAAGCCATGCATAATTGAGCATGCTCAATGTCATCCGCACTGCTTCTAAATGTCACCGGCACTGCCTCAACCTATTAACAGTGATTGGTGGAGGATTTTGAAGGATTGAGGCAATGGTCACCCTTCCAATGAACAAATTCAAGAACAGATGATTTTTGAGGATTGAGGCTGAATCCAATTCTTTACATGTTGGCAATTGGAGGATTTGGTAGGATTGAGGATGGTTCCTATAGCCAATTAAGGGCCTAGGGGGTTAGGGTAAAGGCCGTTTCATACTCAGAGAATTTTAACACATATGCAAACGTCAACAAATTTCTTGACTCGGGAGTGACTTACTCAGAAAGAAGTAACTCTGTTGGTAGTTGTAAGGCATGAAGCCCCTCTTCGATGACGCCCATTTGACAGGCATCTTGTCTCCAAAGAGGAACAAGTATGGCATGGAGATGTCAGGGTCCTTCTTGACCACGTTGGGCTTGGCGTGATGCTGGAAGTGACGGTAGTTCCACCAGTGAGCAGAAGCAGCCTAGAAAGAGAAGGGGAAAAAAATTTATAAACAAGAAAATTCGTAACTTCTAAATTACAAACAATTTCTAACCTTAGCAGTGACCTAGAGTAAATACTTGAGATGCCATCAATTTAAAGATAAAATTATTGAACGTTATTTTGACATCTTTACAGGGCGAGTCAATAAGAAAGTGACCGAATTAGAAAAAATATTGTTTTTAAATATGTGGCTCACTCCACTTCATAAAAATAACATAGGAATAAAGTACATGTTATTGAATAGTAAATGTGAAAATTCCATGTTATTTGCATATTCTATTCCCAAGTTATGGGTTAAAATGTCTATTTTAATAAAAAAAAAACCCACAATATTCAGCTGATGAACACCCATTAAATACAATGAAACATGGACAAGCTTCCCACCTCCGTGAATGAACGAAAACTTGCAAAGGAAAACAGACAAAAATGGCTTCAAAATTTTCAGAAAAAAGAAAGTTGCCTTGTTCCTCATATTCAAAACACAAAATTTGACAGTAAATATAATGTTTTGAGTCTTGACTCAGAATAATTACAATCTCATTTGTATTTGAATGCCTGTGTGTAATTTGTGGTTCTCACTCAGCTAAATAGCTTCTAATGGCATTCCATGGACGGCTATTAAAAATAAGTTCTTTTAGTAAAAAAATGCGTATCTTCTGCTAGCATGGATCAATTTTAGTAACTCTTTTTTCTTCCTCAAATGATTGGAAGAACATGCTCTTTTAAAACATACTTCATTGGTGTATCAAATTTGATTGCTTTTTAAGAAAAAAAAATCATTAATCCATGTCACTTTCTTTTTGACTCACCCTGTACAGAAGTAGATGGGGTACAACTGGAAACTTTATTTCCGTTGTTGTCAATTATGTACCTTGGAAGTACAAGGTCACATGACCACTTTTGGACCCATAAGAAATTTGGCAAATTTACTCTGCCTAGAGCGCTGCTTGACAGAAACTTGACAGAAAAACAGATTTATAAAGATACCCTGTAACATATGTAATATTTGTAGACTTCATTTTGAATTCATAAAAAAATTAGGGAACTAAGTTTCTAAAATTATTCAGGTAAATGATAGACTCTTTTAATCTTAGTCTACAGCAAACCAGCAACCATTCTTCATAAAAAGTAAAAAAAAAATAATAATAATGGTGTGCCATTTTTCGTATCATGAATACGGTTGAAACAGGAAGTGGAATAAACTCCATATAGAAACTGACAATTTTGGAGTAAGCGCATTGTGAAAAGGGAATGGTTGCGTTCCATTCACGTGCATTTAATTTCTATTGTGTGAAATATTTCAATTTCATCCAGCATTTAATGCTTGAAAAAGTTACATTTTAGCTTTTTTTTAAATTTTCACTAAGCAATTTATTTGTTGGGGAGTGTGGCCTAGTTGTTAGAGTTTGTGACTCATGATCAGAGGGTCAGGGGTTTGAATCCAGCTGCTGGCCATATGTTGTGTCCTTGGGCAAGCCACTTCACCCCAACTTGCCTCTTCCACTCAGGAGTATAAATGGTAGCCGGCATTTAATAGCTAGGGAGTGATGGACTGGCATCCCATCCAGAAGGAGTAGAAATATTCTCAATTGTTTCATGTCTCTAAAACCGAAGATAAACGCTGGCCTGATGGGCCGTACTGGCTTGTGACAGACGTTATGTTACACTTTTATCAGTAAAAGATTCGGAATTCATTGGCATTTTTCTTACATTGCCCCTCCAGGGATCCAGCAGCCATAGTAGTGTACATACAAAGGGCTCAGTGTCTCTCCTTTGCATAAAGTACAAGGAACAGGCTGTTACATAACACATTCACAGATTAGGGAAGATTCCTTGTACAAATGCCAAGGAGTTTAGAGATTCTCCACGAGAATTTTGGAGTCTACTGGCTCTTACCTTCATCCCGCCGATGACAAAGTAATGCAGCCAGTGGTTCCAGCGAGACCGACGAAAGACAGACAGATGACCCAGGTCATGCTGCAACCACCCTGCTTGGGCCTGAATTGGAAAAAAAAAGTGAAAAAATACAAAATCTGTATGTTTGTTTTTGCCATTCAAATTAATTTTTTGAACCACTGTACGACCACAAGGCTGTCAAAGAGCTGGACACTTGGGTTATGCTTATGTGCTGGCCCCCTTTCTTGCCTTACACCTCTGTTGCTCCAGTTCAATTACTGCCTGGATCCACATTTGTGGATTTGATTTTCAGTCCCTGCATGATACCTTGTCTGAGCCCGCCATCCAATGGAGTCCTCTCAGCTCCGTAACCAACGTCTGGTATATGAGAGCAATGCAAATTTTATGGGATCCCGCGCTCCAGCCAATAAGAATTGACTTTAGAAATTGTGAGTTATTTTGATTGGAAATAAGGCCTAAGCTTGATTGGTCAATTTGGCTACCATGTTTTTGTAATACAATAACGGGTTGAGGAAAACCCACGTGCCAGCCAATCAGACTTGACTTTAGAAATTGTGACATCACTTTGATCAGAAATGCGGACTAAGCTGTTGATTGGTCAATTTGGCTGTCATGTCTTTGTGATACAATACTGGGTTGAGGAAGACCCGAAAGAAGGCGCCCGCTGAATGGTCAGAATCCCGAGGTCAAGACGCAGTCTTGTTTTGCATAATTAATCGCCGAATCTGCTCGCATTATCATAGACCCTTGCTGTGCAAGGGGATATTCCATAGATTACATGATTCCATGGGTTTACCCCAGAATGTTTGGCAGTCTTGTCTTCAAGCCTGCCAGCTACGGTGCCATAGGAATCCCTGGTTTCATTACCAGAAATAAAACATGAAAATGAATAAAACTGCTGCAAATTGCTTTCTGACTGAATTGACCTGAAATATACATTGCGATATTACCATAGCAAGATCTTCTTCAGAGGCAAATGACAAAATAAAATAATAATAAATTGAAGAAAACTTTTTTTTTAAGTCCAGTTCTATTCATGTAACAAACTTATGGAAAAACAAAACGGCTACGAAAGTTGCTCGCCACCTATGCAAAAAATGCTAACCTGTGAAGTTGTGAGCAATGCAGCAGTGATCAAAAGGGGTAGCCATGTTGTTCCATAATACCACAGGACCATCCAACCGAGTACCTCAAGGGCTACAATGTGGGCCAAGTGGGCAGCATAGAACCAGAGGTTGGGAGTGAAGAGATCCATCTCCTCTGCCTTGCTGCGCAGGTCCCTCATGTCACTTACGATGGTCGCCTGTGTGAGAACCGAGACTCGGAGGGTGAAACATGGGCCAGGTAGTGGACATTGTCTGACCATTGCTTATATTTGTGAGGCGTTTTGGCAAAATGGCAGAGGTTGAAATGAGGGTATGCAGATACAAGGAAAGAGAATGAATTTCTCCTTACCTTGTCTGTTGCATTTCAATCGGATATTCCATTGACAAGTTATGGCTGTTTAAAAATCACCCCCTAAAAACTTGTAAAGTTTTGAGTTTTGTCGTCCTAAAATTGAAACATGCCAAATGTTTTTTATTCAAAACACTTTTATTCCAAGATTTTTATATTATTTCTTTCAGGTATGTGTGCAGTAGACATATCAAAAATTATAAATAACATTAAATCTGAAAATTGAAATAAAAGTCATCCTCATTTGTTTTTTGGGGTTTTTTTTCCATTTTGTCATTTTGCCAGAGTGCCTCACATTCGACCAAACAAAAGCAGTGAACTCTGTCAAATTGTCTGAATGATATATGAGCAGGGAGCACGTTTACCACATTGGGATTTTTTCCCCAACTTTTGGAAAAGCCATAATGCTTCTTTCCACAACTAAAGGTAGAATAGACCTCATAAATTTCAATAAACAGCATAGGCTAACTTCTTATTTCAAAACGCTTTTTTTCCAGCGATCAAAATCCCTAGGTCCTCCAAAAAAGAGCAAAAAATATTTTTAAAAATAAACAAAAGTAAATAACTTTTTCTCACCATTATATTATAAATGTTTCCCCCCCCCCCCCGATTTATTTCTTCCTATTCCCAAAATTAAATTTCACCATTAATAAAAGTTACAATCAATTGCCAATTGAAAGGGAAAAAACTTGAACACTTGAAAAACTTGACTGAAAAAGCTTGAAATCCAAGACGTGCTATTTATATAAGTCGCTTTCGTCCTAAAGGTCAAGATGATAGGTATTATTTGCAAACCTTGACTGCGTCCTCCGATGACAACGATCCGACGCGGAGAGGTTTAAGGTATTTCCTGACCACGCTCTTGTCGGGGTGAAAGGCGACAAAAGCATCCTGAGAAGAGACAGGAAATAGGAGCTGGAAATATCGTCTCGTTTTTCAAAGCCGATTCAATTGCAGTCATTCTTCAATTGTGCAAGGCTTTTTGACGTCATGTTCGAAAAGGAAGAAAGCCGGGGAATGGGTGACAATAAACGTCTATGGGCTTTTCCTGTTAATTTTAAGATTACTTTGTGACCTCCAAAAGAGTAGATTGGAGAGTTTGGATATTAAAGGGGCTTTAGCCTCCCACTTTGAAAATGTTGAAATCTCATTCTGAAGGTTAATGCTTGGTTTCCCATTCATTGTGTGAGCCTTTTGCAATTCTACCGAGGCTATGCCATAGCCGGTCTGACCAAATTTACAGCAATAGAGTGTGTAAGTTGACCAGAAAAACCTGCGAGATTTTACGAGAATACAGCGCATCTGGGCACCATGTATAAGATGGTATCTACAAAAAAATGTGTGTTTAATTGTTTGCATTATTCTTTGTCCTGACTGGGTCCATCCAATCATAGGGCAATAAATGGGCATCTTTCAAAAGAAAACAAAGCATTAATTTACCACATATTGAAAATATTGCGAATTGACGACTACAGCGTGTGTTAATAAAAATGCAGGATTAGAAACAAAAATATTAAGAATGTAAACCACCCCTATTCATCATAATGTTAACCCTCTTTTCAAAGTACCTTTCCTTCTCTTCACTATGCTTTTTATCCCATCTCATTTGGACAATCCTGTCCAGAGATAGAGTACATTGAAGAAGGGTTATAAATTCCAAGCTGGTCTGATTTGTGAAATCACACATACCTAATGAAAGGTTTGAATTCAGTACAGGTGAAAGTATTTGTGGATCACAAAGAAGGACATGTGTGGCAGGATTAGGTTTACATAATCCTTTAGTCCACAATCAATGTTATTTGATATGTCAGAGACGACATTCATGATGCTTTGAAACAATGATAGTCCAGTTATTAAATTTAAGTGATACTTATCATCAGTTGTTGTTCTGGTTTAATTGTCTTCAATGCATACCTGCATTGTACATAACTGGTCGTTGTGTTAAGGTCATTGAATCAGGCCAACCCGCTTCAGAAGGGCTTCACAAAACTTTTGAACCAAAAGTCCAAATTCCACCAAACAAAAATCTTGTCAAAGATGAAATCAAATCCTTATCAAATTAGGCACACCAGTAGCATGATTTTCTCAGAAAAAAAATTGCTTTGAATCCTGCGTTTTTATTGACACACGCTGTATTATCAAATTGAAATTGATGATCTCAACGTCCCTTCGATTGATCACGCAGATAACAAGCGGGTAAACTCAAACATGGGAATCTGTGACTAGACTAGTCAGTGTTTGGTACCAAGACCTTCACATAAAAGTTAATGTGTACCAGTGAGACGTATACGCTCTTTAAGCAACGCAAAGTCTAAAATCTATCTTTGAACCAACTTACCGTAGCATCTTCGCCAGCGTAGTGAGACAGCACCTTGTAACCCCCTGGGTGTCTCTTCACCCACTGGCTGACATCATACACCCCGTCCTCAATCACCACCCATTTGTCCGCCTTAGTACTGTGCTCCTTGACTTCCTCCCATGAGTAGTTGCCGTGTGTGTTGACCTCTGACACGCCTTGACCTTGATGACCTTTACCCATGGTGTCCACTAACCAATGGCGAGTGTGCAGCTCCTTTGGTTTACTGCTTCATGTCTACATGTGCAAAGAAAAAAAAGGGTTAGGCAGCGAAACCAATTTTGTTTATACATGAACGCCATGTAGGAAAATAGTGTTATTTTCTAACTTTTGTGTGTGTTTGTTTTTCAGGTATGCAACTGGGAATTTACACACAAAAAACGAGAAAATTCCAAACCACACAAGACTTTGTACAGTGTTTTTCAAGTTGTAATGGCATACATGAAAAGTAAAATTAGAGGAAATCAGCGGATCCGAGGAAAAGTTGTATGCCTGGTCTTTTGGTCTTTTAACGGTATTCTGTTTACTTATCCTGTTTAATTAACCAATAACACACAAAAAACTTCCATAGAGAAGACTTTTTTATATCCAAAATATACTTTATTATAATTTTTTGGACCAAATGTGGCAATAAAAAGTTTGAGGTCGGCAATTTGGCCTAATAAAATCCAGGTACATGTAGGTCAGTTTACTGTAAACACGCAATTGTTTGTAGGCCTTAATTAAGTGCCAACGGGATCTTTTAAAGTGCCAATATTGCAATTTGAGCAAATTTTAATGCTGACAACAAAATTCAATTGTAGCGCATATATGGAATAAAGATGACACTACCCATCCCCCCCCCCAAAAAAAAATGCCATTAGAAGTTATCTTTGTTTGTCTTCTGAAAATAGGAGGGGAGTGAAGTGGAAAAAAAGGCAAGTCAAAGATCAAGTGGATCAGTTGAAAAGCTGAACATTTATTTGGGAAAATGCTTAAATGGCTCTTGTTCCGATTTGTAATTATTATAAATTTCAATATAGGCCTAATTAGCCACAATGGCAATCCAAGTCTTTTGTGGTGGTTTTTTTTGTTAGCTCTTGTGAAACTTCTCTTAAAATTGATTCTTAAATGCCATTTATGAAGTCGATGTGAAAATATCTGTTTCATTGAAGTGAACTGAAAAATACAATAGATATTTTTCAAACTTATGACAACTGTTACTGTTAACAATTATATTTCCTTTCAGTTTCACAATGGTTATTAAAATATACTTTCAGTAACGGACTTTGCGTTTATCTTTCAAAATCTCAAATACTAGGGCACTCCAACCATACTCTAAACCTATTTTGCTGAGGCTGGTGTAACGCAGCGAAAAACAATGGAACAGCGATATGTTTCTCTGCTTTTGAAAAAAAAAAAAAAAAACCCACATTATCAGGATCTTTTCAACGACGATGTACCAGTAGCGCCCACAGCACCAATATTGGTGGATACATGCGCTTTATAAATATACATTTTTATTATAATAATAATTACAGGAAATTGTACCTCAGAGAGACATTCCCATAGGTTTGTGCACACATTTTTTTCCAACTTTAACGACCCCTAATCCCAATGTTTCCTTATCCTACCCCCACAAATTTTGGTATATTTATGTTTTGGACCACGAGCAATCGATCTAGCCTATTTGCGACGGTAAACTTTTGCCTCTAAATAGGAGTTGTTAATGTCCGGTGTCTCCCTGTGACTCCCTACGGTGTGACTTATGACAAAAAATGTCTCCTTAATAACCCTAACTCCCTAGGCCTTTTTGCTTTTTGTAGCCTCAATCCTGCAAAATCCTCCAATTGGCCTCATGGAAAAATAGCATATAGCCTCAATCCTGCAAATTCCTCCGTTATTTCTTGAATATGGTCCATGGAGGGGTGACCACTGCCTGAATCCTGCGGCTATGACTGTCAATAGGCTGAGGTAGAGGCAGTGACATCCTGGAGCAGTGCGGAGGATGTCAAGTATAATCAAGGACTAAATTTATGCACGGCTGAGCATGAACAACACAAGGTCCGGCCCAAGACCTTGACACAGTGCGTACTCCGAAATCAGAAATGCACTTTTGCCATGTTACCTCAATCCTGCAAATTCCTCCAATTTGCAAAAAGGATTTTGGAGGATTCAGGGCGGTTAGGGTTAAGGGTACATAATATCAAGAATTATTATTGTTATTAAATGAGGAAATTAAATCTTGGGGGAGGTGGGATTTGGTTGGGTGGTGAGGGATAGGCTGTGTATGCCAGCACAAATGCCAGTGCTTCCCTGCTCTTGAAAATCTACACACCAGGATGGGGAAGTCAAGTTTCAAAGGCTAAAGCTGTTCAAAGGCTAAAGAGTTTTGCATGGCATACGTGCAGAACTGCAGACTATTAAACAGTCCTCTTAACTTCAAATTCAACGGAAGTAAAACTGACCCCATTGAACTTTACAAATTTGGACTCGGTGCCTGTACTAAGCACATGTACATGTACAAGTACACTGTAGTTTTACACACAAGTTTGTAGTCTGTGATTGTATGTGCTTATTCAACTTGTGCGTGCATAAGAGCGTGTTTCCTACCTCCATGATAAGAGCATGATAAGGGAAAGACTGAACAAAAATTAACATATTGCCAAAAATTCTACCTTAACCCTAACTCCCTGCAACCTCAATCCTGCAATATCCTCCAACTACCTCCACGTAAAAATTGTATACAGCCTCAACCCTGCACAATCCTCTGTTAGGGCCTATTTCTTGAATGTGGTCCTTGGGTGGGTGACCACCACTTCCTCAATCCTGCAAAATCCTCCAGCAATCACTGTCAATATGTTGAGGCAGAGCCAGTGGCATCCTGGAGCATTGTGGAGGATTTTAAGAATAATCAAGGCCTAAATGTATGCACGGCTGAGCATAAACAACACAAGGTCTGGCCCAAGACCTTATAATATAATAAAATAAATATATTATTATATATTATATTATATCATTATATAAACAACACAAGGTCTGGCCCAAGACCTTGACACAGTGCATCCTCCAATATCAGCTACACATTTTTGCCATAGCCTCAATCGTGCAACATACTCCATTTTGCAAAAAGCATTTTGGAGGATTTGGGATGATGTGGGAAAGTTAGGGTTAATAATAATAGATACTTATAGCGCTTTTAACTAAGATCAAAGAGCGCTTTACATTATTATTACCCCTGATCAATGGGCAAATGAAACATTCCAAATACTATCTCAGCTCCCTGGGGAGTATACAGCTCGATGCTGCCATTTCGGTGCAAGGCAGCTAGAATCAACCAGGTCTTCCCAGGTACCCATTTACTCCTGGGCAATGAGTGGCAAAGTGCCTTGTCCAAGGGCACATGCACCACAACCCCAGGCTGGACTCGAACCCTCAACGTGCCACAATTAACTGCAGACCACGAGTTCAATGCTCCACACCCCGAGGCCACGGCAATTCACTTGTATTCCTTCCTGGTATTTTGTAGTTACAGATGTTTTGGTTTGGGCTTTGGGAGGGGGGGGTGGGTTATGGGGAGGGGGGGGGGTAGGTGAGGAAAAACCTTATTCAACGATGTCCCTAAAGGCTAATGACATCCAGCCTTCTTTCCGGTGAGGTACCACATGCAAAAATGTATTTAGAATTATAAATAACGGGAAAATCTATTTAAAAAAAAATTAAAGTGCATAGGCCAAACTAAAAACGTGTTTACTACTTTCAGATTCTGACATTTTCTCATTACGCACTGCAGGTAAGGCAGTTCTTCTGTTTTGGGATCGGTTACAATATTTAGTTGAAAATGTCTCCCCCACTCTAAAGGATGGCCTATGAAGCTTGCAAAAGAACAGTGGGAGTCACATGAATGACACATCTATGATCATGATGACAATGTCATTTAAATGAATTGTTTGGAATACAATCCTTCAATATTCACCATGGTGTGGAGGACATCTTACCTGCTTAATTTCTAAAATGTGAACACAACAAACTCTGATATAAACTCTTGAGGTCATTTCATCTCTGTGTAATTTCCAGAGAAAAGTTTTAAGACGACAAGTTCTCAAAATTTCCTCTGAAAATTAAACACAAACTTGAACCACTGGGGGAAAGAGTGTAGTATGCAGATGCCAATTCTTTGGTTGTGTACAAAGTCTATGGAGAGTCGAGAAAATTTTCTACTATAAAGTACTAAAGTATTTCCTAGTCCCAGATTCATGTCTTATCATCACTTTTGCAATGACTGACCTTCATTGAGATGATATACGAAGAAAAAAGTGGCGTCAGGTTGCAACATTTTTTCCTGGAAATGTTTTTCAGTCCCAGATTTATGTCTTTTCAACATTTTTGCAATGACTGACCAGGCTTCAGAATGGGATAGGGCCTAGGCCTATGAAAAAAAGTGGCGTCAGAGTGCAACATTCTTTCCCTGCTGCTGGCCTGGGGCTTATGCAGTCTAGCCTCAGAGGCAAATACAATCAGACCATGAATAGAAATTATAGTGGGTAATCCATCATGCCACGCATCGTTGCACTGCATGTGTACCACTAGCCCCATGAATGTGGCCAATTTACTGGACTTTATTTACGGAAGTAGTCCAGTAAATTGGCCACATTTATGGGGCCTAGTGTACCACGCCTAACTACCAACGCAACCATGTCAGCATGTCAACATTCGCTCGTCTCGACAGATCACAGGCTAGGCGAAGCGAACACGACACTAACACAAGTATACTTGCACTGTTGCAGGCTTACAACTCAAAGGCAGAGGTACATCACGACTTGAGCTACAAATCTAGATGGTCACAATGTTACTTCTCACCTCCGCAAATGCTTCATCCGTAGAAAGGGCGCTTCCGAACCATGCAATTTTAAACAAAATATTTTATCCGGGAAACAGGACTCGTTGGGCCGCCGAGCTAACTACATGCATGACATGTATTTTGACGCATGATGGCGCCCTACTGCTTTAGCGGAACTCGATTCTCTGTATTTTTTTGTTCAGCTGGTGCGATTATTACCGTTTCCTAAAACGATATTTCTTTTATTTTAAACGAAGCGTAACCAACCAATAAATAAGCCAACAGGACGAATCACAAATTATTAGTCATCTGCAAATTAAATAGTACAAGTCATCACTTAAATTGCCCTTTGTCAGGCGAAAAACAAATAGTTGGAAAATCAATTGCAAATCCAAGATGTTTTTTTTTTACCCCGAAATTATTATTATTTTTATTATTAATATTATTATTGATTCGACCTCAACAGCACAAAAACAAGAATAGGAAAAATATACATACATGTACAGGACAAATCCAAAAACTAGAAATACAAAAGAAACAAGACAAATACATACCAAAAGGCTATAATATTAAGACGATGACAGCAGGGCAACTAGACGAGCAAAGTTAACTTCAGAAATTATGATTAGGCCAAAAAAAGTTCTACTTCCGATTACATGGCATTTTAAAATAAGGTAGGTAGGTAGGGAATTTTTTGTGTGTTTTTTTGCAATTTTTTTGTGTACGATCATATGGAGGCTTCTGCGTGTAGTCAATGGTAAAACGTAGAAATTGATAGTTTTGGGTGTTATTTTCTCATTTTTCCAATAAAAACAATAAAAACAATAAAAACTGTCAGAATAGGGTAGGTAGAGATACCTTTTTTGGCCTTAGGTAAAAACATGATTAATGAGTGTACTAGTGTATGAGAGCATGCAAGTATGAGAAGTCAATCAGTGGAAGGTCACCCAAGAAACTCAAGCTTGACTTGTCAAGCAAAAACACCAGTCAACTCAAGAAATGCGGTTTGGCACAGATTTCAGGAGCCAGAGCAATGTATAGCTTTTTTTCTTCGTCTCCCCCCCCCCTCCTATTTATTCACTGTACTGAAAATTTGCAGGGGGGGCCGGGGGGGGGGTGGAGGTGGGGGATGACCAAAAATGCTTAAAGGAAACATGCAGTGGAAATTTAGTTCCTCTTGTTTTCATGCACATTATGATGTGTGTTGCAACAATACATACAAGATCTTAAAATACTTGTTTTCAATGGAAGTGATAAAAAAGTGGTCTATTCAGTTATTAGCAAATCTTTTCATCAGAGGGCGCTATTTCGCTTTTGTCACGCAAGGTATACTCCTAGTCAAAAATGTATATAAGGCCAAAAAAAAAATATTCGGTCTCTGGTCAGACCAAAGTTCCGGATTTGACGCGGCCACGCGGCTTTTTTTTTTTTTTTCTTCAAGCTTGGATTGAAGACAAGGTGGGTACTATTTTGCTTTTTTGGTGTCCTCGTGTACATTGGTGTCCTCCATAATTTGCCTTGGTGCTTTCGATCATTTGCCTTGGTGCAATTTCCCATTCCTTGGTGCTCTTTGGTAAAAAAAAAATTGAGGAGGTGCGGAAATAGAGGGCGCTGTTGGAGCTACCGCGGAACATTTTGGGGAAAAAAAAGATCGACGCGCATGATTAAAATCGACGCGCGCGCTGACCAGAGACCGACATATTTTTTTTTTTTGACCTAAACAGTACAGGTTTTCAAGAAATATTGGCCACTACTATTGAACAAACAAGCTGTTTAACATGATAAATTAGTAAAAAGTGGAACTTACTCCAAGAAAAATGAAGAAAAGTTTGATATATTATTTTGTACACAAAGCTATGGAAACACTACTGGCCTGGAATGACATCACGTTTTGGCTCATGAATATGGAAATTTTCATTAGCATAAAAACTAAAATGTTGAAATTTCTCCCTTTTACTGCTACAAAGGAGGTGGAAAGTCATAGTTTGTCATGGCAAGAAAGCTGTTTTAAATGTATTTAAGTCATAAAAATCCTATTGCATTAAACTGCCCAACCGTAGATATTCGAAGAGAGAGAGAGGGGGGGGGGGGGATGGACGACACATGACAGTAGGGGGTGCTGTTCATGATACAAATGTACATATTATGTAATCTTGCGCCCTTACGTTCTTTGAACCAGAAAATGGTGCATTTAAAGCTTTTGCAATGATTGCTCTCCGATTTTCTGAACTTTGGACTATCGGAAAGTTACAAGATAACCTTAAAATCACCATTTCTTTGTTTCTCAACACAGAATATGGCGGGGTGAACCAATGGTCCATTTCCCCCCCCCCCCCGGTCAAAAAAGGGGGATCGCCCTCCCCGGATGTACGCCTTCGTATCGACTGAAAGCGCAACAACTTGTGTTCAACAAGAATTCGGAACTGCTCCAGCAGCCTTATTGCTCAAGTCATCTTAAACATTAAGGTATCGTGTGCTCTACGGCTTCTCGGTCTATTGGGAGTCCTTGTGCTTGGCTTTTCCCATAAAAAAGACTATCGAGTTATATGATTTGATCTATTAAGAGTAATAAGCCTTAATATTTTTCCTTCGGATACGAATATAAGGCGCACGTCTTTCCCTTTGTCCGATCTCACAATTTACAGCCGGTCTCCAGCCGAGAAATATTGAGGGTTAAAAAACTTTATCTGTTACAAGTTCCATTCAGGAAACAAAATTACGTCAAGGACTAAATGCAAACAGTACGGGCCTTAACTCATGCGAAAGATAGGTCGCTGATGAGGTACTAATCACTAACTCGCGCACAATTTCCTCTTCTGAATAAAAGATAAAAATGTTCAACACATAAACAACAATGTTTTTGGCGTAGGCATTATGTTTAAACCCTTTCCTATCCCAGCCGCCCATGACGGCACGTGACCCGGCTCTATGGCATGCGCACTGGTTCAGGAGACTCGAGTAATGAGTTTATCCTACACGCGCACTGTACATGATTTTGTACAGTACATTGTAGGTACTTTAATTCCGCCACTCTATATTGAACATGTACTACACGATATTGTGAACATAGGGGAGCACATTACAGACAACAATCATCACATCAACCGATACAATTCTACCCATTGCAATATGAAAAAAATACCCGGTAAAAACATTAACGAAAACAGGAACGAGGAAAAACGAACTGCATGCTTTATCCACGTTTTCCTATACTCTATTATGTTGTATCTTTTTATCTGATTTCTAGGAACATGTTTGTCAAGGGATTACACCTTTTGTTTTAATTGCACAATAATTAATACTATTTTCACGTCAGGCACGCAGTCACATTGTGATACCTTTAATTATGGCTAACTTACTGGAATGGCAATGCAACTATTACGTGTCGGGAAGTTGGGATTATTTCAGATCACACTTAGAGAAGCCTAATTAGTTTTCAGACATGCTATACCAATTGTGGCGAACAGATTTTGACTGCCGCAGCCGCGGCTGTTCAGTCTGTGCGACTTGCCCCACTGAAAATTCGGGAAGCAGAAAAATCGATAGAGGATAATTGCTAGTAATCGATACGACCGGTGCAGCATTAGTAGAAGCGTATTGTTGGTCTACGTTGGAATGTGAATGCTTACATCGGGTTGGCAATAAAAGGAAGTTTCAAATTAGGTTTTGCCCTTCACCGAAGGAAGTTTGCCGTGACATCATAATGTTACAATAAATCACTTGTGCGGTATAAGATGAACTCTTTTTATGTAAAACTGACTATTTTGCCATGCAGTTTATGATCTGTCTATTATGGTATGTGTTTTGGGTTGACTTTTTGCATCTAAACCGATTGATTTATGAGCATGGAGGTTTTCATTCAAGATCTTGTGTGATGGAATATTTCATACTTCGAGGAGATGTTTTGGCATGTTAAATCAATTTAAGGGAGACGGGTGTTGGAAGATTTTCGAATCCGAAAGAATGGGATTCATGGGAAACACGTTGAAATCATTCGTGCTGCGGTTGTCACCGAGCAATGGCATTCGGGTCACATTGATGCCTGGATGCAAGGTAATAAAAGGCCTTATTATTCAATTCAATAGATTAATATCGAGCTCCCAGATATCGTTCAACTTAGTTAATTCCATACTCCATCATCATATGGGTAGAACTGTTGTGGTTCCATTGTTAAAACTCCTGCGTTTTTCAGGGCTGTGCCGGGGTGGGGCTTATTTTGATAAGAAAACGCTCACTACGGTCTTGGCGGCCGGGTTTCTTTGTAGGCTCGAGATCATGAGTGCCCTGTATTACCTGCAAAGTCGCACGGCCTGAGGCGCTGTCTACAAAAAAATATATAGTAGGGGGATTACAGCCGGAAATCCCCGAAAATGTTATATTTTTGATTGTTTACTTATTCTATTTCAAATGTCTGGTTGAAAGGAAACTAACCTTATGCCTTACCGTTCCCGAGAAAAGACGGGGAAAAACGGTTTAACATTGGACGCGCAGACATGTTGTGGCATACGCATATACGTACGTATTTCCAGCCATGTCCATTCAATGTACGCCACACGTCACCAATACACAATTCGCTCGTACCCCCGCCCTGCAAACAGGGTACGAGCGAACAATACACAAATGTTGTTTCTCGCACATGCGCATAATGCGACGCACTGTGTGGCACAATTAACAACTAGCACTCAACAGCTCGATTTTTTAAAGTCCAAATTTTGACCCCCGAAATTCGTACTCGCATGGTTCTGGCAACGATAACATTAAAACGTCCAGTTTTTAAAGGATGGTTGTGTGGAAGTTTATCTCCTGCTTTTTAATGCTCTGTCCAATAATTTTAATATCATTTCGTTTGAATCGCGTTTTGTAGCCCAATTGGGCGCATTCCGGACGTAGTGCCCCTTTAAATTATTATTACGGCAGACCGGGAGGGTTTAGTCTAATGGCGTAGACTTGGCTCCGTTGACAACGGTGATACTCAGACTAGGAGGGGTGAGGATGCCACACAAAGGATGCCTGCCACAGACCGTTTGAGCGGCTTGCATGCCACTTGACATAGACATTGAACGATATAATGTGACTTTTGATTGGCTTGTGTTTGCTTAAACCAAACGTACTGCACCCAACATACCCAAGCGACGGTGGTGGCCCGTGAAGTAAAGGTGACAACGAAAAGACAACTGGCCAACGACGGACAGAATAAATGATTAAAATGTCATGGTCTAGTGCAATCACGTATACTATAGTGTCACGACCAGTTTTTGCATATTTTATTACTAATAAATATAAAACTATTACATATTCAGTTCCCGCAACTCATGTACTATTCCATGGGCGAAATTGTTCACGCATCTGAGTCTGAACCCGTCCGGTGCTTTCAGATAGCATAATAGAAGCTTTTTGGGGGTAAACCCTAAGAAAAAGGGTCCAGGCCTATTGACAAAAAAGAAAAGAAAAGAAACTAAAGATGAAAAGTGCAGCTGTCCTAATTAAAGCTTTTTCTTTTCATCGCTACTGTACTGTAGTATCAAGCATTTCAAAACCAGGATACATTGTAGGACTCAAGGAGTGCATGAACCGTCGCATTTGAATGTCAATGGACATCAACGGTTCAGTCCACGAAGATAATAAGAAAGGACTCAACAAGTTTTAATTATCCTATTTAAATATCCCGCGCACTGCACGCAGCAGGGTCGAATTTCTGAAGGGGGGGGGGGCATGTGGAAATGCACACATTTCTCAATTTGTAGGTCTATATCATATATGTATTCAATTTAAATTTTAAACGGGGGGGGGGAGGTACCCGGGGGCACAAACATCCATGGGAGGGGGGGGGGGTACGTGCCTCCCCCGTAATTACAACCCTCACTGCACGTGCAACTAACATGAATAATACTTTTACGCATGAACAACTTTTCACGCATGCTTCAAGACTGTAGAGTGCTGTGCAAACTCGATGAGCAGCATATCACAAACAGGACACAATAATTTGAGTCTTCGACATCCTTCCGGCAAGTTGGGTTTAAAAATGCAGTATTCAACACGGTCATCAATATTTGTACCTGTGTACCATAAATATGGTTGGACGGGTTTAGAGGAAGCCGGCTCCCATGATAGTCTTCCTGGGAGTTAGACAGTGGTCGTGTACGGTGGGTCTAGCATCTACCGCGCGCATGAAAGAACTTGCAATGCCCAAACTCGTTCTCATAGTTACTTTTGGAAACGAGGTTAAAAATAAAGTACTCCCGGGGACGAGGTTGATAGTTGCCCGACGTACGTACACGTACGTACAACAGCATGACGTCACACAAAGAAAGCTATTTTGACCGGCGTGATGCGTGACGTGACCGTCACTTTCACTGTGAGCACATGCACAAGGAAACACACATCCGGCTCCATGGTTTTACAGTGGGGAAACGTTTTTACAATGCGTGTACTTTTTGTCGAGCATACATAGTTCCCCTTACACAAAGCCGTATTATATAGGCCTCAGGGTTCTTATATTCTTGGCACCGTGCAAGCACCGCTATTAATACCCGTCTCTATAATGATAAAAAAGAAGCTAAAATCAATATTGAAAATAAACTGTGTGAGACTTATGGCTACTGGGAATTCTCAATCTGTTGGAAGCAGAAATTCAAACTTTAAATTCTTAGTTAGGGCCTATTTGTAAAAGTAAACTGTACTAATCTGTCAGAAAATTAATAAAGAATCGTGCAGTGTAGCCGCCAGTACGAAAGTAGTCATTCCTCGATCCAAAATCCACTTATACCGATTACTTTAAAACAGTGCCTCAAGGATAATAAAACATTCCTTGTTTATAATTTTCCTATCATAATGGGGTGTTGCTGAATTTTGAGCATAAACTGGGGTTCCGGATAATTAGGTCCCTGTACCTCACTGCTCACACTTACCAGGGAAAATGATGATGATGCAGTGCCTCCAGAGAAGTGGTGAATAAATGGCATTGAGAACCGGGGCCATAGCCAAATTATAAGACGTTTCTGTGTCTTAATATTGAAAACGGCCAGGTTGTCATTCTCGTTTGCTTAGGGGCTAACTAGGTCCGTTCATCGTACCGGGTGGATCCGGGGTGCAGTGGGCGGATTCTCCCTCTTGCCTCCCCATCCATAAAAACTCGATTTTTAAGAAAACATATTGGAAAAAAAATGTTGCTTGTTCGTCCCATTTTCCCTGGTGCCAAGCCAAGAAGCCTGCGACCAACACTACCCCACTGAAAAGAAACATTCTCATCTCCTTGGCAATGAGTATAGAATGTTTCTGGATCCGTCCGGTGGCGATGGCCAGAATGAAAAAAACGTTGTCAAAATGTTTTAAATGTTGATTTCGGCCAGATATTTTAGTCAGAACGGATAAACCGTTGCCTTGCGTTTAGAAATTCCAATTCGTGAGTTCATTCCCCGTCAGTTATTCGCTATGTGCGGTGTGCCGATCTTTTCGAAGGAAAACAGGGCAATTCAGTAAACTAAACATCTCCCCGACGCAAAATTTCATCATACAAAAACAATGGTAATTTATTGTTGAGACAAACTCGCAAAGGTCCGTAAAAGGGTTTCCTGCTCTTCCACCGACATTTGGCTTTAAGCAGATGTCAATTCAAAGCTGATTTGCGTCAATTTGTTTGAGAATTTAATATGGCCGATGGAAATTCATAAGTATTTGGGAGAATGAATTTGAATTAATTTACGGATAGCAAAAACCCTACTCCTTTCAAATTTAAGTTGAATAGAAGACAGTAAGTCGATCTACTCGCGCAGTCAATGACGATTGCTGTCTATTACAGAACAAAATCTTTCCGAGTCGACTGGAAAATATGGGACAATACAATTGTATCCATTATATTGCTGAGAGATAAAAGACTGACAAGATTGTTTATGTATTTATTGACCAGTGCGACGTATTTGGCGTTCTATACAAGCCCACTCACACGAGTTGAATGTGAACATCAAGTGATGCGTAAAGCCACTATTGTCAGTAGTGTATAAACAGCACCTGCCAGAGGGAGGAGGTGCACTAACCACACCAGCGTATCTCGTGCTCTAGCTCGCCGGACGCAAGTTGTTCATGTTGGCGGATCGTCTCTTATTTTGGGCGAATATTTTGCCGTTTCTCACAGAACAGATCGACCTTTTCTTGAAGTACATGACATGTACGAGTATCATCCTCTCTCCTGGTGAAATATCAAAGCGTTTGGACGCATTTTGGTGGGCGAACTGACTGATCTTTGTTTGGAAGTTCATGCTTGGATTATCGCCTTTATCAATGTTGGCCTCTCATCGCATTCATTCACACACACACAGTAGGCCGTGCGATTGTAAAGGACAATCCATCTAAAACTCCTCTTTTCCTGAGAAAAGTGGCTACTCGCTCGCAGTTTGCTTTGTCGTATCGTAAGTTCTGGAGTAGCTACAAATACGAAAATTGGCAGGGAGTAAGGAGGAAGGTTCGTCAATCCTTGTTTCAATTTTGGAATTATTTGGTTAAAGTTTTCTTGGAAAACTAGGGGTCGAAAACGTCCTCTTTGCTCGCACCTCCAGTGGCCAGCAGGTTGGATGTCGACAGCGCGTTGGGTTTTTAAATCCACTTTGGCCTGGAGAATCGTTCCTTTTCGTGTTGTAATCTTGTTCGTATCGCCGAGATAATTAACCCAGATCGTCATTGCTGTTTACAGGTCTGGATAAGACGCATATTTATGCCAAGATGAACGAGGTGGATCGAGAAGTCCAACAGCAACCGCAGCAGCATGCCGTGGCTGGCGGTGGTCGACGGGGGAATAGTTCCGCTGCTGCAGCTGCTGCTGTCGCTGCTGCCGTGGCCGCAAATCGAGAGCAGCAGACCACTTCCCAACAAGATCGCGACCAGAAATCCAACAACACAGGAAAGTGGACAAGCGAAACGTATGCCAAGAGTACCAGAAGGTACGACTTACCAGGAAAATTGTGCTTTAAATGCTGCCTAGGAGTTATTTTTTTTGCTGGGCGTTTTGAGGCCGATGCTCGTGTGATCGATGTCTAATCATTGAATGGTGCGGCGCTGACATGCCTGAAAATGTAAAGTCCACGCTACGGCTCTTGTTACGGGCTCGCAGCTCATTTGCATATAAGCTAAAAACCGTTCCCACTGGGTTTCGGTCCACAACTGACCGCCCATTCCAACCTTATCCTAGAGATCTCACCGAGCTCTTTCGCGTGGTGTAAAAATTATCGCCGTATTTGCCAGAATTAGCGAGAAATCGCGTCTGGAAATTAAGCCACGTAGGCCCAATGGTTAACGGATCGGCCATGTTTTTGTATTGCTCCGTGTAAATTTGTGTAATGCCTGTGCGTGTGTGCACATTTTGCGGAAGGGTCAAGAATTTTCTTTCTCAGCTTTGTCTCCACCCTTTCTTTTGGGGAAAAGTCAAGCTTTAATTTTCTCTGAAACATGTTTTTTTTTTCTTTTTCAGGATTCAGAAAGAACTAAGGCAAATAATGTTGGATCCCCCTCCAAATTGCAGGTAATTTTTTGATTTTCCCCAAAAATATAGATCTAGGCCTAGTTCTTGATTTTCCCAGAAAAAAATTGGCTATTCCTTCCTCCATGATATTGTAAGCTGGCCTAAAATGGATACCGCATCACTGCAATGTGTAAAATGTATTGATTTGTTTATCTAAGCAGGTTTTAATCGAGGACCCTAGCAATTTGTTGTAGAGCTGAATTTTGGATCGGAGTTTTGTTTAGTTCGACCATAGTTTGACTTGAGACATCTTTGATACTTTTGAATTGCGATTTTTGGTCCACAAATTAATACGTTATTGACCCCATTTTCGTTCTTTGGTTGAGAAATTTTACTTTGTTGACCCTATGCACCAAACACGTGCAAAAAATTTGTCATGAAAATAATTTTTTTTGTTCTACAAAGAAGTAAAGTTGTGTGATAAGGCAATATGCTCTTTGATGCATTGATTGTTCAATACTGTTGAAATTGGAAGATTACGATTCAATATTTGGACAATTTGGTTGAGAAATTTTACGTTTATTATTGACCCTTTGCACCAAACACGTGCAAAAATTTGTCATAAAAATCAATTTTTATTTTACAAAGAAGTAAAGTTGTGCGATAAGAATATGGCCTTATGATTTGTGCATTGATTCTTCAATACTGTTGAAATTGGCAGATCACAATTCAATATTTGGACAGTTTGAAAGAGAAACTCGATCGGCAGCAGTACTACCAGGAAATTTGGTTAATCTTTTTAGTTGCTGAAAATGTATGTTACATATCTGCTGTGAGAGTGCTTGAACATGTATACGTGTAGAATGCATTTCGGCGGTGCGGTCTGGGAAATACATTGTAATTGTACATTGTATATATTCGGGACATCAAACTGGAAATTGTTGTGTATTTCATAAGTGGACTGTGGTATACCAGTTTATATTCTTGACTTCCTTTGTTATGATAGGTTTAGCATTTGTGTTCTGCATTACTAGTTGGGATTGTTATATTTAGACGGTCTCCTCTATGCAAAGAGTGTGGTCCATTGTGCGTTTGAGTAACTGTTACATCATTGCATTGCCTGTTGTTGCAGAACTTGGTGTCTTTTAGTGATTTGTATCACTTTCGTGAATTTTTTTTCTGAATGTGTTGGGAAGACAAGTTATTGATTTCTTTAACACACAATTTGCTTTCCTTTTTGTTCTATCGCTTTCATGTTGTGTGTCGAAATGTTCACTGTGTACAGTACTATGTGAGACATTGCAACCGGATTGAAAAGAACTTGTCTTATCGTTTAAGTCGTAGCATACATGTAGTATTTCCATTTGTTGTAGCTTTGCATGTAAACATGGGTCATTCTCTCAATGTAGGGAGTGTAGGTACTATGATAATGTTTATTGATATGACATTGTGATAACATGTGTAATTGGAGAGTGCAGAAATGTGGACCGTATATCATTATCAGCATTTGGGTATTTTGAGTGGATAAGCAGCAGTGTGTTCTATGTGGTTTTGTGTGGCTTATGACGGGGCTATATTCAGTTTGACTTTGCATTGGGGTTATGATGTTGTATTGAATGGCAACATTTGTTCTTTGTTATATATCGTGTCTTGGATACTGTGATTTCATATTGGTCTAGAACGGTCAAGTGTCCAGTCTGTCAAAATAACCGTTTACATCATATACACTGTGTTGCATACTTCATATACCTGCCTTGCATAAATAAATGACCTCATATACACTGCCTTGCATATAAGTTACCTCTGCATTGCGTGCGCATGTCTGGAAAGAAACCTTGCAATTATCAAAGTTTGCACCGCGGCAATATAATTTATTCTTGCATAGTAAGTAACAACCCTTTGTCTTTTCGATTTAACTAAACAATTGTTAGCTGCTGTGATGTGGGATATGTCGTTGGAAACCTCCTCAGGGCAAATAGCACCCAAGGCGATGCACCCCTTGGGTGTCAAACACGCCATATCCCACATCACAGCAGTCAGCAATTGTTAAATAGTCTCTTGTGAATGTTTGGCATTAACGCTGTAGAGCTTTTCAGACTAACCAAAATGTCACAAGCAGGAATGCCATGGTCCAGTGGTTACGGTGTTTGACTCATTCTATTCTGTTCAATTCAATTCAATTCTGGTTTATTTGATAAAAAAAACAACAACAGATGAAAAGTCAAAGACTTAAATAATTTGGTTTACAAAAATTACGATAAATATTCAAATTTATACAAAGCCTTAAAATACGTATTCAAGAATTCAAATTAAGTTCAAATTAAAAAGTAATCAAATAATCATAAATTAAGTAAAAATGGGGTACATGTATGATGGTGCGTGGGTTTGAACCCTACCGGGAACATGGTGTTTGTGCCCTTGGGCAAGACACTTGACTACAATTGCCTCTCTCCACCCAGGAGTATGAATTGGTACAGGGTAGAGGACCGAATGTGCGCTGATATCGGCTGCCGCGTGAACTTCGTGGCCTGATGAACGAGGAGTGTTTGTAAAAGCGCTTTTAGCTTGTTGATGCAATTGAAAGCACTATAAGAGCATTTGATTTATTACAATCAAACTAGTAAGTATCCAAAATGGCTTCTACATGGTTCTGTCCGTCTACACGGTTAAAATCCAAAGCTGGTTCGGACCAGGGTTGAGGCCCTTGAGGGGGTGTACCCAGGCAGAAAATTCAAAATCTAGCTGACCCTGGTTTACATGTTTATATACCTTGTCTTCTGCATAAATTTGGTGGACCTGTGACGAAAAAGACCTGACAGCCCTGACAATTTTGCCATAATCCAACACCAGGGTTACAATGCAAAGGGCGCATGAAATCTTGATGAGCCACTGTTGACATCACAAAGAGTGAAGTCATGCGAAATCACATTTATGTTGTGTTGGAGCATGTTTTTGCATGGAGTACAAACCATTTAGTGCACAGAACATGATGTGCCACGATGCGTTGCAATGTTACATTGTCCACAGCAATATTTTTTAGGACAGCAGCCTCAGTAATGTTCTTAACCCTCCTGCTATCTGAACAGTCACAGACAGTCTAAAAATCATCTTCTTCCCCTGGCCATACCTTTTACACAGGCTAGTCACCAACAGTCAGATATGTATGTATTTCAAGCAAGCACTGTGACTAATCAAATTCAGTCAACATATACAAAAACATCCAAGTGGTAGGCACAGCTGGCTTATCAATGACCTACACTCAAAGCATACCGGGAGCTGTATCAAGTTACATGTACATTATAAACAGTCACATCCAGCCAATCCTGCTTCATGTAGGCTGGGAGCGCTTAACTTTTGAAAACAGTCACTTGATTTTGACTGAAAGGACAACTTGGCACAGAATATATGTTTGCATAGAAGGAAATGTTTACTTTGCACACTCGCAGGTCTCCAAAAACAAGTCACTGGTGTTTGTTCTTTGAATTTGTTACTGGCAATAACAAAAACATTATTCCACCGCAGACTTATTGGACAATACATTGCACCCCAAGCTATGCCCAGGCAGTCTCTTGTCCCTTGATGACTAAAAAAAAAAATCCATTATAAATATCTTCTGCTTGTGAAATGCTGATTATGGGAAATGATAAAACAGGTCTGGGCCATGCATACATGTATTATTTTTGGACCAGGCACTGCGTGATGTATCAACACGGGTTGCGAATAAAGATAAGGACACCCCATTATGATGGTCATTAAATAGGTGGAATTGTTAGGTTGAACAACAACAAAATCAACTATCGTATGACTGGCACGTGTTTCAGTCTGCTTGGACGATACATGTATCTTAAATAAAAGAGTTACACACCCTTTTAAAGCCCTTTGTACAGTTAATAATATCAGACAATTGGTTGACAGTCGGCATTTATTCACATGTTCTAGGATAGCAGGGTACCCAAATCTTGACCAATAATGGCAAGTACCCGCTTTCATTTTTCAGGTTTTTTTTCCTGAAGACGTGGGGCTTGTTTTGTTTTTAATATTAATTTTGATATTAATCACACTTTGACAGGTACCAAACCGTAACAGCAACAGATACAGCGTTCCCCCAAAAATTCCCTTAACAGCGCACACCCGTAACATGTTGGTGCCCATGTTACTGGCAAATTGCTCAAACTACTTGCTGTAAAATACAGATCAACTTATGCAACACTCCTCAGTGTTTACTTGTTCGTTTTAGACGTGTAGTAGAGTTTTGCAATTGTGGAAATGAATACCGTGGAAATTGATTTGCGCGTACAGTTCTTAGCAGATAAATCAACAGTGATGATTCTTCAGACCGTCTGCGGAATAAGTACCACCCCTAGCAACTTCCCGGCAGGCTAGAATTTCATCAAAGATTTTGTGTTCAGCCATCCCAGAGTCCATGATATTTCTGACGTTGCCACGACTTTATTGCCTTACCCACTAGCCTCTCAGCCTCCAGACACTTGATCTTTGCATTGCCTATAGATTGTGTGGAGCTTTGAAGCTTTGATTGACCGAGGCATATTTTCCTCCCTCTGCGCCCCCCCCCCCCCAATTTGCTTTTGTTTGTGGAGAATTGAATGAATCCTTTCGATGACGCAACACGTAATTTAAAAAGTTCTCTTCCATTTGCCTCAGTTGTGTTGCAACAATTTTTGAAGTTGCTTGATACATAATTTGTCGACCTGCCATTACTGTATTGTGACACGCTCAGCCGGGCTGGTGGCACGCATGCATAAAATGCTCCTTCGACCAAAATGTGCGGGCCTCAATTTTAAGAATGCGTGCAACATACGCGAAAGCATTGCTCCACCTCCATATTAAAATCGCTTCCAATTTTGTTTGCTGAATGAGCCTATAATTTGGGAAACCTATTTAAACACAGTGACTTTGTCATGTAATCATGTTTGTTTTTGGAATGGGAATTGTGGTCTTGTAAACCAATTGTTGGGGTGGATAACGTGCTTTTTGAATGTGATGTCATGCTTGTTGAGCAACAGGAGTTCATGCACATGTGGTTAAATAATTGTGAAACTAGACACATAAACTGCTTGGACAAAAAGACCTTGTGCACGCACAAGCACAATCAAAAGCCCTCACGTCATCATGCAAATGGAATGCACTTTATACAGTACAATATTTGTTAGGACGAACTGGTAATGGTCAGTGTTTACGTGTCCGATGGCTGACCATAATTTCACCCTTCATTTTTATTAATTAGACATTTGATTTTTAAAAAACACTTTGCCTTGATAAGCCACTCCCCTACCAGTCTCTACGTATTAATGGCTTACTTATAATTCCATCCCAATTAATAGTGAAGAAAACTGGAGCATGTCATGCATGTTCATGTAACCGAGTCAATATTTAAAGCCTTCATTCAGTCAATTGCTGTCGTCAGTATCAGTATCTACTCTGGATATTACATCTCTGTTTGTGTATCGGGCTGAAAATATTTCTTTAATAAACCCGAATTATCCTACTGGTATGCTCAGTCCCCAACTCTAATTGCACTTGGATTGTAATCTTTTTTTGATTAAGACCATTACAGTCATTGTGCTGTGGTTACATTGGACCTATTAATCGCGTTGGCCCAGACCTTAGCACAGAATGCCATGCCCAATTCATCAGTGGGAAATTTGGCCAATCAAGTTCATGTGTGTGCTACAATATGTAGACTGTCAGCACTGTAAACAGCTGTGACTAATTTCCATTGTCTTGTGCTGTGGACATAGAACTTAGAAGGCAGTGCCTGTGGCACACTGTCAGTTCTGGGTTGTATGGAATATCATGTTATAGGCACTGTTTATTTGAGATAAGGGAG